ACCTTTGTAGTCACCTGGTCTTGATGGACACAGCTAGAGACACAAACTAGATCTTGTTAGATGCCTTCTCTACATGTGAATCTACCTTGACCAAGGTCCAGTGATCTCTCTACATGTGAATCTACCTTGACCAAGGTCCAGTGATCTCTCTACATGTGAATCTACCTTGACCAAGGTCCAGTGATCTCTCTACATGTGAATCTACCTTGACCAAGGTCCAGTGATCTCTCTACATGTGAATCTACCTTGACCAAGGTCCAGTGATCTCTCTACATGTGAATCTACCTTGACCAAGGTCCAGTGATCTCTCTACATGTGAATCTACCTTGACCAAGGTCCAGTGATCTCTCTACATGTGAATCTACCTTGACCAATGTCCAGTGATCTCTCTACATGTGAATCTACCTTGACCAAGGTCCAGTGATCTCTCTACATGTGAATCTACCTTGACCAAGGTCCAGTGATCTCTCTACATGTGAATCTACCTTGACCAAGGTCCAGTGATCTCTCTACATGTGAATCTACCTTGACCAATGTCCAGTGATCTCTCTACATGTGAATCTACCTTGACCAATGTCCAGTGATCTCTCTACATGTGAATCTACCTTGACCAAGGTCCAGTGATCTCTCTACCTACGAGTCTACATTAACAAAACTAACATATGCCTTGTAAAAACCCGATATTGATTCTCAAACAACAGGGACGTTTTATTGAATGTATCGGTTAAAATAACTACATTGACAATTATGTTATATTGATTTCTCTTTCGGCGTCTTTGTATATCGGCAACTACTGATAGTTAATTAGTTCAAATTTGAAACGAATGTTATTTTTGTGTACGTCTATCTTAAAATATTATGTGTAAAGTTCTATTACTTATTTCATGTCGAACACATAAGTTTGTCTATTTAGATTTCAAAAATATGTTTGAGTTTTTGCTGCCGTTGTCCATCCTATGGTACTACCAATAGCGACAGAAACAAACTTTACACAAATATAATGAACCGATTAGGTTGCCTAGTTTGAAATAGCCAAATTTATGTTTTCATCCAGAAAAATAAGATAATTTCGACACTTTTTCTTTAGCTTTACCTCATAATAAACTAAAACTTAACCCCCCTTATTTTTTAACCTGAACTTTTAAAAAAAATGAATTCTAGCGTCATGTGGGCCGGTGCTAGAATTGACCAGTGTGTTGAAGAACAAGATATGGCAACCATTATCGGAAATGTTGACATAGTAATGGATAAGCACAAAATATTTCAGGGGCGATAGGACGAGTTATCTAATACTCCCAGTCAGACACAAACGTAAACCCCGCCTGCGTGCACGGAATAAAATCTCAAATCCCTTCCAATATATTTAGACCTGGATTAACCCTCCACAACCCAAACCAAATCACTCCACGAGTGTGCATCTAAAACAATAATAATACAGGGCTCATGGGTTAACAAGGGCGGAAATTAGCGAGAGGTGCTCCATCTCTCTTAACTGAATCTGTCCAATCGAATCCTGTAATAACTAACACGCCATTCCCCCGGAGATGTGCATCTTTGTCACACTCACGCAACTAGAAGCAACTGAAAGAAAATAAATTAATAAAAGCCCAGTACACACATCACGGGTGTAGCAGAAATTATGGGTTTGTAGAAAATATCAAATGATACAAACAAGATCAAATCAGGATACGAAACAAATCAAGAATGCCCAGTAGCTAAGGCGGACATTGCGTGATTACACTTTAGTTAGGTTTCGGTTCTGAAAGTGGAGCTACTGTAGGCAGTACATGTAGGCCGTATCACACTTAATGTCTTTCCTATACGTCGTATAAGATAAGGGCAGACAAAATGGTTATCTCAAGTGACAAGTAAAACAGAGTGGGGGAAGGGTGCTGTTCGGTGCAGAGGCGTCGCAAGGCGGGGGCGGTGGGTGCGCGCCGCAACGGGTGACACCATGGGGGGGGGGGGCTGACACTAACTGCAAAAATTTATAGGTGGATTAAAATAATGTGTGGCTAATTCACACCATTTGGCAAAATCGGAGGGAGGGGTCACCAATTGCAACAATATATATAGGCCATCGTAGGCCAGACTACTTTCTCCGGTGGGCGGGGGTGGAAGAGCAGCTCCCCCCCCCCCCCCTCACCCCACCCGAAGAGATTCATGGGAGAAACTCTGGTGCAGTTGTTCCTAATTTAAATTTGCTTTTTATTATTAATGATGTTGATTAAACGACATTAAATAATTACAAGATATATTTTAATCACAATATTTTCTAACCATGGCCTTGACCTATAACTGAAAACATCAATTCCTTTTAAAAGTATCTTACTTTACCCGTTTCATTTGTCGAGGCCTGAGAACAGATGAACTCTACTTCATCTGAGACGCGTGCATTCTGATCTGAAAAGAACTTTTTTTTTACTTCAATCGGGGAAATGGGAAATGTCCATTTTGTTTTACCACTGCCCTTTTTTGCTAACTAATCAAACCGCTCACTGCGCCAACCTCCTTGCTCCACATCTGGGTGTAAGAAAAGATTTCATTGAAAGAAAATGTAAACAGTGGACACACAAACCTCACGTACGTCTAACTTTGGCGTTTCCTTGTGGAGAGGGTATTCGAATACTTAGCTATTCATACTAGTACAGGTGATAATCGAATACTAAGCTTTTTAACGCTGTTTACAATGGGATTTTTCAGGTAAAAACTGACCCTCAAAACTACCTTTCATCATTGTATACTAGATGAAAGACTGTATTTACCTCTTTCATTGTTTTTTTTTTCAATAGGACCCAGCAGTATGTAAGGATGTGTGCGTCCGCCCTAGGAGTATGTCGACAAATACGTTTTAAACTCACACTATCTACAGTGGGGTTTGGGGTAAGAGAATTTTCCGCGAGCGCCGTTCTCTAATAGGTAACTTTTTAGCAACTCCCTAATAGTAAGCCAGTAGTAGGCCAATAGGTAAATTTGTGCTAGGCTCGCCCAGCAAGTACTCCTGCGCTTTGTCATCAGGCCTGTATTTTGTTTATTGTCTCTCTAGAAATACCCCGGTACTTTCATAACCTGGCGCCCCTACTGTTGGTACAGCCAGAGGCGTAGCGAGGGGGGGGGGGGCGGGGGTGCTGACCGCACCGGGTGACACCATTTAGGGGGGTGACACCAAGGCAAAAAGTAGTAAAATATAGAGATAAATTTGAGGGGGGGGTGCAAATCGAAAGTTTGAGGGGGGGCAGTAGCGTAGCGAGGGGGGGGGGCGTGGGGGGACATATATCCCCGGGCGCCGACCTTAGGGGGCGCCAAAATGTGTTGGAAAAATAAATTGAAAGGTTGAGGGGATGCAAATTGAAAGTTTGAGGGGGGATGCAAATCAAAATCTTGAGGGGGGTGCAAATCGAAAGTTTGAGGGGGGGGGGGGTGCAAATCGAAATCTTGAGGGGGGTGCAAATCGAAAGTTTGAGGGGGAGGGGTGCAAATCGAAAATTGAAAGTTTGTCCCCGGGAAGAGTCGCTACGCCTCAGGGGGGGGGGGGGGACACCATTAAGTACCGCACCGGGTAACACCCGACCTCGCTACGCCACTGGCTGTATACAACAACTACACTATTAAGCGGTGTCATCTACATTGCTGATGTTGATTGCACTGGCCACCATATTCATTTATAAAATAGATTAACTAGTTAAACCCGTGGTTCTTAACCTGTATTCGATCGAACCCCAGGGGGTCGGGGAGACAGTCGCGGGTTTAGGCGGATGTTATTGGTACCCCCAAAAAGGTAAAGAACCCCGGAGTTACACTAAGCTTCGGAAATACGTTGAGCTTGAAAACAATGTTCAAGCCCTACAAAAATAATCATGTAGACTAGCCAATGCAATCAGACTGCATTACATTAATCTATGAGCAGTCTAAAAATATCTTTTCAACAATAGCAATTAGTTTAATTAACTAATTAACTAATGTTGGACTTCGGATGCATTGCTAGTTAATTCAGTTAATTCATAGTCACGAATTATTCTTGGGTTTGACCTGCTTGCTTTGGATAGCTTTGTTTAATGTCTGATTTAGACAGACTGGTTTATTGTCTGCCTTTTATAGAGTGGTTTGTCTGCTTTTAGACAGACTGGTTTGTTGTCTGCTTTAGATAGACTGGTTTGTCTGCTTTAGATAGACTGGTTTGTTTGTCTGCTTTAGATAGACTGGTTTGTCTGCTTTAGATAGACTGGTTTGTCTGCTTTAGATAGACTGGTTTGTTGTCTGCTTTAGATAGACTGGTCTGTCTGCTTTAGATAGACTGGTTTGTTTGTCTGCTTTAGATAGACTGGTTTGTTTGTCTGCTTTAGATAGACTGGTTTGTTTGTCTGCTTTAGATAGACTGGTTTGTTGTCTGCTTTAGATAGACTGGTTTGTTTGTCTGCTTTAGATAGACTGGTTTATTGTCTGCCTTTTATAGAGTGGTTTGTCTGCTTTTAGACAGACTGGTTTGTTGTCTGCTTTAGATAGACTGGTTTGTTTGTCTGCTTTAGATAGACTGGTTTGTCTGCTTTAGATAGACTGGTTTGTCTGCTTTAGATAGACTGGTTTGTCTGCTTTAGATAGACTGGTTGTTTGTCTGCTTTAGATAGACTGGTCTGTTGTCTGCTTTAGATAGACTGGTTTATTGTCTGCTTTAGATAGACTGGTTTGTTTGTCTGCTTTAGATAGACTGGTTTGTCTGCTTTAGATAGACTGGTCTGTTGTCTGCTTTAGATAGACTGGTTTGTCTGCTTTAGATAGACTGGTTTGTTGTCTGCTTTAGATAGACTGGTTTGTCTGCTTTAGATAGACTGGTTTGTCTGCTTTAGATAGACTGGTCTGTCTGCTTTAGATAGACTGGTTTGTCTGCTTTAGATAGACTGGTTTGTTGCCTGCTTTAGATAGACTGGTTTAATTACCAGCACACAGTTTTGGTTGGACTGTAACATCAGCTGTTTAAAATAACCCAGCAAGCTACAGAAAAATTATTTTTGTATAAAGCTTTTATTGCTAGAAAAATATGGCAAAACATGTGCTAAGGTTGCCTCCAGTAGACAAAAACAACACAGAAATCAGGTGATTAATGAAGCAGAAAATGAGAAATCTGTCATTCACTTTTAGAAAATTAACATCTATTGACGTCTATGGATAATAATTCATAAGCTATTTCACATACTTAAGAAATGTAAAGCCACATGGTAAAAATTGCTATTTCTAAACTAAAAAATAATGTTCTAGCTTTTCAAATAAAAGCTAATGTGCCTTGATAAATAAGTATAATTTTTAACAAATCAATTTAATTTTAAGTAACATCAATTAGAAATGGATTCAGTCGGTAGATTAATATGATAAAGCAAGTAACAGTACAAGATTAAAACTAAGCAAGGTACATTCATATATCAAAATATTGGTTTGCTGTACATGTATATTCATGTCTGATAAAATTGTTGCTATTCTCTACATACTACAAATCATGGATATAAATTAGAAAAAAAAAAACGTTTTATAAAAACAACCTATGGCAAGCCAGTCTAACACCTTTCACACATGTATGTAGAAAAGTTGACAAAAAAAAAAACAAATAAAATATACTCTATATACATGGAGGGCCTACAATTAGACTTGACTTGCCAGAACTGTCAACTAGGTTGTAAAGTGACCTAGAATGACATACATATATAAGGGAGATTTTCCCAAAATAGCTAAATTTTCATGATAAATTGTCTATATATATATAAATGTACAGAAAAACATAATGGAACATTCTTAACTTTTGCACCTACTTTCTATCTAACAAACACATTCATCTGAAGTTAAAATTAAACTATGAAAATATTTGAATACTTTAAAGTCATGTAGCAATTGATTTTGCAGGCTTTTTAAAAGAATAATCTTTGGGAGTTTTAACAATATATTATGATTCAACAATTTTAAAAAAAATAAGTTTCTGGTGCATTACATCATAAATATATAGGTAAACTTTTATGTTTTATTAATCCACAATTCAAAAACTAATTTTAAAAAGTATTTTTTTTAGTCTGAATTTCACTGTTACTGTAATCATAATCTTTCTTTCATGTGGACAAAATAACAATTGCAACTAATAGGTTCAGCTGCATAGTCAAGTAAAAAAAAACATTGTTATTCAATTGTTTTAACAATATAATTAAATGAATGAACTTGTTCCTAGTCTGGATATAAAGTGCAGCTGTCTTACCATACTTATCGCATTACTGAGTACTATCTAACAATAAAAGATTTTTTAAATTTTTACAAAAGAATTTTTTTATTTTGGTTTTTAAAATAGAAAATTTTAAAAAAGAAAACAATTTTACCTAATTTTCACAGAAGAATCAATCAAGTAGTTATATTTTAGAAAAAACAAAAAAACAACCCCAATGATTACATGCTTTAAAAAATGTATGACAAACTTTACTGGAATGTTGTATTAAATATAGAACTGCGATTGTAGGTAAGTGGATGAACAATTAACACACTCAAGTAATAGACACCTTTATTTACAAGCCCAACATTTATCCCTAATGAAATATTATGGGAGATGAGAACAAGTCTTAGTATTATTGACCCAAGGATTAGAGCTGAATGAAAAACAAAAGCCTTAAAACTTACAAGGATAATAATCATTAAAAATACATTTTGTTGGTACTATACAAACAAAAGGTTCTATTTATAGCAGTCAAAACTAGGCCAGAATAAATGTTTAATAAAACAAATTATAAAAATAGAATAAAATCGTAATCAAGATTTATCTAACCACAATGTATTAAAATTTTAAATTTTGTTAGCATTTAAAAACCAAAAAAAAAGAGAAATGAAAATTAATTTTTCTTAAACTTCTCAAAAAGTGAGCAAAATTTGACCTTTAGATATGTTAGAACTGTTACCAGTATAAGATATCAGTGACTTATATAAGTATTCAATATTTTAGATTTCTGTAAAAATTTCACCTATAACATTTCTATAATAATGTCTGAAAACTTCATATTTTAGACTCATTTGTCTTTTGACGTTGTCCCTCTTTTTTCTGATAAATTCCAATAAATGATCCATCTTCATTAAAATGGGTATCATCTTCATCTCCATAAGAACCCAGACTTTCATCTTCTCCCACCATTGGAACATCATCATACTCTAAGTCCACCCGTGGCTTTTTGTCAGGGAACTCATAATCATCATGGAGGCTGCAGAAATACAACATGATTTATCAACTAAAGCTACTTGGATAGATCAAATACATGATTTATCAACTAAAGCTACTTGGATAGATCACATCAAATACAACATGATTTATCAACTAAAGCTACTTGGATAGATCACATCAAATACAACATGATTTATCAACTAAAGCTACTTGGGTAGATCACACCAAATACAACATGATTTATCAACTGAAGCTACTTGGATAGATCACATCAAATACAACATGATTTATCAACTAAAGCTACTGAGTTAGATCATGCCAAAGTACAATATGCATTTTGTAGTAGGAGAGATCACATGAGCCATTTCTGTTCCAATATTAATGTTGAGCCATATTACTTGGAAATAAGTTTTGGTTACTTACGGTCTGGAGTAGTCATTAAAACCTTTGTCTTTCAACTCTTTTTCTGGGTCTAAACCAGCACCGGTTTCTTTCTTGTCAACTAAAAAGATAATTGAAAAATAAAATGTTAACAATTTTTCAAAACAAATTAAAACTCACAACAAAATAGAAAGTTATTATGTTACATTTTTGTAAATGCCATTAACACTAAGTTGTTTGCTTCACTACAGATGGGATAAAAGTTTCAGCCTAGTTGATTGTTTAAATGGGTACATATTGCTTTGTTAATTATCTAATACCTTCAGAAATAAAACATCATTGATCATGCTAGGAAAAAACTTTTAAGGTTATGACAAGAAAGGTTTGGAATAATTTAAGCATGAGGGACTTATGACACAAAGTTAGGCAATATACAAATATAGGACAAAGAATGGCTAGAGGGTCAGACATAATTGAAGTTCAGCTGACCAAGTGTTAGGAGTTGGTCAGAGTTAGCACAGTTGGAAAAAGATAGCGTAGTTGGTCAGTCTAGGGAGTAGGACACAGTATAATGTTGGAGTTAGAGTAGAGATAGGAATAGTTTGATGTATGCATATATATGAATAAACTGTAATATTATTTTAACTTAGCACTGTGTAATGCTGCAAAGTTGAGAATTCTACAGGCCATAACAAAGCTGAAGAAGGAAGATGATCCCCTAACACATATATTATAAAACCTTATAACACTGAAAACTCGGTGACCAATAGTGTTGTACAATGGTGTAACACTTTAACTAGTATGGAAACAAAGAATAATATTAATGATAACTTTCTGTAATAGCTTAGATGTTTCATTCTCACTAGCTAAGGACTTGAGTTAAGATTTTTTAAATTGCAGATATGAAAAATCCATAAAAGAAAATGTGTATTTTAATAAAACTTACCATTGTAGTCACCTTCTTGCTTCTTTCTACAGACCACACAAATAATAATAATAATGACGATGATGAGGAAAATTATTCCAATGATTAAACCAATGATCCACATGTCAAATCCAGCCTCAGCAACTACTGGTACTGGAGGGTAAAATATGGTAACACTTGAGTTAGGTAGTTGAAAATATGCTTGTAAACCAATACATTCTCATTCATTTTATAGTTTGAAAATTATCTTACATTAATGGAGCAATTACAAAAAGATTTAAAATGCAATGTCTAAGCTTAATGGTAAGCTTGATGTTCTTAATAAATTAATTTTATCTCACTAAAATGTTTAAAGTAAGCTTGATGTTCAATAAAACAATCTTATCTCACTAAAGTAAGCTTGATGTTCTCAATAAAACAAATCTCACTAAAGTAAGCTTGATGTTCTCAATAAAACAAATCTCACTAAAGTAAGCTTGATGTCACACACTTACCAGGGACAGTAACAACAGGTTTAAACTTGGTTATCACGTTAATGTCTATTATTTTTGAGTCATGTGAATGATACAAAGTGACTCTGTATAGCCCCCCAACTTCCTTGAACTGGTCTTCTGACAGCTCACTAGTGTTGATGGCCCTTTGTTTGACAAAAGGTATCTGTTCCAGGTTATCATACACTGTACCATTGTGTTCCCATCTGTAAGTAAATCACTACATTTTAAAGGTTGTTTTTTTTTTCTAACAAATATAATTTTATTATTATATAATTAAAGAGAGCTGAGCTGATTTAATCGATTGAGTCAATCATATTGCTACTATCCCTATTTCACCACTTGACTTAATCATATTGCTACTATCTTGATTTCACCACTTGACTTAGTCAATCATATTGCTACTATTCCTAAGCTGACTTGACCCAAACAAAGTACATATAATTTCCTAGAGCAGAATTCCTGTCTGTGGCTAACTGAAATTTTTAAAGGTTTAATTAACTATTTGATACAACAGAAATAAAATATCTCTATAATTCTTAACAAAACTATGTAATGTAATATTTAAGAATAATTGTTGTCAGAGATTTAAAAATATATTTTTAATCTTAACATTAAAATAACCCACTTCTGTTTGAGGGTCATTGAAGGGTCAGTTGTTGCAGTTACAGCAAGGTCAATAACATCTCCATGCTCTATTTCTTGTGGTGTCACTGGCTGTTGTATAACTTTGATTGGCACTAGACAAAATTTACAATTTGTAATCCAAAAGAAATGCACAGAGAATTGAAACATTAAAAAAAAAAAACTTAGAGAGTAGCATAAAAATACAGAGCATAAATGTGTTATTATGTAAACTATTTTTTGACTGATAAATGATATTTTTACAGCCAGCTCAAGAAAAGATTACAACTTACATTCTTATAAAGAAAAGATATCACCTTACATTCTTACAGCAAGCAAAAGTAAAGATTATAATCAACTTACATCCTTACTGACAGATACAGAAAAGATTACACCTTACATTCTTATAAAGAAAAGATTACACCTTACATTCTTATAAAGAAAAGATTACAACTTACATTCTCATAAAGAAAAGACTACAACTTACATTCTTATAAAGAAAAGATTACACCTTACATTCTTACAGCAAGCAAAAGAAAAGATTATAATCAATTTACATCCTTTCAGAGAGATACAGAAAAGATTACGACTTACAGATAACTGTTAAACATCCATCCCCCCAGATCCCTCCTTCAGAGTTTTCAACGTAACACTGCAAGCAGAGAATATCTGTATCTTTCTTCACATTTTTTACTGTTAGCTTTCTGTAGCCATCTGATGCCACATATTTGTTTGGATCTAAATGAAAATTTATGTTTTAATTCAAACCTTTTGTTAAAAAATGGAAATCAAATAATACAGATGTAGATCTATATATAAACAAGAAATGATGGACATAGAGAAAAACTATTTTCCCATTCCTACCCAAGTACCCACCTGTATGTGAACCTCTACGTATGCCATTGATATACCAAATGGGTTCTCCTGGTTGCTGTTCTGACTGAACTGATTTTGCATTACAGTTAAAAACCGCATCTTTTCCTTCCGGAACAATTATATCACTAGGTGAGCCACCAGCAACAAACATTGGTGGACCTTAGGAAAGAACAAATATATATTAAAATGTTTGAAATCTTGATGAATTGTGGACCTTAGGAAAGAACAAATCTATATTAAAATGTTTGAAATCTTGATGAATGGTGTCAAGATTATATTTTTTATTAATGGTTTGTAACACTACAAATCTTAAGTTATTCAAACAGAAATGGAGTATATTGACAAACTGACATCATTTTGTAAAAGTAAATGGAAGAATAAAATACTTTACCAGTGACGTTTAAAAACACATCTTCTTTTTTTGATGTACCAGCACCATTGCTTGCTTCACACGTGTACACCTTTTCATCATCTTCTGCAACTCTGTCTATTGTCAAGACACGATTTTCATGAGCAAACCCAAATTTAGCTGTAGTCTGAATCTGAGTTCCATTGTCAAAGTACCACTTGATGAGTGGAAGATTCTGACTTTGTGGATCACTAGATACGTGTGGAATTGAATTAATAAATATAGTTTTAAAAAATGTAAAGTAATTTACAGAATTACTACTTTTGTTACTAAAGTAATTTTTAGAAGAATACTTACAATCCAGAAAACATGCATTCCAGCTTGGCAGAGAGGTAGAGTTTAACTTTTACTGGACTGTTACTGTACATACGTTGGGGGGCTATTTGCTGCGGGTCTGAGAACATTTCACTCAATTACTTTAAGAAACAATATTTTTATTTAAAATTACTTTAAGAAACAATATTTTTATTTAAAATTACTTTAAGAAACAATATTTTTATTTAAAATTACTTTAAGAAACAATATTTTTATTTAAAATTACTTTAAGAAACAATATTTTTATTTAAAATTACTTTAAGAAACAATATTTTTATTTAAAATTACTTTAAGACACAATATTTTAATTTAAAATTACTTTAAGAAACAATATTTTTATTTAAAATTAATTTTAAGTATACATTATATTGAATAAATCTTCAGAAAATAGTCTCTTATTTTTATCTGAGCAAGAAATATGCTAGAAATTAATAAGGTATAAAACTTACTTGGTTCAGAAATGACTTTTAAAAATTTCTTGTTGGCACTTAGTCGGATCAAAGAAAGGCCTTCTATTGAAACACCACACTTGTAGCCTTCTACTAAATTTGTGTCTGTCGTTTTCACATAGGTGAAGTGAAGATTGCCTAAGAATAAAATGTTATGTTATATTGAAATCACTAGTTTAAAAAAATATCCAAACTGAAATTTACCCTCAATGCTAAAAAGATTTTTTTAAACTTCTAAGATTACTAAAACTTTTGCATTTAACTTACCCTCATGATCAATGAAAAGGCGGCCATTATCTTTATTCACTTCTTTAGTATCTCTACCAATGTACCAATTAAAAGTAATTGTGCTTCCAACAATATCTCCTTTCTTATCACACAACAACACTTGATAAGAATTGGCTGTGGCTGTTAAAGTTTTTTCCTCATCAGAAAAGTCATCAGCTCCTGATTGAAGTGGAAAAATATACAAGTTAGGTCACTTTGGGAAAGTCAAAGTACTTAATTAATTAGCCAATTAGCACAAGTTTTTAAAACGTATGACACAAATTTGAACCTACTTGAACGGTACACTGTGACTGGGGGAGAAAAACTAACAGCTTTTATCTTTCCCTCATTGAACTCATTTGATGCCTTGCAGATGAAAGTGCCTTCTTCTCTTTCTGTGAAATCAGCTAATTGAAGAGTTCCTGTAGCACTGTCAACATAGACTGGCTGAGAGGAATCTGTTGTTATATCTGTGTCACGGCCAACTTGAAACCAGCTATACCTGGAAGACATTGTTTGATACATTCCATCAGATTTAGTACTTCAACTGCTGAGTCAATTTAAAAGCAATTAGTTGATACATTCCATCAGATTTAGTACTTCAACTACTGAGACAATTTAAAAGACATTGTTTGATACATTCCATCAGATTTAGTACTTCGGCTGCTGAGTCAATTTAAAAGAAATTGATACATTCCATCAGATTTAGTACTTCAAGTAACTGCTGAGACAATTTAAAAGAAATTGTTTGATACATTCATGAACTCAATCAAACATATATAATAACTAATTCAGATGAATTTAATCAACATACTTAATTACTGGTTCAGATGCAACTCAAACATACTTATTTATATGGTTCAGATGAATCAAACCAACATATACTTAATAATGGTTCAATTGACTTGAATCAACATACTTAATGACTGGTGTCCCTGAAGCCACACATGGCACACTGAATTTGCTTGTGGTTGAATAAAAAACTTTTGGAGCTTCTGGACTAGTGATATCTGGTGGTTTACGTACTGCAAGAAAAAAGATAAACATGTACTGAAGAAAAATATACACAATTACGTACTGCAAGAAAAAAGATAAACATGTACTGAAGAAAAATATACACAATTACGTACTGCAAGAAAAAAGATAAACATGCACTGAAGAACTGAAGAAAATATACACAATTACGTACTGCAAGAAAAAAGATAAACATGCACTGAAGAACTGAAGAAAATATACACAATTACGTACTGCAAGAAAAAAGATAAACATGCACTGAAGAACTGAAAAAAATATACACAATTACGTACTGCAAGAAAAAAGATAAACATGCACTGAAGAACTGAAGAAAATATACACAATTACGTACTGCAAGAAAAAAGATAAACATGCACTGAAGAACTGAAGAAAATATACACAATTACGTACTGCAAGAAAAAACAAACATGCACTGAAGAACTGGAAAAAATATACACAATTACGTACTGTAAGAAAAAGATACACAATTGTACAGAGAGTGTTAAAAAAAAAAAATTCATTCTTAAATTAACTGCAAAAAAGTTTATACATAAATGATCATAATGTATTGGTAAAAAAAAAAGACTAATAAATGTTAGGAAAACATAAATTAAAAGTGTGATTTAAGAGTTTTAGAACTAGATAAACACTTACCATCAGATGACTGTGAAAGTGATGACCTAATAAACAATTGGATGAAAAATAAAACTAATGTGACAGTGTGCTGCATGATGATCAGTATCACAACTCTGACATTACCCAGGTCCTTGCCCACTTAAGATGTGTCTGTCAGAGGAAAAAAATACATTTAAGTATTAGTTTAAAATTACATAGCAATAAACATTTAAAAAAGGAGAAAGACTAGTGTATGGCTTTAATGAAAATAAAAATGTTAAGATAGTTGATGCAGAGTATGAGAACCACATTGATGTATCAACCACATAATGATATGACAAGAACCATACCTGTATTGATGTTAAAGAGACAATGGTGTAGAAGAAACATTGATGTACAAGGAACATTGATAAAAAAAGAATATGAATGTACAAAAAACATGGGAACTTCCTATAGCGTGTTTTTGCTGTGGAATATCTACATTTAAAACAACGGAAATATTCAGCTGTTTTACCATGTAATGTAGGGAGTAAGTTAGACAATGGGAATATCCAGGAGATTTATCACTTTCGTGGTGTGTATGCCTTATTAAGACAGCTGGAATATTCATGCGATATTTCATCCTGAAGTTAGTCACTGTTCTTCTATTTGTAGAATCTATTAGGTGGTGGTTGAACAACAAGGTGTGACAGTAACGGTGCGAGAGGGGTGGCTTCCCTGTTTAATGATAGTGTATTGAAGCGTCATTAACCAAGGTACATAACTGTGACAAAGTTAACTCCGGGAGAATCTACGGCGTGCAGGTGTGTAGCAGCTAGTCATAGCGGCTGCCCCATGACCTTATTTGGCAAACAAATGTGTAGGTGCAGTAAAACTGCGCGTCGCCACCACCCGGACACACACGACTACATTATCTGCCCCTAGCGCAGCTAAGTATGAATGGTACTATTCACGCCACTAAACCAAACCCACTGGCTCTGTAGGAGCAACACAAAAAAAAACACAATGCACAATTTAAACCCACGTCTAATCTAAATAACTACCACTGGGTACTGACAACCAAACTTAAAAATTGGCTTCCAACTATTGTGGGAGGGGGTGATGATAGTGTGACTACGTGAATTAATAATGCAGCAGTAAACGGAGAAACGGTAATGCAGTTGACGAATTGAATCAACCAATCAACCAACAGGTATTTCAGAATGCTTTGGTCAGCAGAATTTGTTTTCACACGACAGGTTAGACTGTCAGTTAGAGGGTTAGACTGGGGTCATTCACACATCAAACCTTTGACATCGACATGTCAAGTCCGTTAGAGGGTTAGACTGGGGTCATTCACACATCGAACCTTATCTCTAGTATAACATCACAACATTTGGTTACACACGAACAGCCGTGCGCTGTAGGTACCAACTGTATCATTTCTTAGACATACATAAATATCAAGACGGCTTTTTTTTTTTAAACTTTAGAAATAGTATGTCCCTGCATGTCATAGTATGTCATAGTATTAGTATGTGCCTACAGACCACAATATGTGCATGTCCCTACATAACGAGACGGGAAACGCAACGATACAGAATGCGTTCTACAGACTTCAAATAGACTTATTGCTACGCCAATATCATGCAGCAAGCTAAAGATTTTTCCCCTTTTTATTCACAAAAGTAGCATCTAGTTAGTACGTTAGATCCAAAAAGTAGCATCTAGTTAGTACGTTAGATCCAAAAAGTAGCATCTAGTTAGTACGTTAGATCAAAAAAATATTTTAGAAAAGACGTTTGGAGTACCGTAGATTTAAGCATAAAGCTCAATCGCAGCAATAAAGAATCTTTATTTAGCATCTCCGTTTATATAACGGAGATGCTAAATTGGTCGTGGAAGATAATGATCTTCTCTATCAATCCTAACCAAAATAGATAGATATCCCCCCCCCCCGGTTGTCTGACCAGACCAGTATAAAGCCCTAGCCGTACTTACATTGTTACTGCCGAACTCACAACATCAATAGCTTAAATAATAATCATTAAAAAAGTTTTAAAAAACCCACGTTTTCTGATTGAACTAAAAAGTAGAAAATAAACGCTATACATCACAATAATGCAAGCGATCACTCTACTATAAGCGATCAAAAACGTGGGTCGCCGAAGTAAAAGTTATATTACTATTGATTAGATAATACTATTGACTTTTATTAGGGAGCTTATAGAGAGTCAACAGTATTAGAAACTGTAAGAAAATCACGGCGCCCCACGTTTTTGATCGCTTATAGTAGAGTGATCGCTTGCATTATTGTGATGTATAGCGTTTATTTTCTACTTTTTAGTTCAATCAGAAAACGTGGGTTTTTTAAAACTTTTTTAATGATTATTATTTTCTACTTTTTAGTCTTTGTCTGTTTGTTTGCATTAAAATCTTGCTATCGATTTTATCTTTTCACTTTTTTTGGGTAAACGAAGACAACTCGTAAAAAGACAACTCGTAAAAAGACAACTCGTAAAAAGACAACTCGTAAAAAGACAACTCGTAAAAAACACGTTGTTTGAATACGTTACTGACTAGAACACATAGATTTGAACCCGTGTCGAGTGGGATAGCAATCGTGTGCCCAACCACTCGACCATATCGTCTCCCCCAAACTGGCCTACCTCCTGTAAGTTTAAACTCGGTTCAAGCTAAATTCTCTGCCCCTAAGCCTGTGGCGACATGTGATCGTTCGCTTCACTGCGCGCGAGGTACGCGTCGCTGGTTTTTTTTCTAATGGCTAGCAGAGGAGAATTATATATATAGATTATATAGCGGTCTAAAATGCTCAATAAAATGTTTCCATTGATCAATTTAGTAATAATAACAATTGAATATTCAATGGTCATCCAAAAGAAAGCTTCCCTGAAAATTTCAGCGCGCTAGCTAACTGGGAAGTGCCAGAAATTTCGATCGCAAGATTTGATTGGAAAGACAAACAAACAGAGAAAGCAAGTTAAAGAAAACGTGGGAAAAAACAACTCACGGCAAACCGATCAAAGTGGGCCAAGTTAACGACTAATTGTTAACTTTACTAACTAAATCAATATTAAATAAAATCGGAAGAATTTGGAATCTTGGTCTTTACATAAAAAAATGGAAAACAGTTCAAAATTTTGTTTGTATCTCATTATTACACCAGTATAATCAACATTAGAGGGAAATACCAAAACATTTCGGCCCGCGAACGTTTTTTGGACCGTTTATTATAAAACCTACGCTTGACATTAGTTGCCCACCCTATATAACGATGTACAACAATTTCATATACTTCCGTCCCCTGTTTAACATAATTTTTTTTTCCGACGTCCACCACTTATATTACATAACATGTTTAGGAACACTTCACAAACAAAAGTTGGCAAAACAAAAATTAAATATTGGAACAACATAATCTTAGAGATAATCTTCAAATAAAAAGTTCAGAGATACATCTTCATATAAAAATTGAAAGCATTATTCCTTACTTTAAAAAAAAAAATGTGTTTCGTTCAACCAGTTGTGTTGAAACACATTTTTAAAAAAATAATGCTTTCAATTTTTATATGAAGATGTATCTCTGGACTTTTTATTTGAAGATTATCTCTAAGATTATGTTGTTCCAATATTTAATTTTTTTTTGTTTTGCCAACTTTTGTTTGTGAAGTGTTCCTAAACATGTTATGTAATATAAGAGAGTCTAATCCCCTGCCCCGGACACACAAAAAATTAATAGGCCTACTTTAACCATTCTTTATTCTATGAATTGCCAGTCACCGCTAACCCCCCCCCCCCCTCCCCATTACCCGAAAGAGACCCTGCAATCTATCCAAATGATTTTTTTCTAGACTAATAGCAACAAAACTACCATTTATTTATACCGGCGTCCCACTCTAGATAATAAACCGATATGCTCCTACCCCCAGTCAGTGTTATAGGATATGTATTTTATATATGCAGTGTTATAGAATTATTACGTAGTGTTATATAATATGTAGTGTTATAGGATATGTGCACGCTCCCCAAGGCGAAAACAAGTTGCTGGATTGTCCCATGACATTTAAGACACATGGAGTTGGGCAGACGTTCAACCAGTTTGTTGTTCTCCATTCAGTGCCGCTCAAGTCTGCTAGATTAACATATGAAAAGTTGGATGTGCTCGATTAAGCGATTCGTTAAATCAGCACACAGCAGAACGAGGCTACGCCGGTCCGCGACTTGCTAATCCGGTATCAGTTGCCCATTCATACACGACCCGTTCTTAGCGCGTCTTTAAGGTTCAGAGGGTAGGATGGGGGAGGGGGTTGGTGGATGACGACGCAGATGACACAAACAAGCTGCATTAAATATGGAGCACCAGACCTATTGCAAACTTTTATCGAGATCTGTTTACTGTCTCGCGGGTCATGTGACTTGAGCATCATTTGCATGGAGAAATACAACAGATATATATCACACGACAGGGGCAGTAACTAATAGCAGTTTTTATTTTCTGGCAGTCCATAGCGATACGTTCCATTTATAATTATAGGAGCGAATAGACTGATAAAATATCGTCTTGTTTCCTGAAATGATAGCTTCCAGTGTCACTGATACTGAAAGGGATAGGTCTGATGGAGTGTGCAGGCCCAGGCGGCGTTCAGATTGGGCGGTCTCCATCACAGCACAATTAACGTCATACAGGAACTCGGCAACAAACCCATACAGGACGTTATCGATTCACGTGCCATTTATAAACATAAAATGGCTGCAAGAATTTTTATGAGTAACCGTATGTTAACCGCAGCCATATGTTAGCCGGATACAAACTGAGATAAACACAAGGACCGCATCCTAAAATAAGTTAGAGAGGGGGGGGGGGAATGGAAAAGAAAGGATGTTTCAGACTTTACAGTTATTCAATCAACTGGGTATGGCCTAGGCCTTGAGATATATATATATATATATATATATACATACATATATACATATATACATACATACATACGTACATTATATATATATATATATATATATATATATATACATACATATATACATATATACATACATACATACGTACATTATATATATATATATATATATATATATATATATATATATATATATATATATATATATATATATATATATATATATATATATATATATATATATATATATAATTGATTTAACTTGAATGCCTTATTATAACAGTACGTGGACAGGATTATAATAAAATACCACGATGTTCGTCGTACAAAGAAGCGGCTTAATCCATCCTGCGTGTGCGTGAGTGTGGTTGGGTTTGATCAGAATCCTCAAAACTTGCTTTAACCTCACGTCATTGAACGACAGAAGCGCTTCAACAACTTGAAACTAACACACGAGGCAAAGCTCCCATATTTCTTCCTGCCCACTGTGGCATGTTTATTGCGGGCTGTATGATTTGACATACGGCATGTGATAGGTAGAGTTATTTATAAGATATGTGCACGTTCCCTAAGGCAAGAAAACAAGTAGCTGGATTGTTCCATGGCATTAAGGACACAAGGAGTTCAGAACATGGCACAGTAAGTGCCAACATGGAATAGTCAATGCAGGGATTAAACAGTGGTAGCATTAAATGTGCCATAGAGCTGGACACAATATCATAAAAAACTTGCCGGTTGCCGATAAAATATAGAAAACGTTGATAAAAATCGCTGCTCCAAATGATTCAAAGCAAAGTAAAGCGAGAGTGATCCCGAATATACTTATATAACACTACGGGGAATCGCAACTCGGGATATAGACAATTTTTAATTACAAACTTTTTAGAATAGAATCTCGTAGAAAAATAAGAGAATTGCGCTAACAATGTGTGTATAATAGTGCAGAATATTAGTACTGTATAAATTCATATGCGGTTTTTGAGAATTCGGAAATAGCGTAAAGTACTACTTCCGGTAAACGGAAATTAATCAAAATTTGATAGAAGGCAGAGAATTAGATCTTTTACTTTATATGTGAAATTTCATCTATCTGAAAGAGTAAATTTATAGGGTTTTGAAAAACCAAAAGTAGAATATGTTCCACTTCCGGTTACCGGAAATCGCTGAAAAGTTGATACCTATCTACACATTTGATACATTACTTATATATGCAATGTCATCAACCTAGATGTAACGGTACTCAAGTTACCCTGTTCACAGACACACATCCACAAAAAGACAAACGCCACGGACAAAATTTCAACACTATGCTTTTCCGACTCAGGGAGGTGTAAAACATCGAGATTTCTAAAAATCTCGAAAAATCTCGATTTCGACTTTTTGCACGATTACAATACTACCTTCTCGTATACGAGAAATAAAATCAAACGGCCGTCGTGTAAAATGCCTCTAGTATGTACCAAATTCCCACCACAAGTTACAGCTAAGGGGAATTACGTCAATTATTGGCTGCAATAAACGAAAGTGACATATACTACAGCGTGTAGGTTTTCATGTACTACATTTTGCAGGTTTACATATACTACAGCGTGTAGGTTTTCATGTACTACAGCTTGCAGGTTTACATATACTACAGCGTGTAGGTTTTCATGTACTACATTTTGCAGGTTTACATATACTACAGCGTGTAGGTTTTCATGTACTACAGTTTGCAGGTTTACATATACTACAGCGTGTAGGTTTTCATGTACATGAGTATAAAAGGTTTTAAACATCTACCCGCACGCTAATACTTTGAGATATAGACTAATTAAACATGAGTGAAAATACTTTGAAGAAATAATGAACTACTCACCAGAAGAATAACATTTTGGAGGAAATAGAGCACACCATAGGTATAAAAAATTGGAAGAAATAAAGACACACCATAGGTATAACGGCTTGGAAGAAATATCGACACATCATAGGTATAACACATAGGAAGAAATAAAGACACCATAGGTATAACAAATAGGAAGAATTATCGACACACCATAGGTATAACAAATAGGAAAAAATGACACCATAGGTATAAAAATAAGAAATAACGACACACCATAGGTATAAAAAATAGGAAGAAACTAAGGTTCAACTCACCAGCATATTGCGCTAAATGAACAAGTGACCGGAAGTATTTTTTACAGTCATATGACGGACGTATCGTGACGGATTGACAAGCGGTAATTCCCGCGAGTCAATAAAAGCTACACTGAAACACAATTACCCCGTGACGATATGGGCTGATCCTGCTGTCGTCTGCCTGACATGTGCTCACAGTGGGGATAAAACACGGACATTAACCCACGTTATCCCTGTCCGTTGGGAGAACGTAGCGCCGTATTAATCCATCTTTTATTTAGCTAGATAAGTCGTGTGATGGTGGTACGAGCGGATAATTCTGTTCATCCTTATTCCAACATACCGGCAGAATGCAGCGTTGATTCACTCAATCACCGTTATGTCTCCGCTGGGTTAAATAACCATCTGGGATGATCAGGACAATGACTCAACGTCCCACTTTTTGTACAAAGAAAAACTTCTCAGAGACAGACAAGAGAGCTGACTCGCAATGACAAGTTAGACGACGACAAAGGATTTTTTAAACCACGACAAATCGGGGGGAAATTAACATACAAAAGGAAGTTGAACGTTGTTAAAGTCAGACAGTAGCACAGTTGTGTTGCAGCTTCTAACACTGATCACAACAATCGATATGTAATTCTGCACAATGTCAACTTGCCTTACACACAGCCCGAGGGTCAGATCAAACAATTACCCAACATTTTTTCTTACAGCCTATCGTAAACTAATTAAGCAGAGTGTCTATCCGCGCCTCATTGGGTTTAGCCAGCACGCAACTGTTCAGTGACTAAAATAATGACACACCAAACATATCTTGTTTCGTTTGTACATGACAGCGGTATTTTTAATGTACATGTCAATGTTTGTTTTATGCTCGTCGTGTTAATACAAACAAATGACTCAGACTACGAGACTTGAAAACAAAGTGCACACACATTACTTTCTGTGAAAACTTTTTTTTTTAATTGTGAAAAAAACGTTAATTATCAACGCTGGTTTTCCCGTAATTAGATATATTTCTTATCGCATGTTTGACAGACGATTATTTTTACAGAAAAATTAGCGTAAGCGATGACGAGTGTCTAAACATTAAGACTAACCCCACGCCCTATCAACGGCCAGTCAAATAAAATATATTAATAAAGTATTCACCAATATCGATTTACGAATTTACATGGTTGGAATTTTTTCCCACTGTAAGTCTTTTTTTTAGAAATTCTTATTATACAGCCTACATTAGGATGCACCGTGTGGATTTCCCTTCCTATAAATGACAAATCACGGGAATTCTTACGCCAAAAATAGCGCGAACTGTGGATGTTTTACAGAGATAAAAGAAAACGAAAATGGAATGCGTTCGATAAACAATACATCCATTACTGTTCCACGAAAGGTGATTAAACATTACTTAATGGGTTGCTTCCCTTCAGAAACTGAAACATCAGATTCGAGTAGTTTATAAATTGTGTTTGAAACTTTAGGATTTAAAGTTTATAAAATGAAAAACAAAGTGAGCCTGGTATAAAAAAATCGTGGGCATACAATTAAGATTTAATATATTAAAGGTAAAAAAAAAATTAGACTAATTCTACAACCAAAAACACAAGACAATTTTGACCCATCCAAATACACCGAAGAACATTACACCCATTAAATCTGTAAATACACAAAAGACAGATTTAAACTGGCTGCTTTATATCCTGACTAGGTTTATAGATAAAACAAGAAAGTAAATGACATCCTGTAAATAACCATAAACTAAAAGAATTACTCATCATAAAAATGTTTCCATTTAAGTCAGACATTAAAGAAGGCCCCTAAAACTGTGTCTTTGGGATCCTGTACATACATAGTATAGAACACAAATATGTATGGATACTTTAGGCTTATATTGTACATGATACATTATTTTGTTACATAGGGGTAAGGGTTGTAACCTTTAGTGATGTTGATTTTTATTTCTGCTAAATATCTGCTGGTGGGTTAGTGGTAGGAAAACACATCTAGCTAAAAAATCTTCCTTCTAAACATAATCAAACTGAAGTGTTTTTAATGAAGGTGTAACAAAGAGCTCTCTAAAGTGACATGTGACTCTAACTACGACTAACTATGTGACTCTCTAAAGTGATGTGTGTTCCTATGTGACTCTCTAAAGTGATGTGTGTTCCTATGTGACTCTCTAAAGCCAGGTGTGTCCCTATGTGACTCTTTAAAGTGATGTGTGTCCCTATGTGACTCTCTAAAGTGATGTGTCCCTATGTGACTCTCTAAAGTGATGTGTCCCTATGTGACTCTAAAGCCATGTGTGTCCCTATGTGACTCTCTAAAGCCAGGTGTTTCCCTATGTGACTCTCAGTAGTGATGTGATTCCCAAAATGTATTTTAAAAAATCACATCTTTCTTGTGGAACCAATTGTGTGGATGATGATTCGTTCCTAGAGATTTTACAATAGATGGTGGGCATTATCTCATTATCTGTAAAAATGTTATTCAACATTTAATGGAGTTGGGTTGGGTCAAAATTTACATGAGGCAAACTAATTTTTTTTTAAACTTTTTGTAGGCCTAACTAAACTATTGTTTTATAATTGTAAACAAAAACTTAAACGGCAAACCTATTGTCAATTATTGTGAAGAAAAGCATCTTAAACAGCACTTTAGAGTAATGATTGCCAAAATAATTTTTGTTGTAAAAAGATTTTAAAAATGTAAACTTACAAGCTGTAACACCAAACAAAAGTCCACAGGTTTATAAAATTAATTCATTAAAAGTGCACTTTTACACATGTTATCTAGAAAAACAACCCACATTCTATTTTAAAATCCGGTCTCTGCTGAGCCAAGCTTTGAAATAACACAACAAAAGCAGGCCAAATACTTGACTGACTAGTGTATACCTTAGAGTTAGACTAGATTTAGTACCTTGTATGCTGAGGTTACAGGCCTGTAGTAGAGACAGTTGATTTATTTAGGCAGATGTGTCCTGTTGCTCTCCAAGTTGGGTAAATTTAACACTACACACACCAAAGGCTAAATCAGGTTTAGGTTAAGTCCTTTTAATATAATTATATGGAAAATGTGGGTAGGGACATGCCTACCTATTATTTGTAATGATGATTCATAGAAGTAGAAATGACTCGATCTAAAGAACAACAAAACAATCCCCCAGTGGAGTGGGAGGGTGGGGTTAGACGGGAACGTGTTGGAAGTTTTGTGTTATAGTGAGCCGAGGGATTGTCGCAGAACATGGACTTGGTTATCCTATACATGTTGGGGATTGAACATCAAAGTAGAACACTTCAAGTTTAAGTAACTCAATCCTTTTCTTCTACGGAACACGATGGGAACAGAGGAAACGGTTGGGGCAAGAGATTTGACACACCAGTCGCCGCTGGTTAAAAGTTCTAGATCTAGGTCAGTGTTAGATCTATAATTAGTATTAATTAGAATGGTTGAGAATGCAAGTAACAGGTGGATATCTGTTGAACTACAAGCTAGCAAAGGCTGTCACTAAAAACGGTCATTTCTGATTACACTTTTGCTCGGTGATTGTATTCTGGCCAAGAGTATCAAAAGTTGAAATAAATACATACCTTCCTCAGACTCAGGTAAGTTGTCCGGCGTCTGGATAAACTGTGTCACGCACCTCGCTGTGTCAGTATCTCCACAGTGAACCAATCAAACGACACCATTTGAGTTTTGCGACTAGAGTGACCTACACATATTAGATTTTTCTCTTAAACGAGTTCTTGTAGAGATTAGAATCAACAATATCTGTCTGGTTGGTGATAAACATTAAAAAGAATATTAATTCAGTGTTGCTTTTGTGTAGATTCCATCAATGAAACTTAATTGTTCACACAATGTTTTATCTCCGCCATTACCCATCCAGTAATGTTGTCGGTAAAGGAGAGAAAAACCGCAGAAAGGGTGGCAGGGGGCGCGAAACAGGGGCGCCAGAAAGAGTTGGGGACAAAAGTGATGCCCTTATTGAATTGATTTTAAGCTACGTTACAACTATCTAGAACTGGTTATGTATTTAAAGTTAGAACATAGACACGTAGGCCTATAGCCTGTATGACTTCACAGAACGATACATGTATAGCATTGCCATTCGAAGTACCATTAGGCTAAAATGTAATTAGTTTCTTTCAGCTTTTAAATAAATGAATACATTTTCCAAGGGGGGGGGGACACACTGGTAAAAGTAAATATTTTCTATATAAATTCCATGTCGTTCAGGGGGTGGTAGGTTTTTTCACCCCCCCCCCCCCCCCGAAAAGATGCCTGGAAGAAACTCTGGCTGTCCCCAGGGTATCACCACCCTATGACTAGGCCTATATAGGGCTTAGAGACCTCCCCTAGCTACGTCACTGTCCTCACCACCGCCACCGCCTTGTCACTAGCACTTAGCACCCTTTACACATACATACATCAGGTTACTAGCACTGTGTGTGTCGGCCTACATAGGCCTATAATTTTAACATATGCCTCATACGCGCGTACATATAAGTGATTAGGCTTTAATCAGACTAAATAGTAACGATGTTTATCTATAGTCTGTTAATAATATAGCTGGATGCAGCATTGTTTGCTCTATTGTTAGCACGTTTACATCTTGATGTCACCCACACCATCTTGTAATAATTGTCGATTTGTACTTACAAGACTATTTAACTTTAATTGATCATTAATGGAACTGGCAAAAAGCATTTTTCTTCTGTACATTTTGCAATTTTTTTGCCATGGTGTCACCCCCCCCCCCCTAAATGATGTCAACCGGTGCGGTCCGCACCCCCCCCCCCCGCCCCTCCCACGCTAAGCCTCTGCTTAGCACCATCAGTAGTTACTAGCTCTTAGCACCATCAGCAGTATAATATATATATATATATATATATATATATATATATATATATATATATATATATATATATATATATATATATATATATATATATATATCACTTGGCATCCTTTTATGGATGAATGATGGTCAGGGTTTCTAGTTCCCCCACCCTCCGCCGATATTTCACTTCGGGGGGGGGGGGGGTTGCGGACTAGAAACTTCCAACGGGGGGGGGGGACTGGTTAAAGAGTATCTATTCTAAATAATTTGTATCTAAATCGTCCGGGTGGGGGCAGTTGTGCTGAAAGAAACAATGATGTTGCTCATCTCAAATCTGGCGAAACAAAATGTGTAGTATAGAACAAGCCCATTCTTAACCTCGTTAGTAAAGCTTCAACATCACTATGGTTATTTGTCGTCTCGTGCTGACCGCTGGCCTGTCGAAGGACTGGAACAATTCTGCAGTCAAGATCCTTCCAGTCACCCAGTCAAGTGTAGTGTGTAAGGCGGGGGGGGGGGGGGGGGGTAACGAGGCACCGTGGTATAGTGGATTTGAGACGTCTTGAGTCGAATAAAAAAATAAATGAGCTTGTGGTAGACTTTTTTCACTTGCTCTTTGTTGTACTTGGACTAAGAGTGGGGACCTACTGAAGTCATGGGAGCAGACTGATCTATATCAATGTTCGGATTTTTTCTTTGACCCTGAAGAAATATGTTAGCATATTACTACTTCTTTTCTTAAATTGTTTATTACCTAAACTTAACCCCCCCCCTCTCCCCCTCTCACTTCGCTATATAAGATAGCGATTCCGGTAAAGAAAGAAGTGATGCTTACTCGCCTCCCCTGAAAGTAGCTAACTTACCTCCCCTGACAGTGGATGACTTACCTCTCTATAATACAGTAGATAGACTTAGTACTCGAAGGGCCTACATTCCATAATGGCTCACATCGTCAGGTAATCAACGCATATAGCACGTGATCTCCCTCTGGCTATTTTGAGACGGCAAAGACTAAAGACACTCGTGGAATGTCAATGTACAATCAACGTTACTATCTGGGGGCACCCGAGATTTAGATACACATTCGAGTTGGTTATCCACATCACCCTTCATGATACACATCTCTAACTTATCCTAACTCTAAGCCAAACACAGGTATCACAATTAACGCCTACATCACCCTTCACGATACGTAACTAACTTACCCCAGCCCTAACTCTAAGTCCAACACAATCATCACAATTAACGAGTTAAGGCCGGCCCGTGTTGTTTGATTACACGGTTTTGTGAGGTACAATTGAGTGTCGGGGGGGGGGGGGGGCATTCTTAGTTCATTGCTGGGGGTTGGAAAGGTGCGTGGCTAATTTCAGATTTGGGATGCTATCAGAGTTTCTTTCAGGCAGTTTACTCCGAGGAAGGGGGGGATTATAGGAATGGTTAAAGTAATATTATCTATTTGAATTACATTTTATAAAAAAATTTAGCGGTTTTATGGCATTTACATTTTAAAAATTAAAAGCGACACGATGTCTTTCTGCTAACGTCATATTTGGGGAGTCCATGCGAGAGGGGTGGTTTATAAAATACATGTGTGTTTATATATGTATACATATATATATATATATATATATATATATATATATGGGTGCGTCAAGTGTGTTCGTGTTTTATGTATGTGTGTTTAGATCAGACGTCTAAACTTACAACATTTGTAACAGTAGCGTCAGCAAATTTTTAATTTTTCAATAATGTGTGTTTATCACAATAAATAAAAGTATTAGACACGATTGGTATCAGTTATCGAAACACCCCATTGAAAACATCCTGCGGTCGATCAAGCTGCCTGTTTTATTAAAATAAAGATCTCAGCCCACGCTAAGAAAACATTTTCTAGGTTGTCAGACGGAGAAATTACTGTTGGAATCGTTTTTCTTCAAGATACTCGACTATTGTTGTGGAGTCACCATCAATCTTCCTTGTTTTACACAGTCAACAACAGGACACCTTGTTTTCCGGCAGTCTCCCGAGTTACCGTTCGTATCTTGTCAAGAGTTGTTTCTCTTCCTTTCGTTACGATTTGTGAACAGTAAAATATTAAAAACGTGTGCTGCAGTAGAGGCGTGAATTGTAGTGTAAGAAGACAACAGTTTTCAAACAAGACAGTCAGCTGGACAAACCGCTCCCTCTACATCCTAAGACGTACACCAGACTGATAACGATCGATCGAATGAGCTGGAAGCCAAATACTGAATTCATCACTGTACATTTCTGGATTGATTTATTTAATGAAATTTGTTTTACTTTTATAAAAAAAATTTAGAGCATCAGAGGAAAATTAAATGTAGACTTGTTACGAATTACTTTTTTATAACAGCATGGTTGATTTAACATATACTATATTAGATTATATAAATACTTGTTCATTCACTTTACTATGTCAAGACAACAACTGAACAAGAATGATATTTCAATGCAATTAAATATTTAATAACAAATGCATACATCTCAGTCACATGATTGAATAAATTACAAATGTACATCCCCACAAGAATGCTAATATATTTTTATCTCACAGAACTGTATTATGTCATTGAATATACTCCATAAGGACTACACACAAAATGATGACATGATTATAATTAGGGGCAAGGGAAATGAACATTATTTGATGACTGTGTGACTTATAATAGAAGTTTACTAATGTAAACTGTAGCCTAAATAAAACTAGAAATCAATGTCAATTTATGTAAACATAAATAAGAAATGATTAATTTAGTAGGACAAATAATGTGTCATAGGAAATAGCTGGTGTCTTGTACCTGTCGTTAAATATGTTGCTATTAACAAAACTTCCCCCAGCATCATTTACTATTGATATATTATAATTTTAACAACAATCACTGGGTGATTGGAAATATATTTTACTACATGAAAATTAGGTCCAAAATATGGTTAACAAAACAGCAGAAGAGCGCTAGTTTGCTAACCAACCCAGTGATCATAACCCAACAGAGAGAGTTGAGCCTCTATAATGGTTTTAATTCAAATAATAACAGTGAGTTAACAAAATGGCGATGTTTAAACATAGAGAAAACTTTTTAATCAAACTTTATTTCTTAACTTGATTAATGATTGGGCTGCATTGAGCTTTAAGATGTGGGTGTGTATTTTAATGTGCCAATGTAGAAATATAACTATCCAGCTATACTGCTGTAATGAAATAAACTGGAATGTCTGGCTGATGTACCAACAATCTTGGATGTGTAATACTTGTTGAATAAATTTAGAGTCTACAGTTTAACTGGACATTACGTAGTCTAGAGGAGGGGAGATAAACCTGCTTCTAACGTAAGAGAAATGATGATGAATTATCATGAATCTTACAATAAAATTAAAATGAGCACACCATTCAGCTAAACTGTAGAAAATGTAGGCTAGTAAATGTATAAAATGTATGCTCAAAAGATTTAATAAGCATGTTGGTAACAAGACTTGTGGGTTTTAAAAAAGTAAAAATTAAATTATCACAAGTGTAAAAAAATATTGTCCTTCAAAATATAAATGCTAAAATTATGGGATATTCAATTTCCATACGTTATGCAAATGCTGGGGAATTAAAGTAAAATTGTGTAAGAGTCAAATCAACTCATTGATCAATTGATTGTACAAAAATACAAATGAATACCTAAGGAAGGTAAAGAAAAAAAAGTTATTTAAAATCATATGGAACAAAAGACATTAACAGGTTGGTGATCTTTTATCCTGATCTACGTTATGACGTTCTTTTAGGTGAGAGGTTTATTTATTTAAATAATTACACAAGATAACTTTAACAATTTTCAGAAACTGTATTTAAATAATAAGTTTTAAATGTTTATAATGAACCATTTTGCTTTTAAAGTCATGTTTATTGACCTAGATAGGCATAAAAAACATCTGCAAAATAACTGATACCAGTATTTAATACATTAACTAAGTTTGATAAAATAATAACTGCTAGGTCTAATTTTAATATTATGTCTTTATTTGTTCTTTACTGTAAATAAAAAATATATTTAAACATTATGCTTGAGAAAAAAATGAATAATTCCATTTTTGAAAAATCATAAAAATTCATTACATTAGCAAAATATAAAAATATTAAAGACCTATTAATTAACTATTGTCTGATATGGAAGAAGACTCCTGTGTGCTTTAAAGTAAGGCAGATTTCAACACAGAAAAACTTCTTGTTATAATGGAGTGACAGATGATTTAAGTCACATTTGAGACAAGAACAGTGAGGAAGCCACACAACCATTTTATTACCTATTTATTCTACCTTAGTCCTTGGCACTTAGTTCTTTTTTTGAGAATATGCTGTGTAATCTGCATGTGAGAAATCAATGAATGTGTTTATGTTCTGTGATGGTCTGTCTTGATATTCTTTCATCAACATTTGAATTATTTTTTCTGGCTCATTACCACTATATAAAATTATTTTAGTCTTTTCACAAGTTTTGCATGGCTCTTTTTTTGGAACTGCCAAGTGTACTTTAGATTCTGAATGAAAGATTTTGGCATAAACCCACATTGATGCTGCTGCGATACCTTCACTTTGGCACTGCTCTTGATAAAGGGAATACATCTTTGAAATGGTTAGGTCAGGTGGTAAAGTTTGAATGCCTTTATTTAGTTTTCCCTGAGCACTGGGTGACTTTGGAAAAGATTTGATATGGGCCCGTATTCTGTCTTCTACTTCAGCTGGTGTTTTATTCAGAGGACCTTTTTTACCTCTGAAGTCAGGTGTGGCCAAGGCTGTCAAAGGAAGGGCTTTATACCTAAGAGCATAATCTAATCTTTTGTTTGTGATTCCTAATGCAGAAAGAAATACAGGTTTACACACACGAATTTTTTTATTTGTTAGGTGAAAAAGTCTGGATGATGATCTTTTGGTTTTTGGAGATTGTATTTCCTGTTTGATTCTTCTTTTTCTTTCTTTGATATCAAGAACAGTCACTGATGAAACAATAAACTGTGTTTGATTGTTCCAGTCAGCCAGTGCATGAAACTGATCAAATATCAATTTTCTCATATTATGAGTCACATTAACTGTACAGTTTAACCTACACTTACAATCTATTGGTTCATATTCTTTTTTGCCAACAACTTTGCCTTTTCTAGTCACATATTCCTCTCCTGCATTTCTCCTTCGCTTTAATTCTGCCCTTGATAAACTAGTACCTGACTGTCTCCGCTTTCTTTCTTTCTTAGATTTTTTCTTAGCTGTTCCTGCAGGCATTGCTGGTTCTGGGTCTTGGCGGATCATTGGCTCCTGGTGATATGAAAAACCTAAAACAGAAATTAGTTGTTGAAAATTAGTAAACTTTAATTTGACAAATGTAGACAACATTTACTTTAACTTAAGCAAATTCAGCAAAAAATAAGCAATTACCATTTATTCAATATTATATAACCTAGTTTCCCAATATTTAAAAAAAAAACAAGACTACTTGTTTTATTTTTTTTCTTAACTGCAATAAGTTACTCATACTAATACTGTAAAGCAGTGAGATGTAATAACACTATTGCAAAAACAATAGGTTTTTTTAAAAATCAAAGCAGTGATTTGAAATTCTCTCTTTCTATAATACGTTTAAAAAAGCTTTAGGCAAGCACATTGGAGGCAAAAGTTACCAGCTGGCTATAGTAGCTTAAAGATTAATGAAAATTATCCTTAGCAACTGGAATGACAGTCATTACATTTTTTTTTCTCTTAGCATTGCTGGCAAAAATCTAAGAAACATAGATGTAACTTTTTTAACAAAGCACTACAAAAATTTTCTTTTAAACTAATGGCAAAGAAAAAGGGTGAGTGCAAATTCCCCATTTTGTATCACGTGCCCTAAGGATCCAAACCCTGGATTAACAATCCTGCACTCTAGTGCACTTTCTATTCTACCACTGTTCATCATGGCAGTGGTAACCTATTGTTTTAAGGAAATTCATTATTGCTAATAATATTTTGCTATTCATTTTTAATGCCAAAATAATTCTTTGCGTTTTTGCTAATCATTGTTGCCAGTTGATTTTTTCTTATGCTATTCAATGAATAATTCATTGTTTTATTCCTTTTTTTTAGTAACCAATGTTTAATAATTGTTGCTCACTTTCTGTACTTTGTTTTAATTTCTGTTTCTTTTATCTTTAAAAAAACACATATGAATGGAAGGTGTGGTCAGCCTTTTGCCCTGCTGCCTTCACTTTCCCTAACATGAGTTAGGCACCCATCAGGGACATTCTACTGCCTTGGACCTGGATTTGAACAAGACTTTCGAGGTAGCAGCCCGACGCTTTACTGCTTAGATGGAGCAGTCTGGTTCTTTTATCTTTGTCAATTAAATTTAAAACCATTAATTACTAGGCCCTACATGACTTTATATTTCAACTGTAAAAAAAAATTGATTTACAGTAGTTTATACAGTGACCAATGTTTACAAATATGCATGAGCATTTCCGGATAATTTCTGATGCTATATCAATGGATAATAATAACATTAGTAGGTTATTAGCCAAACTAGACAATTAATTAATTACACCTGTAATTAAGCCCAACTAGCTAGATCTAGATCTTATTATTTTTAATTAATTAAAAAATGTTAACACTCATGTACCTCCTACTCCTTGTCCCATTGATCCTAATCCTGGTGGAGCCATTTGTGGAATGTTATTTAAATTATCTGAATGAGTGTGATTATGTCCATGATTCATATGAGTGTGAGTTGAACCAGGATGAGTGTGCATAGAATTATTTGTAGTTGGCAAAATTGGGGGAATATTCGGATGAGGATGACCAGGGAGATGATATGAAAACCCAGTTGAAGTTGGCTCAAGGCAATAGTCATTCATCATAAAATTGAATGCCATTGTTGTTGCTTCGATTTTTTTCTTCCAGATAATAAAAACATAAAAAGAATTAAGAAAGTAAAGCTAAACAGTTGAGGCTTTTGGATACAAATTACAAATCCCTCAATTTCTTTAGTTCTGTTACGGATATGTTGACTTCCTCTTCGTTAAGGGAGACTACTTTAAACAAAAATTAAGCTAAGTACCATTGAAAATGTGCACAATGCGTTTCACTCAAACAACAACAAAAAAAAAACCAATGAATAGTTCTAGAAACTACTGTTTATCAACGTACTCTTTGTAATTCATTATCCCAAAGACAAAAGAAATGCATTAAAAACGTTATAATAACAAGCTTTTATATACTTATGCACTAAAATTGAGAAAATAAATTATTTTCTGTATATAGGCTATAACATATATATATATATATATATATATATATATATATATATATATATATATATATATATATATATATATATGTTACGGTCAAAGCCCGAAGTGCGGCCAAACCCCGGATTGGCCGGCCAATGCGCGGATTGGCCGGCTCTCTTGGCCAAAGCCCGAAGAACTTACAACTAAGATCGTATTTCGTACATTGGCCGGCCAATGCGCGCACTGGCCGGGACGTACTGGCCAAAGTCCGAAGTACTTAAACTTGACACCGTATTTTGTACATTGGCCGGCCAATGCGCGCACTGGCCGGGATGTCCTGGCCAATGTTGTATCTAGACTAAGTTGTGATCGCGTTTTAATTATTCTGGGTGCGGTTTCATTGTGAGTAATGTATTGTTTAGCTCTTGTTTGTATAGCATTCTATATGCAAGGCGACATGGATCAAAAGGGCCGTCAGACCATGAGACAGACATAGCAGATGGCTGTCAAAAGAAAAAAAAAATGTAAATCCATGTTAGTTTCCATATATGGGCTACAACTGTATGTGACAGCCTCCTCCATGATGACGAGGTGAGACAATCATCAAAGAACAAAATCAAAGACAGTCGGCGTCACGACCACGTGCAACAAGACGGAACGTTCAAAAGACTTTTCCGCGTTCCTAGATGTTTAAAACAGGATGATGACATGGATGCAAACAAATGAATCAGCTCATTGGGCTGAGAGTCTCAAATTCATTTAATTTATGAAAAATCGTTCTTTTTATCAAGGAATCCAACAATCACCATACGAAGCCTTGTTTGGATGCAAAGCAAAAGTGGGACTTAGCACTTCAAATCTACCAAGAGAGGCTCTCAATAAAATAGTTACTGAGGAAGATCTTGAGAACATTGAACAAGAAATGGAGGTTGCCATAAATGCAACGACATCCTCAGCTAACACATCTGCTGCCGTGGCGGAACGTCCAGACCAGTTGCGTGACAATAATGTGGCCAATAGATTCTGTATAGTTTGTGAAAATTATTGTAGTGCAGCTCATTCTTGTGGATCCTGTGGCAACGATGTGCATGTTATTTGTGGAATACCCAATGAAGCAGACGAAGGGTACGGAGGGAACATTACCTGCAGATTGTGTCACAACAAACAAGACATCATGGAACACAGGTCAGCAGCTCATACTGGCTTGCAAAATCAAGGTGCTAAGATGCTTAAAACATCAAATACAAAATTTAAAGATGGTGAAGTGGGTGACAATGTAGGCATCCGTGTTCCAGATGTTGACAGAGGTCACGGTGATCCCCGAAGCGTGATTGCAGTTGTCATGAGCGTCGAGGGCGGTTTCTACAAATTAGGAACGGAACATGGTGTTCTAAAACAACTGCATGCTAGAAGTGAGTTTTCAATTCTTCACGAAAAACTGCTCTTATTGTCGTCAGTTGGCACTGAGGAAAAATCACTACGAACCATCGCATCTTCATCGCATCTTCACAATCATTGACTGGGGGCCAAGGCTACACTCGCTGCAATTGCACAACCAAGTGTACAACAAATCGCTGCAAGTGTAAAAATAACAAGCTGCTATGTAATTCTAAATGCCATAAAAGTTCAACTTGTTGTAACAAATGATAATATTGATTGATTGAGACTATAGTACAATAAAAAATTTGAATGTTTCTGTCATTTACTTTAATTAATAATCAATAAAGACTTAATTTCATGATCCTACCGGCATAAAAAAAAACCAAAATCTGCTCATGATCTTCTAATTAAGACTTTGGCCGGTCCACCATGGCCAGTCCGCGGACTGGCCGTGACTGGCCGGCCAAAGGCCGAAATCAAGAGCTATTTCAGACTTTGGCCGGTCCACAATGGCCAGTCTGCGGATTGGCCGGCCAAAGGCCGAAATGAAGCAAAGTTTCGGACTTTGACCGACCTATGGGAGGCGATATTGGCCAATGCGCGGATTGGCCGGCCAATCCTAGCATTGGCCGACTTCGGGCTTTGACCGTAACACATATATATATATATATATATATATATATATGTTACGGTCAAAGCCCGAAGTCGGCCATGCTAGGATTGGCCGGCCAATCCGCGCATTGGCCAATATCGCCTCCCATAGGTCGGTCAAAGTCCGAAACTTTGCTTGATTTCGGCCTTTGGCCGGCCAGTCCGCGGACTGGCCATGGTGGACCGGCCAATGTCTTAATTAGAAGATCATCTGGCTAGAGACGACCGGCCAAAGTCCGAATTAGAAGATCATGAGCAGATTTTTTTTTATGCCGTAAGGATCATGAAATTAAGTCTTTATTGATTATTAATTTAAGTAAATGACAGAAACATTCAAATTTTTTATTGTACTATAGTCTCAATCAATCAATATTATCATTTGTTACAACAAGTTGAATTTTTATGGCATTTAGAATTACATAGTATCTTGTTTTTTTTTTACACTTGCAGCTATTTGTTGTGCACTTAGTTGTGCGATTGCAGCGAGTATAGCCTTGGCCCCCGGTCAATGATTGTGAAGATGCGATGGTTCGTAGTGATTTTTCCTCAGTGCCAACTGACGACAATAAGAGCAGTTTTTCGTGAAGAATTGAAAACTCACTTCTAGCATACAGTTGTTTTAGAACACCATGTTCCGTTCCTAATTTGTAGAAACCGCCCTCGACGCTCATGACAACTGCAATCACGCTTCGGGGATCACCGTGACCTCTGTCAACATCTGGAAAACGGATGCGTACATTGTCACCCACTTCACCATCTTTAAATTTTGTATTTGATGTTTTAAGCATCTTAGCACCTTGAGTTTGCAAGCCAGTATGAGCTGTTGATCTGTGTTCCATGATGTCTTGTTTGTTGTGACACAATCTGCAGGTAATGTTCCCTCCGTACATGGGTATTCCACAAATAGCATGGACATCGTTGCCACAGGATCCAAAAGAATGAGCTGCACTACAATGTTTTTCACAAACTATATAGAATCTGTCGGCCACATTATTGTCACGCAACTGGTCTGGGCGCTCCGCCACGGCAGCAGATGTGTTAGCTGAGGATGTCGTTGCATCTATGGCAACCTCCATTTCTTGTTCAATGTTCTCAAGATCTTCCTCAGTAACTATTTTATCGAGAGCCCATATATGGAAACTAACATGGATTTACATTTTTTTCTTTTGACAGCCATCTGCTATGTCTGTCTCATGGTCTGACGGCCCTTTTGATCCATGTCGCCTTGCATATAGAATGCTATACAAACAAGAGCTAAACAATACGTTACTCTCAATGAAAACGCACCCAGAATAATGAAAATGCGATCACAACTTAGTCTAGATAGAACATTGGCCAGGACATCCCGGCCAGTGCGCGCATTGGCCGGCCAATGTACAAAATATGCTGTCAAGTTTAAGCGTTTCGGACTTTGGCCAGTACGTCCCGGCCAGTGCGCGCATTGGCCGGCCAATGTACGAAATACGATCTTAGTGCTAAGTTCTTCGGGCTTTGGCCAAGAGAGCCGGCCAATGCGCGGATTGGCCGGCCAATCCGCGTTTTGGCCGCACTTCGGGCTTTGGCCGTAACATATATATATATATATATATATATATATATATATATATATATATATATATATATATATATATATATATATATATATATATATATATATATATATATATATATATATTTATTTATTTATTTATTTATTTATTTATAATCATCCACCAGTATTTCGATAAATAGGCTTCAAAGAATAATTTAACAATTAATTTAACAGCTACTTAAGTCAAAATAATGTCACATAACATTGTCATTGAATCTCGACCCAGGTGCCAGGTTTCGAAGAAATCATGCTCCGTTTTTAGAAAATACACACATCGATGTTGCGTTACTGTCCTAATCTTTTCGGCCCCAATATTTACCAAAAAATCACGTTTGTTTTGGTTTTGTTAATTTCATTCACATACAGTCTATGGGAAGCACCTGGGTCAATTCCGGGTGTTGAAACGTCTAATTAGGCCAATCTGATATGGCTTCTTCTGTTTCTCTAATAAATTGTTATGCCTACGTCATTTCGTTTCTAATTTTGTTTCAATCATTCTTATTTTGGGACAGGGTTTCTTTCAAACATTCTTCTCCACTAGTGGACTAGAAACATTCATAGGGGCGGGGTTGGGGACACTGGATAAAGTAAGCCTATATATATATATATATATATATATATATATATATATATATATATATATATATATATATATATATATATATATATATATATATATATATATATATATATAAACTCCCGAAAAGATGCATGAAAGAATCACAGTTCATCACACATCGTCACACATTTACGACGCCTCCCCACCCCACCCCCCCAACCCCCCCCACTGGAAGTGTGCGTCAACTGTGGAAGACCCGAAGATGTGTCCGTCATAGTTCAACTATTTATCTATCATTCATGTAAGTTGTCAAGAAAGTTGTTGTCTGGTCGATAAAAATACGTCGGCTTTGTCCGACTCGACCATTACTACTTGTTCGATTAAAATGCTTTCCTTTCAACGTAAGTTGTGTAGAATTGAACAGTTTGATCGTCCAAACAGAGGCGTATCGTCCCATTCTCAGTGTGCACATTTAATCTGGGGAATGGAAAATTTAGCTTGGCATTAAACCATTAATCGCAGGCCTAATCGTTTGTAAATTTCGCTAACCATCTTGATAACTGGTAAGGAACGGCGTGGCCGAGGTATGGTCGGTATGGAGTGCACGACTGATAACCCAACAGCCTCCTAGTGTAATACAGTAGGGAAAAAATGAACGCGGCTGCACTAACCCTTCATATTCCAAGGTCACGCAAACAGACGAACTCCACTTCACAAGCCGGATAATGGTAACTTGGTAAATGGTAACTTTACTTTTGTATTTACAACTCGTCGTCGTGTCCGTCCCCCTCCCCCATAAATTTAGGCCTTATTGTTATATATAAATATATGAGGTCTGAACAGGGGCGTAGCGAGGGGGGGGGGCGGGGGTGCGGACCGCACCGGGTGACACCATTTAGGGGGGTGACACCAAGGCAAAAAATAGCAAAATATATAGAGAAAAACTCGAGGGGGGGGGGTGCAAATCGAAAGTTTGAGGGGGGGGGGGGGGCGTGCAACTCGAAAATTTGAAAGTTTGTCCCTGGGAAGGGTCTCTATGCCTCTGGGGGGTTGACACCATTAAGTGCCGCACCGGGTGACACCCGACCTCGCTACGCCACTGGGTCTGAACAAGAGTTTCTTGATTTATGAATTATTTATATTGAAAAGATATATACTTCTACTAGTGTCTGCTACGCCCCTGAAATGTTAAGCGCGCCCTTGTCGAAAGTTTTAAGTGCCCCTTCCCCTTGATCTCAACTGACTGCTATTACATGACTATAATGGCTGGAAGATTAGATATCTAGGGTTAACCACAAAATTTTAAGTCCATCTAAGCTAGACTCTAGATCTAGAACTAGATCTAGATCTAGATCTAAAATTCTGTGTGTAAAAGGCCAGGAGCGCTTTTTAGTTCAGCGCCTAACTCTAGCAATCTTTAAAGTTATCGTAGAAGGGTTACAGAATTTTCGTAGACTCGTTTCTGGGAATGAATCTTCCTGAGTTAAATAATACATTTTATATAAGCTCAAATTTCTAAAATAGTCGTATTGTTTGCAGATTAATATGTTTTAAATATAAGAAATAATTTCAAAATTTCTTATTTGGCGGTAGGCATTTAAATCATAACGCGCCGCAAGCAAGCAGACGTGCGCATTATTTACTGTTACTATATTTAAGTTTAATCACGTGACGTAAAAATGGCTGAAGGGGAGTGTTCTTAAGTGACTACTTTACCCCAATGATTCAATGGCATTTTTGAGAAAGCAGTAATTAATTTTTCCCTACAGAAAATGCATTTTTCAATTCCTGACACAGAAGAAGTTAAAGAGGGTTCAAATTCCTTCACTGTAAGTGTTTTAACAAAACGAGATCAAATTAAAACTATCGCAGCAATTCAATATTGAAAAATTAAAATTGTTTTAAAAATCCCAGCAGTAGTTGCCTGGTTGAGTTGACAAACTTGACAGACACAGACTGTTTACTCACAACGAGTAGACTCAGACTAAGTAGTCTGTGAGTAGAGTGAAAGTAGCGTGTTTGTGATTTGACTGATATGTGAGTTAAAGTAAAAACGAAACATTGAGTACTTGAGCTGGTGGAGTGGTGTAGCAAGTGTAGTGTACTAGTACTAGTGTAGCATTTGTACTACAAATTTTGTAGTTGTAGCAGACCAGTGGAGTGGTGAGTGCCAGAACAGAAACACTTCAGAAAATAAAAAAAAAAGTAGATTATCTGTATCAAAGTTTTACTGTACAATGTTGATTAATAATTTTAATTTAGATCTGCCTCTCTCTGGTGCCTGTTGTTTCAGTGTTAAATACCATGACCGAGTTATTTTCAGTATCAGTTGCTTAATTTAATAATTTAACTACCAGCCAGTGGGTAGCCAGGCCTATCACTATACTAGTAGAGTAAATTTAATTTAAAAAGTAGGCCTATACTCTCTATACTATACTATATTCTATAGAGGATAGTGTGGTCGGAAGGTATAGCATAAACTATAATAACAACTATCCTGACCACACTATTCATCCATATGCAGAGGTCACTGAAACAGATGAACTCTACTTCACCTTCCCGTGCCCCATGCACTGTCAGGTTCAAAAGTGTACTCTGTATATTGACAGCTTTATTATATTAACAATATCATTATTATTATCTAGTTCTAAATTCTATCCACAGTGAGAGTGAACTTTAAATTATTGTATGATGCTAATATAAAGAAGGCCAAGACTATTCCCAGCCTGTTGGAAATAGCCGTATTGGGGTTATTCCCAGCCGACTGCAAATAGCCCTTAAGGCTATACCCAGTAGGCTGTCATTTCATGCTAAATACGACTGAAAATAACAATTTACATTAACAAAAACATTTATTGTGACTGGGGATTGAGGTATAGATTAAGCGAGCAGTGATATTTTTATTGTGTTATATTTTGATAAAAAAATTTATTATGGTTGAAGTTTAGTTTAGTCTTTAGGTTAATATCTGCTATATAGATGATCAATTATACACTCTAACTAAAAAAAATCAATACAAATCAATCGGGGCTTAATAATAATTTTTAAATTAATAATATTAAATATGCATCACTTTAGTAATTTAGTTAGTAATTCAGATTGCTATTCAACTGTCAATTACCATTTTAAAATTCACATCGAATAAATATTAGGTGAAATAGCATGTTTGTTTTAATAAATTATTGTTCATATTTTTCCATCACAAGTTTCCCAAGTTTTTTCTCTTGGCAAAAATATTTTTTCTGCAAACAAAAAAAAATAACAAAAGTAGCTCTTTATGAAAAACGGCTAAATATAAGATTTTGACAATGCAATAACAGTCAATTGTATGACAGCAGTAGTTGGGTTCAAACCTGCAACATCCAGCATGTCAGCCATGCACATGTCCTTATAACTACACATTCTCAAACATAAATAGGTGTTGTTAACATTAAATTTATGATAAACAGTCATGATTGTGAATTTCCCTAATACGGCTATTCCCAGTGGACTGGGAAAAGACACTTCTTATAAAGAATGTTAAATTATTATGTATTAAAAATGTTATTAGATTAGATTAGTTAAATTTAATGTTCATTCTATCACTCAAGCTGTGATTATTATACCCATTAACTATCTATAGTTACAAGGTTTTATAATTTCAAAATATAACATTTACAGATTTACAATATATATATCAATGGTGTTTTTCACTGCAAAGCCAGATACAAACAGCTTAGACAGTTTCATGATGAAGTAAGTGCTTTTTTCATCATCATCTGCTTTCCTTAAAGTTCTAGATCTATTCACCAAAACCATGTCATTAACAAATTATAATGTGGGACACTGGTTGGGAGGTCTTGAGTTCAGATCTTGGACTTGAGTCCATAAGATGTTCATTTATCAACCCAGCCAAAGTAGTAGAAACAGGTGAACTTTATTTGCACTATGTACCTCAAGGCTCGAAATGAATGATAATGGATTTTTTTTAAGAGACTTACATTACAGTATTTTTCTTGATAAATACATTGATAGCTGGGTTTTTTTCATAGGAGTACAACTTCAGTTAAGTTCAAGAGTAGCTAGTAATGTCACAAAATATGTTTCTGCTAGTTATACAAATCTAGATGGGGGTCAAGCCTTTATTGTTACTCTAAAGACAAGCAGCCCTGTATATACATAAACATTTAAATGATTTAGGTTTTAAGTTTTTTTTTAATTGAAGTTCATATTGTGCCAAATTATTTTCCTAAATAATGCCAGCAGTTTTATAGCTATTTCATATTTCTCTACAGCTACGGAAAGAATTTGGATCATTGGTGTTGCCTGAATTCCCTAAAAAGAAGCTGCTTGCATTATCTCCAGCTGAAATAGAGCAGCGAAGAGTTATGTTGGAAAGATACATTCAGTTAGGTGAGATAATTGACTATTCTTGGTTTATTTAGCTGCTCTGTAAATTAATGTGATGTTTTTAAGAGTGCTTTATATTTTTTGAAAGAATTGTATGTTTTATTTGTCTACAGTGAGTCAAGATCCTCAAATAGGAAACAGTGTTTTGTTTAACTCCTTTCTTTTGACTGCACAGCAGGTAATACATGGGCTACAAAAATGAGCTAATATTGGCTAAACATGTAATAAATGTACATATAATTATTTAAAATTGTGATTAGTTGAATTATTTTTAAAATAGATTTAACAATTTTAATTTTGTCTTAATATTTAAGGAATCCCAAGTTGAGGAAGCTGAGCGTGTAACACTGGATGCATTCTTAATGAATGGTCACAAAATTACAATCAGCCTCATGTCAACAGATCAAACTGAGGATGTGATGGAGGTAAACCCTTACTAACTCTTCACAGGTTATCACTGATTATATTTGTACATAAATACTGGTAGAATCCACTAGAAAATATCTGCACAAAGCCTCAAGCTAAACACCAATTCTAGGCCACAAAGCAAACATCACTTGTACTAAAATGTGTTATACAAAAATGTGTCCTATCACCTCTGCTGGCTGTAGATAGTAAGTAAAGTTCCCTTTCATACCTGACGGTCTACACCTCTGCTGGCTGTAGATAGTAAGTAAAGTTCCCTTTCATACCTGACGGTCTACGGGGCAAGTGATGTAGAGTTCACTTGTTTCTGTGACCTCGGCATATGAAGAGATAGTGTGGTCAGCACTATGCCCGGCCGCCTTTACTTTTCCTAACGTGAGTTAGGTACCCATCAGAGTTGGGTGGACTCAGGGACCATCTACTGACTTGAACCTGGATTCAAACTCGAGACTTACGGGTTAGCAGTCTGGCTCTCTACCGCTAGACCACTCCGTCCCGACTGGCTATAGATCAACAGAATTATTTTGTTTTCCTATCTCACATTGTAGAAGAAACTACTGTAGCAAAAATATATTCATTAGCCTGGATAATAATGTCACCTGCATCAAACAGAAGTGAATTAAAAAATAATTGAGAAAGAAATCAAAAAGTTTTGTATTGTAAAAAAAAAATCTAAAAATTAGTTATACTGTGACAATTATTATTTCTCTAGGCTGTAGCTCAACAGATAGAAATACCAGATGACTATGTTCATTACTTCAGTCTTTTCTTGGTCAAGAAGGAAGAGGATGGAGATAACTCTAGTAAGAATTACTTAACTTGGTAGTTTATTTTAGGGTAGGGAAAATTATCTAGAAGAGTATTTCAGGCACTTGATCCCAATTTCAGCAAATTAACATAATATTGCTGCAAAGATTTCTTATGACACATTTTTTATTATGTTGACTAAAAAATGAATGTAGCACACCAATACATAATAACAAGGGCTATTTTTAAGCATGATTTTAAATGTTTGTAATGGACCTTAAAATCAGAACATAGATAACAAATTCATGGGCAGCTTGGTAAAGAGGTGAAACAAACTTAAAATATATGGATGAAAAAATGTATTATTTTGTAAAAGTTTTGAATGTAGATATGACCATTTCTTCTATTTTTTACTCAATAGTTGTTCGCAGACTTCAGGAATTTGAATCACCTTACTTGTCTCTAAAAGCAGCAAATAAGAATGCAGTACACAGAATAGTTTTAAGAAAAGGGTAAAATTATCTTCAGAATCATTAAGAAACATTGTAAAATAGTTTTACTTTAATTTACATTTAAAATAATCATTTTTAAATCAAATTAAATTGTTTCAGTTAATGGGATACATCATATGATGATGATTTATTGAAATTGTTTCAGTTATTGGGATACATCATATGATGATGATTTATTGAAATTGTTTCAGTTATTGGGATACATCATATGATGATGATTTATTGAAATTGTTTCAGTTATTGGGATACATCATATGATGATGATTTATTGAAATTGTTTCAGTTATTGGGATACATCATATGATGATGATTTATTGGAAAACAAGATCACAATGAACCTGTTATATGTGCAAGCAAATAGTGATATTGAGAGACAGTGGATACTTGCCACTAAAGAACAGCTCAATCATCTGGCTAACTTAAGGAAAAAAGGTTCAAAAAGAGAAGTAAGTTTATTTTGTTTTTGTTTTTTTTGTTAAAATGTAAATAAGTTTTCAATACATTTTACAAACAACTTATATTGGTCAATAATTTGTAACAATTACAGTATTCAAGTTGATATGTTTGGATAACTGTTGTAAAAATAATTGCATTTGTTATTTTTAAACTGATAATTTTCTTTTTTGATCTAGTTTCTCCGTATGGCTCGCACATTGAAATACTATGGTTACATACAGTTTAAACCTTGTCTGACAGACTACCCACAGCCAAATACCAGAGTCATTGTTTCTGCAGGACAGAAAGAACTCAACTTCAGAGTTCAAGTTGATGTAAAAAATGTTTTACTTTATTTCTTTACATTATTAAAAACCTTATAAAACATTTATATAAAATATTTAAACAACAAACTTTTATATAATAATGCACTAAAAAGTAGAAAATAAATGATTTTTTTTTATTTGTAATAATACACTACTATTTAAATAACTATAAAGAAAAGCGTGGGTCACTTTATTATCTATTGGATACGTTTAGTAATATTTAGAAAGATACCCACGCTTTTCTTAAAAGTTATTTAAATAGTAGTAGTTTTGGTACTTTAAAGTTTTTATTTACAATAGGATTGCATGACTAAAAACTATTGCACACCTAATGATCATGATTACGTGCATATAATAGTGCAGAATAGTTTGATGGATGCCTACTAATTCAAGAAAATTTTAATTAATTCATAAAAAATGTATTAGTCATCCAATTAAGTCAAATTTAATGTCTTGACCCACGTGCCAACTTTGAAATGCATCTGTCGGTTAGAAGTGCCTGAAATTTTGTTTGAGCGTTTTGATCTATGACGACAGATAGACAGACTGTCAACAGACTGACGACAGAAGAAGCAAGTTAAATAAAAGCTTGTAAAAATACAATTTAGTGAATTTGTAATGTTTATATTTTCACATTTCATGCATGTGGATCTATATATTTAAAATTCTGAACATGATTTCTGTATATATATATATATATATATATATATATGTATATATATATATATATATATATATATATATATATATATATATATATATATATATATATATATATATATAATAAATCAAACGAACTTGTGTACTTTTCCAGGGTCAAGTTAAAGAAGGCAGTTTTAAAATTACCAGGATGAGATGTTGGAGAATTACAACAATTGTAAGGAAATTTTGTAAAACATCTTATGTTTCTGACCTACTAAGTTAGCCAATAACTATCGTGATGATTATAAAATGTTGAGACTTAATAGCCTGTTATGTTAGCTTTGTTGACAAAACTTAAAAACTTGTAATGCTATTACAATTTTTTTTTAGTATCCTAACAGTAGCGATGAATCACAAGCATCCAAGTCCCAGCTAGAATTGTCATTTGAATACCTGATGTCTAGAGACTCACTACAGTGGATTTCTATCATCAGTGATCAGGTTGGAATCATTGGTCTGTTTATAGGAAAATTTGCATAAAACTCACTGCAGCAACAATATTTATTTTTGGAAAGCCAACTGTGTCTAAATTTGCCAGAAAACATTTTAATCTTTTTTTACAATCATCCTTGATTTTTAATAAGTTTTTTACTTTGTTTATGATTGGTTATGGCTTAGCCTAGATTAACACATATCACAGTGCTAGCTATAGTGTTTTACAGAATGTACATATAATAGTTTTTTTATTTGCCAGAATTTTTACACTTGCCAGATTTTTTACACTTTCAGGCCATGTTGATGAGTATGTGCTTGCAGAATATGGTTGATGAACTCATCATGAAAAAGCAAGGGAAAAAATTCAAGAAGGTAAAAATCTGAAAGTCTTAATTTTATGTATAAATGTAATATCATTTGTCTGATAATCTTTTTCGTTTTATCTCAACAGCCACAAGATCGGCTTAAATTGAATAAGAATGGAGGTCCTTTCAAACCCATATCAAGAGAACTTTCATATGGAGTGGATGTAAGCTGTTTTCATTTCTTTTAAACTTTAAAAATATGTAAATAAATTGTAAAATATGTTATCCCTGTAAATTCATGAATATACATATATATATATATATATATATATATATATATATATATATATATATATATATATATATATATATATACATACATATATATATATATATATATATATATATATATATATATATATATATATAATTGTGAGAGTTATAGCATTTTAAACCTAATCCCATTAACACTTAGGACCCTGTATGCATACATTTCTGTTCCCTCATGCCCAGTGTGATGATTTCCCCTGAAACACTTATCCTTTATAAATACTAAACAAAGGATTTTATCTTTTACTGCAGTGCTGACAAGAATGTTTATTTGAAAGAGTAATAGTCTCAATTAGTTTCATTTTTAATTATAATAATTGGTGTGGGTTTTAAATTAGTCTTTTTGTGTGTGCAAATCAGAAATTATAGAATAAATAGTTTTGACAAGCCGAGCAGAAGTCCTAGTCTTACAGGCATGTTGATATGGGTGTACCTTTCTGCAGAAATGTATTAGTTATAAGTTTAATTAAAATCATATTTTCTAAACAAGATGGCTTTAATTGAGATCAAATTATTTAAAACTTGAATTTGACTGACAGGTTGCAAGCTATAATGCTAATCCTGATAATCTGATCTTGAGTCTAAATGCAGACCTTATATTAATAAAGTATTGAGTGAGATTTCTGTGCCTAAGGAGATGCTAAGAAATTATCCAAGGCTGAAAGTAGAATAGAGAACACAACATTGGCCAGGCCGTACTAGTTCACAAATTTGTTTTTTTAGTTACAGTCACAATTTTCTATCTTAAAAAGTTACTTCACCAGTTATTTCACATATTTTAAAACATTTTTGTAAATAGTAATGAAAAATTTATAAATTTATCAAATCTTGACCTATCGCAGTTGCTATTTTAGTGAGAAATTTTGGTTCCAAAAAACATTTCACATTGGGGGAAGAGTGAAGTGCGATGTGCTCTTTAGGGTTGAAGGGAGGGGTGACATTAGGGGAGGGGGATGGTAACAATTATTCTAGAAAGCATAATGTCATTAATGGATAACCCCTAAGTAATAAGTTATTGTTTTAATTTTGAAATATTTTTATTTTGGTTTATGTAAGTTTCCTCTGTTGTTGTTTTTTTTTTCCCAATCATGGTATATTAACTTTGTCCCACACATTGTGTTTATTAGAAGCCATCTAAAGAACTACACAGCAAAAGACATGACATGATGGTAATGTCTAGCTTCCACTTGAACATTTTTGGCAGGGTTTAGAACAATTTTTGATTATTCTATCTTTGCTGTCCTGGCAATATATTATTGTATGGAGACTATTTTCTGCCAGGTCACTAACAATACAGGCAAAAAATATCTTCAACACAGGCCAGCTAGCAAACATAGGAGTAATTTGATTTTTGTTTTGTTGAAATTTTTTTTTTTTTGCGTATAGTTTGAAACAAAAAAAAAAGACATCCAAGCATTTTTTATGGCATGCATTTCATAAATAAATAGAGATTAAAAAATGAATTACAAAGTTTATAAGAAAGTGGCACAAATTATTTGAGCTCATCACTACTGTCTGTCTCGGCTCACATGCTTTATTTGTCTGCTTTTTAAAAATGGAATGAATACTAACACATTATATTATTTTGTAATGTTGCACTTCATTACTCAACTGCTTATGCAGACCTGGTTAGTTCAGTGGCTCTTTAAGGGGTTAGTTAAGGTGATTCAGCTTGTATTAAATGAAAATGCATGTCATCTATATTTTTTTGTAAATGAAACTATTCTCACAAAAAAGCATTCGCCATTTAAAAATAGACAACATTAATGAATGTATGTTAGTGATATAGATTGAGAAACACTGGATAAAAATGTATCTCTTATGTTTAAGGGTTTGATAATTTTATAACCTTTTGTTTAGATGGAAATATGATTCATTTTAGTTTTTAGAATGAAAAATATACTGAATTGTTAGCTATGTAGATAAAAATAATAATAAGCACAAAGGCTGGTACCAATATATTTCATCTATTTAAAAATTTAAGGAGGTTTATAAATTAATTTTTACATTGTTTAACAATAAACACAAGTTAAAAGTGAATAATTTGTTGTAATTTTTCCAATAAGAATTTGCATGTGTTAATTAAATATAATCTTTTATTAATTGTTGACATATGTAATATTGTGAGAATCTGGAATAATTCCAAATACTTTTGGAGTTGGTTGAACAATCACTGTGATCACACAGCAGATAAACCTACATTCCTAGCTCTACTGAATGCTATTACTGAATTTTTAGGAGGAAAATTACTTTTAACACCTCCAAACCAAATAATAAATGTCAGAATTGTTGATATTTCTGTTTTTAAAATTTAGTAGAACATTAATAATCTAGATGAAACATGCAGCTTGTCAACTAAATGATTTCACATTTTTTCTTCTTAGCCTGAAGACCAAAGTGCTATTACAAAAGCTGTGGATTCAATGAAAAAAATGGTAACTACTTCATAATCATAATATGTTAATTATTCCATTATACATGTGCAGCTATTTTATTACCACAGATTTAGTAATATTTCTGTTTCTATGCCTATTACTTATTTTCTCAATATTCAGTTTTGAAAATTTCCTTTTTAAAATGTATTCATAAGTATATTTAATAAAATGGAATATAAAATATTTTTTTTTCAGGGAAAGAGTGGACATAAACCTGAAGAGACGATCACAGAAAATGATGCATTTGAGGGCATTGGGGATGAAGATTTGTGAGCTATTTGATTAGGTCGTGCCAATATTCTGTTGAGCTGTATCCTGCAGCAAGTAGTTTCTTATGTCATTTAAGAACTGAAAAAAGTTGAAGGTAGATTGGATTTTGCTACATATTCCAAAGCTAGCTGAAATTCAGCCTGTACATAAAAACTATCAAATATTATTTTGTCAGTTTTAACCAACTCTTCACAGCATTTGTTAACACAAGAGTTCATTTTTTATGTTTTTATCTCCAAAAATATTTTAAATTGCCCAGAAATTTTAAAAATGTATTTAAATTCATCACTATTCAGCATTATGCAAGATTAAAGTTAGTATTGAACTTCATTAATAGTGACATTATTCCTAATTCTGTTTTCTAAGTTGCCCTGGAAACAACTTCAATGTTTTGTGGTATGGAACTGTTTTATTTAGAGCACTTTTTCAAATCTAATCAGCAATTGTTTGTAGCCACTGGAAGAATGACTTGGAAAAGTTTTAAATGTTCACCATGATACTTGGAGCAATATTTTAGGATTCTTACAGTATAAAAAAGTCTTTAAAATGTTGGAAAAATCACTAGTTTTAGACTGTTTTTAAAGAAAAGTAAGGAAAAGATCTAAAATCCAGTCTGTAAACATGTCTGTAGTTTTTGTGTTTAAGACAAAACATGCAAACAAGGTTACAAGATGACAGCATTTTATCAGGATGGTAAAAGCTGTTGAGAAAATTTATTTGCTCTATAAATTGAAATCAAGATATTGATTAGTAAACTGGTGACTGCAAAATAGTTATGTGAAATTTTCAAGGGAGGGTGAATGTTCCAATTGGATTTATAATTAGTATGTGTAATTGTTTTCTTTTTAATTAATTGCTTGTGGAAAAAGTCTAGCATAGAATGATCACAAGGCTATTGAGGTTTGGTTTGTAACCAAAAATGGTAATTATTAAAACATTAATTGCTGTTAGAGGTCTTGAATTTGTTCATTTAAGTAATCATAACCAATGCTTATTACTGGAAAGAGCCACATTTTTCATCATTTGAGCTCCACCTTCCTAACAGCTGTGTTAGCACAAGTCTCTTGAAATTTTGTTTACCACATCAACTGTAAAGGGTTTAATAGTTTATTTTCTACACGTCTGGTTGAATTATTTGAATGTAATAGTTCATTTCTTTTTCAACTGCATTAACATTTCACATAATTTTAAACTCCTGATGTAATTCATGTAATCCATCCTGTTATATATCTGGTCACTACTTTTAACAATTGTTTCCTGAGCAGTAGGCACACAAAAAAATTATTTCATTCTTATTTTCTTCAGAAATATAATATAGATAGTACTTTAACAAAGTACTGTGATTTTTATGATATAAATATTTTAAAGAATTCTATAACAACAATTTTTTTTAATGAGGATTAAAGTATTTAAAAAATTATTATAGTCATATATTTAATGAAATATTTATTAAAAATGTATATACACAGAATGTAGTGTAATCAACCTTCTTTGTAATCTTGTATGTAGCATGACTATTTTTCATTACTCTTATGCATTCCTACTGGTTCATACTGAACTTCTGTTCATATTCATTCAATGGTTAACATCTCTCCTAGTGTTTGTAATATATTGTTTAAACCATCAGCCAGAAAATTATGGGGTGGGGGGAATACACATATACACATTTAAATACAAACACATATGCAATAACATAATTGTTTTTTTTTATTAATAGAATATTGTATAAAAATAATTTCCATTAAAATCAAATTTATTTTATCAAAATATATGTCCATCTTCTTGTGAAAAAGAGTTACATGAAACCAACTTCATAATCTTTTTGATGATCTAGTAACTGCACTTGAACACAGTAACATCTCAGTGATTAAATCAAACAGTGACCAGACATTTATCAGTAAATATTAATTATAATAAATTTTCTTATTTCTTTGTTACATGTATAAATAACATAAAGATTTGTTTTACATTTTAAAATGACAATAAACTGTATTTGTGTGTGTTCTTTTTGGAAACATTAGAAGATATTTTACCTTCTTAATGAAGTAATCTTGATGCTTAATTATTTGGCTACAATGTTTCCAGTTGTTCAATGTTTACATTCCTTGAGTACATGTAGAAATTAGCACTCATTAAAGTAAACAAAAAAGAAGTAAAAATGCATCAATAGAAAAAATATGATCACTGCAAATATATAACAAAACAACCAAGTTTTTATAAGTATTTAAGAGCAACAATATCTATAGCCACTGTGTAGTAGCATATTTACTAAAGTTGCGACTCAAAAGTAAACAAAGTATTTCCAGAATATACTTATTTCTTTTTTCATTAAAGCCAGCTTTTCTTCTCTAGTCTCAGTGCTCTACGACCTAAAATGCCATTCTTTACTTGTAACAATGTGATGTTTCTTGTCCAGAGGACAATTATTGATTTATTATGTTCATACAACAGCATTTCAAACTTAACTGGTATTTTTTGTGTAAAATATCCTATCATGATAATGCCCATGTTATTATTTATTACTTCAGTTATTATAAATTATACATTAAATACTGTGAATTGTTTTTGTAAAACATTTGTTTTTTGGAGAAAAAAAATGTGTACAAATGAAACTTACCATCAACAATATTTTAGGGCTAGTATATTATACTAAGCATAACACAACCACCTTTATTATAGAATATATTATAAAACCACTTTAAAATGTTTGATTCTGTTTTTTAGATAAATGCCTCCAAATTGCTAACTAAATCAACTGTTTTTCATGTCATATAAGCTTAAACTCGTAGTGATTAAAAATATTTAAATAGGCATTCTATCTATGTATACATGTATAAATGAAAATTTCTTTTGCTGTCCAAACACATTTAATGTTAGGTCTACATGTATTTTTTAAACCTCTACATGCAAGAAGAGGAAATCCAACATACAAGGCTTCTGCTTTGCCAGAGTTCACATCAAGTAATTTGTACAAATATATTTGGTTACATTTATTTTTTAATCTTTAGGCTATTTTACTTACTAGATTTTTTTGAATAGGCGTATAGCACAATTTTTAAGTATTTTTACTGAATATATTTTCTCTTTCTATGAACATTTAAGAGATTTAAAAGAATGGTATTGGCCTTTACAAGATATTTTAAGAATGATTATAAACTTAAAATTTGTTGCTGTGTAACTTTTGTAGAAATTTATGACATGCTACTTTCACATTCTTAAAATATTTAACATTTGATAATTTCATAAATTATAATTTAAGTGTTTTTTAAAGTGATTGTAAAATGCTTTTGTAAATTTTATCTAACACAGTAAGTTTAAAAATACTGTTTAAAAGGCAAGGAAGAAGCTATATGTTTATTATCAGTTAAAGTTAAAATTTGTTACATTAAATTGTGGAATGGATCTACAGATAAGTTAAATCAGGGGAAGCTCAAGTACCCTGACCAATAGGTAACTGGCATCAATTTGGGACTTTTCAAAATCTGTTGCTTTATCTGGCCAGTAGCTATAGGGCTTTTGTATTTCAAACTAATATTTACAATCATTATAGCTATAGTGATTAAAACATGTTTCTTTTTCTAGTATTGATCTGCATCTCCAAAGAAGGATAGCTATACTAAATTATAAAGTATTGTATGCTTGTGATAAAAAATGTAAGCTTGTAACAAAGAAATTATCCAAAAAATATCCAGCTATTTACTCCAATTGTTAATTGTAATATTTAATATATAAATAAAATACTCCTATATTTTATACAAGGTGTGTGTGAGATGCTATGATAAAATAAAATATTGCTAAAAATAACTTCAGCCAAATTGTTGTTTGTGAAGTATTATTCAGTTTAATAGATATTTTTTTTTTATTTTAGATTTATACATTTATTTTAGCAGAATCTTTATTAGTTTTTTTTATTTTATGATAGAAATGCATTCATGTTCAAAATAATGTGTTTTGAGGATCAACCTTATAATTTAATTGATATTGATAGTACTAGCATATGGTAAAGGATGGCAGGGTAGTCACTTTAGTACCAAGATGTAGTCAACAATTTTGAGAAGCTATAATTTATATTGTATTTTCATGTAATCTCATTTAATTCTACCATCTGATGATATATCTTAATCACTTTAAAAAACTGGTCCTAGAGCAGATAAAATGAGATTCTCTGTTGGTGTATTTATAAACAATTCTGACTTGCTTCATATAATTCTGGATATGGGAGATTCAGCTTTGGGTTGATCATCTATTCCCGTTCGTGCCCATGACACAAGGGGCTGATGAAGTAGCGTTAATCTGTTTCAGATATCTCTGAATATGAAGGGATAGCGTGATCAGCCCATGACACAAGGGGCTGATGAAGTAGCGTTAATCTGTTTCAGATATCTCTGAATATGAAGGGATAGCGTGATCAGCACTATGCCCAGCAGCTTTGGTTTCCCTAATGTGAGTTAAGTACGTGTAAGAGCTGGGTAGGCTCTGGGACATCTTATTGACTTGAACTCGGATTCGAACTCGACAGTTTCTTGTTAGCAGTCTAGCTCTCTACCTCTAGGCGACGCCATCCCATTGCTTCGGGTTAGAAATACTTTAAAATTCCTGGGTTGTCCTGCATTTCTATATAATTAAACAACCCCAAATCATAGCCAACCTGAAGAAAGTTTCAAATAAGTCACTTTTTAAATCTCCAGGATATTTTAATTTATTACATAAAGCAATCAATAACAAAACATAGTAGACAGTTACAATCATAAAATTATCAAGTTAAATTAGTATGTCAAATGAATTACACTGCATCAGAGATCAACTGATGAATGGCCGACTCCACAGATTCTACAAATGCTGGAAAAGTTGGATCTGAGAAGCAGATGTGAAGTAAGTGAGGACAAATCTCTTCATTGGTTTGGTGTTGACTGTAAGCTAAAGGAAGGTTATGTTTGTTGATAACTGCCTGCAATTAAACAAAATTACATTTCAATATAAGGAAAATGTTATAAGGAATATATCATTTTCAGAAGAAAATAAAATGAAAAAAAATAATTTTTAATGAGAACAAAAATTGTTAAAAATACCTTAGCTAATGAGCCAATAGTAACATCTCTTTCAAAAACTGGTGGATGAGCATCTAAAGATTGGTCAGTATTTGATTCAACCTGAGAAATATTGTGATCTTAAAATTACTGCAACAGTGACAGATCAAGTAGTTTTTTAGTATAAGAGGACAGTAACAGAAAAATAACTAGTTGATCATCAAGACTGAAATGAAACTATTTAATATTAGAGTTAGCAATTATCAAGTAACAAAGTGGCTATTTTCAGGTAACATACTTTCTGTAATTTTTTCACCAAGTCAAATTTAGTTTCACTGTTCATTTTAATTGCCATAAAGTTGGACAATGCCTGTGCTGCAATAATGCACATCTCAGTGCCTGTTTTGTTTTTCTGTTGGCAAAAACGGACTCTGAATCTTCTTGTTTCATTCTGAAAGTATTATAAGTGGATACAATCAAACAAGTTTAGGCATCCATATTATTAAAACATAACTAAAAACAAAACTAGTTTATCCTTCCCCCCCCCCCCCCCCCCCCACTTTCCCAATATTGCAAAAAGATTGTTGTTCCTGTAAGTAAATCAGTTTTGTACAATAAATAGTGAGAATAAAGGGAATACATTTTAAACTTTAAATTTTCAGCAATCAGAACATGAAGGATAGTTCATGTATCTATATTCTTTTTCTAGAACTGTTTTTCTTAACTGTTCAAACTAACCTTTACTTTATATAAAATCAGCAGACTGTCAGTTCGACTTAGTCCTCGCATTATAGAATTGGCAGTGGTTAGATTGTGACTTTCCTGTAAAACAAAACAAGAAAGTCTACTGAAAAGTTAATTCTTTTGAGACATTACATTACATGGCTCTCAGACTTGATTACCTAAAATACACTTTGTAGTTCTAAATTAAATATTTCTAGCTAAATAGTGTTAATAGCATGAAATAAAATACTAATTTTCAGTTCATATCTTTGTATTTAAAAACAAAAATAAATATATTTTGTAATAAAAATTTAAAGTAAAAGGCTTAAAAAGCTGCATTGGTGTGCCGTTAGCTATTTATGTAAACTTGATTATCTATTTCCAGTAGTGTTAAATTCTGTTAATGGGATTTTATGTTCTTTTTTTTAACCCTTAAAGCTAAAAAAAGCCATTTATTTGGATTTCTGATTTCCTATTTTCATGCAAATGCTTTGAGTTTTAAAAAGAAAGGTGTCTCTATTCTAATCAATGTAAATAGGTATATTAATATTCACCAAAACTTTGGAGCCTTGTGTTATCAGAAGATGATAATCATCAGTGATGGTCATCAGAAGAGGGCAGGTGGTATTGTCAAAGTGCTGTAGAAAAGATTGCATTCATTTAACTTAACAGATGAAAATATAAAATGTTAATGTCCAAAGTGGCAAGAGTGTGACAGTACACAAAAGACAAAGATCTTGGTATTAAGTGATTAGTTTATTAGTGATGTCCCATCCCATGCCTAGGCTTCAGACTTGTTATAATGACAGACAATGGAGAGGGGGGAGGGGGGGGGTTAAACTGCTAACCCAATAGTCTGGAGTTTGAATCAGGGTTCTAATCAGTAGATCTTGAGTCTACCCAACTCTGATAAACACCTAACTCACATTAGGAAACAAAGGTAGCTGGTCATAGTGATGACCACATTATCCCCCTGTATGCCAAGGTCATTGAAACAGATGAACTCTACTTCATACGACTCATGTGTATTGGGCTCAAATGGTAGAAGAAGATGAATAGGGGGGGTTTGGTTGAACAAATATTTAAGGGGCAAACATGGAGAATGTAATTAGTGATTTTCAATTAGGGTAATGGGGGAGGGGAGGATCATTGACTATATTATAAACTATGAGAATCACATCAGTATAGAGAGAAAATCATATATGGTCATCATTCTGTTCAAAGAATATATTTTTTTATATTCATGCAAACATTATAATTTTCTAAATCAGCAGCATTTATTTTGCAAAATAATAAATAATAAGCAGAGGCAGATTTATAGCTTTTATACCTACTTAATTAAGTGTAGTGTGTCAAAGCCATCAAGTCATATATTCATAATCATTATGAGATCTAGTCAGGGCTTATATCATGTTGGACCTTATGTACTAAATCTACATGTATGCCTACACTATCATCTATCAAGTAGCATCATTTTATTTTTATATTATAAGACAGATCTACAACATGATAGCAACTTTGTGAATAGACCTTAAGGCAGCTTATAACTTATGTGCTAGTATGTTTTGTAGGCCTATACTGTATAAATAGTACATGGGGTTTTCTGTCTAGATTAGGTAATATTAGTATAAATCCTAGATCTATATGTTTACATCATTGTAAATTAAAGAAATCAGTTTTTTAATAACATGTATTGTGTAGGCTTATCTATTGACTGATACTGACTTCACTTTGTGGCCCGGGTGAGCAAAGAGCTGCAACTACACCTCTCCATAGGCCTAAAAATTAAAAGTAGAATCTAGAGCAGGGGTCTCCAAACTACGGCCCGCGGGCCGGATGCGGCCCGCGAAGTCCTCTCATCTGGCCCGCGGAGATCTTTTCGTCCAAGGAAAAATCGTTTGTTAGTGATGGTTGAGGAGCTTTGTCCAGAAAAATCAAAGACATGCCTTGAAGAAATTGGCCCCCGAACTGAAATTTGATAGTTAATGCGGCCCTCGGACTGAAAAGTTTGGAGACCCCTGATCTAGAGTGTAGAGAGGAAAGGGTTTCAGAGCATGTGATGACACACTTTTGCAAAAATGTTAGAATTTAAGCCATTGCTTTAAACTTTAAGTTGGTAAAAATTATTTTAAAACAAGGCAATCGCTTATGAATGGATGACCTACTAAATAGACCTACAGTGTTTTATTTACACGTTGGGATGGTGTTTTTTTTTAACACTAGAACTGTCTTAATTTTTACATGCAGGATATGAGTTTTATGTTTGTTTTAAATAAGTTATACTGTGAGCACACCCGAACCCCTCACACTCCCACTCCCCAGGCTACAGCTAGGTGTCCAAAAAAGACACATAAAATTTGGTCATTCCCCCATCAATAATGATAGAGTATTTTGATAGTAGAGTGATAATGATCTAGAGTTAGAGTCTAGAAATAAGTCTAGATCTAGTCACAATACTGTGACAACACAACACATTCATTTTAATATTAATTATATAATTAGTCTATTTATTTATATTATAATTAAAATTAATATTAATTATTACTGTGTTAGTGTTAGATCTAGTCTAATTATAAAATTATAGATCTACTTCATACTACTTCACACTCATAGTCATCATTCATTATATTATGATTATATAATATATTAATAATAGAATAATTGATTCTGATTATAATAGTGTATCATCATGATCATTGCAGATCATACCTTCCAACTTGAACTTTTCTTCTCTTCCTCAGATTTTTTATGTGCGGCGGTAATAAAACGAGCGTATCGATCCAAAGTCCAACACAAGCTCATATTTTACAAAACGTAGTATAGTAGTAGTATTTTAGTAATTTAGTTAAGTAGTTAGATCTAGATCTAGTAGTTAGACTTAAGAGTACTACAGTACAGGTAACAGTAGTCACTCAGTGCTAGGCTAGGCCTATACTAAACTGTTGAATTGAATGCCCATTCAATTTCTAACTTAGTTTGCAAACGAGGCACTTGCCAGACTTTTCTCAATTTAAGACCAAATACAAAAGTGTAACTAGATTTTCAAAGCCGAACTACTAGGCCTTGGGGGGGGGGGGGGGGGGGGGGTCATCTACAGACTGCGTCACGCTATACGATTTTTGGCCAACAGGTGTAAAATGTTCAAAGCAAAAAGAAAAATCATTTTATTATTACCAAGGCCAATTAACTTCAAAGTAATTCATTCCTTAAGTGAATCCTTAAGTGGGTGAGAATCATGGACTAGTGAATAATGAATGATCCAAACTTAGTGCCAAACACACCCCATTTATGATTCACATAGTGACAAATACATCTCATTTGTGATTCACATATTACCATACATCTCATTGGTGATTCACATAGTACCAAATATCCCATTTGTGATTCATATAGTGTCAAACACATCCCATTTGTAGTGCCAAATGTATGTGTAAGCTTAACTATAGTTTAAGGCCCTGTTTCTTGTGTGTACATTTATTTATAATTTTCAGATCATTGTGGAGGCAGAGTTTCCTCTCAACTAGTTATAAACACATTCTTTGTCACGAAGTTCTTTTTTAATAAATGCAAATATTTTGCATAGACATCCTAATATATAAAAGCCCATGTATGCACTTCTCTCTCTCGCTCTCTCTGTCCACAAAATATTTTCACCGGCTATGATATCAGAATCTTCAGCAATATATGGAGAACTTAATATGGCCTTTTTTGAAAATAATATGTTAAGAGGTTTTAAATGTATAAACTAAATTTTATTTAAAGAGAAAAATAAAGGCATATTCGAATACAGAAACACAATTTTTATTATGCAACCGGAAAAGTGTTTATAGTTGTGACAAAAACGAAATAAACAATGACGTCACATGCCACATGTGGTCGGCGTGGTCGAGTCGGTAAAGCACATGGTTGCTAAACCGAAAAGTCTCGAGTTCAAACCCTTGTTAGCTGGGGACAGCCACTTTTCTAGGAGAGACAACTCCAAAATCAAACAACTGCTGCCTTGTAGTTTGTTCTTGGTTGAACAAAGGCTATGGAAGCAAATCCAAAAAGAAAAGCAGGCTGAAATCGGAGTCAATGGCCTCAATGGGCATAACCAGTTGACACGTAATCCTTAATTGTGATGGAAGCATGGTCGAGTCGGCAAAAGCTCATGGTTGATAAATTCAAAAAAAAGTCTCGAGTTCAAACCCTCTGGCAGATAAGGCTCGATCACTCCCAACACTAAAGATTAAGAACGAAGAAGAAAAAGAGATGCCACATGTTTATACTATGGAAAGAACACAACACTAATGTCATCATCTTCTGATTTTAGAATATAAAGAAATGAACTATTTCATTCAAATTTTATTTAGATCTAGATTCTATAAATCTACATATAAAGTAGACGTATTTTTCTCAAACATGTACAACATTATAACTCATGTGTAAACAGGTACCTGCGGCTAGTGTAATATTGGGGTATATATCCAGTCTTGCCCTTATGTTGTTCAAAGTGACAAGCACACACAGTTCAAATTGACATAGTGACATATATAAATAAGATGCATGATTTAGATGACGCATCTCATCAATATTTCACATAGTAATGAACATATCCAACATGTGATTCACAGTGACACAGTTCATGTTTATTCACATAGTGACACATTTTAAATTACACTCTTCTTCACAGGTCAAGTATACAGGCCTGCAATGGACACTTGGAAACCTCAACATTCAGATTTTTTTTAAAAACAACTCACAGCTTGCATGCTAAGATCACATTATATTACATTTATTTTAACTGTATGCTACATCTTTATTCAATATTTTATTTTACATATTTACAAAATGATTGTTAACAATTATAGATTAAGACATAATTTCAACTAATTTTTATTTCACTGAAACAGCAGGCCAAATTAACAACTAAGCTATCATTAGAATTTCTGACATATATACATTCCAGCCTCCACAAACAATACATTGTCTATTTTTATTATAATGATGTAAGTGTTGTCTGAAGAAGGGGCATCACATTGGTCAGTTGTTGTTCTAAAAGAACTTTTTTGAGTTCCAATTTTTTTTCAGCTGAAACATTCAGGTTAACTGAAAGAAAGATTAAAAACCATTATTTATTTTATTAGCACTCATATCAAGCACAACTTTATAAATATAAATTTATCCTGAAGTACAAATTCACTATGCAAATTTTATAAGATAATTAAGAAAATATATTAATAAAACAACTGTTAAAAATTAATTTTTTTTAGCTATGAACAGAATTTTCCAAAAAAATTCCACATAACTTACTTGTAGAAATTTCAACTGTACTTGGTAGTAGAGAATTAATCAATGGGTAGATCATGAATAATTTAATTTCTGAATTTCCATTGAATCTATTTTTATGACACAGAGTCAAGTCTATTGATGTAAAAGCATCATTGGTAGAACAGGTCTTGAGGAAGTCTTTAAACACATTCTGTTTTCAAAAAATATTTTTAAAAGTATTATACAAAATAAATTATTCAATGTTTAATTTTAAGCACTATTTATTCTTAAACCTGAATACAAAATGTATCAAAATTACAATCTATAAATATTTAATGCCTGATATGTTGCAAATATTACATTACCAATAACTATTGTGTGTATATTCATTTCAATTTAAAGAACAGAAACCAAATAATAGTTTTCAGCAATAGTGGTCCCTATCTTATTTTCAAATAAAAACTTCACCTTGACAAATTCGACCTCTCCCTTCCTTTGAATGTACGCATTTATGAGGTAGCTAATTTCATCCAAAAAATAATCCAATGTTTTAATCTCACAATTATCAAGCACAGTTTGTATATTAAGAAAGTAGGGAATAGTTGTATTGGAAATCTGTGGATAAATTTTACAAATATGTTTAAATACTCATGTATAATTTATATTTATTCTGCTAAGTTCTGTATTTAATTGACATACACAGCCTATTATGTAGGCCCAATAATTTATGTAAAAAACATTTTTTTTGTAATCAATATTCCATTTGGATGTTTCAGCATTTACTATATATCTATACATAAATATACATGTATTTATGTATATATATATGCCACATAATATACATAATTCATAAATAACTCTTTTTTTGTAAACACCCTATTTGAATGTCTCTCTTATGAATGAAAAATACACAAGAGCTAAAAATAAAAACTTAATTTAAAAGGTTTATAGTTTCAAATTAATCTGTAAATGTGTAAAATAGTTGGCATTGTTAGGAAGAAAACTTTATTCCAAAATTTTCAATTATTGACCTATACATGTCAGCTATTTTATTATTTTTTAATCACAATTTTCCAAGATGTTTCTAAAATTACCTTAATGAAACCATTAACATAAGTTATCTCAAGGATAAACGACTCAGTCAGGTCTCTCCACCTCGCTGTAAAACTAACTACCAAATGGATGTCATCAACCTCAATCACTGTAAGACCACATGGACCTATAAAATACAAATTATAATTGAGAATGGAATGGAATGCTCAAACTTTAGCACAAACCCCTAACACGAAAAAAAAAAAAAACTTGTTTGCAAGTTCCTGAACACAAATTTCAACTTCTATTATTATCTTAGTGTCCAGGGGATCTAACTATTCATGGTTGGAGGAATAAGGTCCCCACAAAACACAGATGTAGATTGAGGCAAAGACTTATTACAATACAACTTCTAAATTTCAAACCTTAAATGCTGTAAAAAAAAAATTACCTATTATTCTATAGGCAGAAAGTTTTTCTTGGAAAAGTCGAATACTCTTCTTAAATCTTTTTACTTCAAGTGATTCATCTATTTCTTCGAGAGTATTTCCTTCCATTAGCAATTGTAGTTTTGAATTTAGTATTTCCTTTTCTTTTTTAAGAGCATGTATATACTCTAACTGTTTCTTTATCTGCCAATAAAGAATAACAATATTATTGTTAAAATAAAATTGTAATGATTTTTTATTTAAATACATTATAAGCATGACAAAAATAGTTGTGTTAAAGCTAATATTGCTAAGTTGAAAAAATTAACAGTGCACTTGTTTTCTCTCCCCTTTAAACTGAACATTTTGTGTGGCACTTGCTGAATAGATGTAGAATCTAGAAAGCTTTAGCTTTAGGACTAACCTCATTACACTGTAATTTCTCTTGTTGCTTTTTTTGCTTTGCGGTTCTGAGTTCATTTAATGCTAAAATTGAATCTGCCAATACCAAAAATGGCAAAAAACATTATAAAATAAATTAAATAATTAGGCCTAATAAATAATCTAATGTTTTGTATTCAATAGGATAAAACCTAAAGTGAAGTACTGTAAATATTAAAATAAAAATGTAGGCCTAATAATTAATACTAATAGTTTCGCTGTCTGTCTATCTGTGTATCTATCTATCTGACAAGAACGTTATAGAGAAAACACAAGCAAATTAAAAACATGCATAGTAAAACGAAAATGAAACATGACGTCACATTGAGAATATAGTTGAAAATAGAATTAAGCCTGAGAGTGCACACAATAATATGACGTCATTGATTCTCGAGTAAACATTGAATTAAAAAGCCAATGTTGTCTAATCTTAGGAGTGGTTTGCGTGAAGAGTTTCTTTCATACAATTCTTCGGGTAGGGGCGAAGCCCTCCCCCCGGTAGAACATCTAAGCCGCCTCCCCCCCCAACTCAAAAGATATGACGTCAACGATACTCTATAATAAAAAAGACTGACATTACGGCCTAATTAATGTGTATAAACTTATAAGTGTTTTGCATTTAGAGTTTCTTTCATAGAATTCTTGGGTAGTGGCTAAGCGCGACACCAGTTTTTCTTTCAGACTTTTTCCTCCGAGGTGAGGGGAACTTTAAATTTTCTAATCTAAAAAGTGTTATGCATGCACAGTTTCTACCGTTAGTTTATATGATCTACAAATGCGACCAGTGTTTCTTTCAGACTTTTTCATCCCCGGAGAGGGAGGGGGGTACTTAAAAATTTTCGGGGGGAGGAAACTGGAAAATGTATATAATTATATTTCGTTGAATGGGACGGTAGACGTGCTTTGGGGTGTAAGGGGCGGGGGGGGGGGGGGGCAGAGCCCTTTATCCCCAATGTGAGTCGCCTGAAAGAATATCTAAATGCGACTTTTGTCATGATTGAGATTAGGTGCATGGCTTAGGGGTGTGGCTACGACTGTATTTAGTATCAATGCGCAGTAACTAAGTGTAGATCAAGCTTAAATCCGATTAAAATGACGATTCTTGATAAAAATCCGTTTTCAAAGTAATTTGTTGTTTCCGATTCAATTTGAGGTTAAGGTGGTGGCTTTGGTTTAGAGAAAATAGACAGCACTATCAACCTAGCGCCCATTGTATCCTTCCTCAACCGGCCACTTTTCTTGCTTAGTAATAATTGTCTTTTAGGCCTACTACTTATTTATTATATTTAATTAGTAAATTACTATTAACTATCTATACTATAACTAATAAACTAATAGAGTCCTTGCAAACACGTGACCTAAATCACGTGATACCTACGCCCGCCGCCACAGTGGTGTACATCAGACGTAAACACTATCAGCTGTTCGCCAGCGCTGGACGCGTTCACCGTATGTAAAGAATCGCGCCCGCGGAAAAGGAAAAATATGTTAAAAAACTTGAACTCTTAGGAATTGAAGATCCTTATACAGTTATTGACAGTTTCGTGGATAATATAAATATGTGGCCGAAATTTCTAAATAAAAATACTGTTAGTAATACCGTTTGCGTTTAGAGTTTAAGTAGACGAAGCTGATCAAATGCAGTAATATATTAGAGGTTATCTACTGTAGCAAACGTGAGACCACTTAACTCCTACAAAACCCACACTACAACGGCTAATATAATCCATGGGTAATAACCAATCTGGGTAGCATGTTATACAATTTAAGACCCTTATAATCCAGCAGGGAAGTAATCAGACACATTAATACTGACGTTCAACCCTCATGATGGCTGCCCCCACCTGTATCTAGCCCACAATAAAACCAAAGAGGGGTCTGCCCTGCCCTCCCCTGAAAATGTCTCACCTCCGTGATACCCAGCCCCACAGAGATAGTATTTCTTATATAATTTTGACCCTCAGGGCCCAGCAGGGAGAACAAAGGGGAAAGTCCCACTGCTCTCCCCTCAACACTTCTCACCTCGGTGTCATGTTATGTCATTTATAGCACACACGGCTTATCAGGGGAAAGCATTAAGGCATTAAGAATCTCAACTCTGGACAGCTACACACTAGTATACTAGCTACACACTAGGTGCCTACTGTAAACTACTAGACTGTAGGCCCTATGTAGACCTGCAATTGTATCAATTGTAGACTGGGTCCATTGTTATTATTCTAAACCATCTCACTTATAATGTTTCTAGCTTGATTTGTTTCTTTTATAAACAGTGGATTTAAAAAAAAATTTAGCCTAATCATTAACCAAATAATAATAATGTGGTTATTTGTTGTTGGCTGGTATGATCTAGATTGTACTACTAGGCTACAAAAACTTAGTAGACCAATTACTAGATATGAATTTGAATTTAATTAAACTCAGTCCAGTATCAGATACATATTGCTGTAAAAAGACAACAAAGTAGGTAGGCCTTAGTAATTTATTAAAGCCTTCTACTACAATAATATCAACTACATGCTTGTATAAAGTTTTTACAATTTAATTTAAGTAGCAGATTCTAGATCTAAATCTAGTCATATAATCTATTTCAATTTCAGAAAATTTCGTTTGCTAAAAAATGATTAGATAATAGAGCGAGATTTTAGATCTTAGAGACAATTAAATGCTTTATTAGGCCTATTATGACTACTTTTGATTTATTATGGGTGTATTTTGAATCGAAAGTAGATCTAAAGTAATTAAATTTAAGTAAAGAAGTAGATTCTAGATTCTATGTCTACCCAGCGGAGCCAGGTATTAGGCCTACTATTAGATCTTATTATTCTTATTAGCCTATTACTTTTGACTTTGTCTTTTACTATTAGTATTTGTGAAGGTCGAGCATATTTGTTTTATTAATAGTTATCTTTTATAATTAAAATGAAGTTTATTATTTTACTGTCCTTACATGAAACAAAGTATCGAGAACTGCATTTGATCAGATTCGGCTACTTTAACTCTAAACGCAAACAGTATTACTAACAGTATTTTTATTTAGAAATTTTGTCCACATATTTATTTATACGAAACTGTCAATAACAGTATAAGGATCTTCAATTCCTAAGAATTCAAGTTTTTTAACATATTTTTCCTTTTCCGCGGGCGCGATTCTTTACATACAGTGAACGCGTCCAGCGCTGGTGAACACGTCCAGCGCTGGCGAACAGCTGATTGTGTTTACGTCTTGTGTACACCACTGTGGCGGCGGGCGTAGGTATCACGAACGGACGTGACGTCATATGAAAGGACTCTATACAACAAAGGTGAAAAAAGTTAAATTTATTATTTAGTAGTTAAATCAGTAGCCCATTCATTATTATAAATTATTTTATTAGATCTAGATTTCTAGATCTAAATCTTAGATCTAGATTCAATGTGACTTATGTGATTAAAAACAAAGCCTACTTTTGTGGCACTGTGACTGAGCAAATGTGTAATATACTTAATATACTATATACTATTTAATTTAATATAGTATAGATCTTGACTAGACTAGATAGACTCTAGACTCTAGATCTAGTCCTAAATCTAGAATCTAGGTCTAGGTGTGTTCAGAAATGTAAATTATAAATTATAGGCTAAAATAATTTTTTAAATGTTGAATTGAATGTTGATTGATGATTATGTCAATTAATGAATTATGAGTATTTATTTATTTATGTTATGAGTATGACTGTCAGTAGTGTCAGTCAACACTCAACACGGACTGTAACACACTGTCATGAGTCATGACATACTCATTTCTCCAATCTTGTTTTTAAAAAGCTAGTCTAGACCTATAGATCTGGATTCTATATCGATTTAGTTAGATCTTCTAGACTTAGATCTTAGATCTAGGCAAGTATGAAATGGAGAGCGAAATTTTGAATTGTTGTCATCCTGAGTTTCGACTAACTTCAAAAAATTGCAGCTAAACACAGAAACATGAAAAGAAATACCCAAATAATCTAAGAAGGGACATAACTCGAAAATTTTCACGCTAGACGTAGGTGACAGACAATACCACCGCATATCCCTAAGCCCTAAGCAGCCCAAGCCCTAATACACTAATCTATACATGTAGGCACTATAGTACTATAGCCTAGGTGTTAAAAAAAAATACTTCTTAAGATCTCTGTAAGGAATCGAAATGTATTTTGCTTTGCTTGAGCATTCATTCGAATCATGAAAAACTAAGTTAAATCCTCTTTTATGGTCCTTAGCAACCAATGAGAGCGCAATTTGTTTGCAATCGGTGAATGTAGTATATTAAAATATAAAATTATAAAGGACATACAGAGGAACCGACCAATGTTTCTTCCACTACTTTTAGAAAAGATTTCAGTCTTGAAACTTTCACACTTACATTATCAGAGGGGTGGAAACTGACCCCCCCCCCCCCACACACACACACCAGAGGAAAGAAACTCTGGAGCCAAGTAACATCTGTAAATATGGCAAAAGAACAGAACAATTTATAAGAGACGCCTTCAATGCCACACATCTGTCGCCAGGTTTCTTTGAAGGGGAAGCTACATGATGCCATCACCTCCTACATTAGCCCCCCAGTCCAACACTTAAGTAAAGGTATTTGAAGCACTTGGCTATAAGCAACATCATAAACCCTAAGATCAACCAAATTCAGTTGAGAGAACACCTTCCTAAACAAAGACATAACATCTCCAGCTATCCGCCCAGAATTCAATAATGAAGGAACTGTGGAGGAATCTGGTCCACTTAGGGAGCTCAATGTAGCAGCCCAGACAAATAACAAGGTCTAATAATATGAATGGCCACAGTTGAATGATATGGAGGTTTTTAAAATGGTCTCACTACTGTCCCTGAAACATTCCAGTGATGTTTTCATTTGTAGGCCCATGCGGCGTAAAAAAAGGCCAATGAAAAAACGGCCCCGTAAAAAAGACCCCCGTCAAATCGACAGCGGCAAATGAACCCAGTCATTTAGACAAATAGGTTGCCGTCATGCAGGCCCCGACAAGAGGGCTCCTGTCAATAAGGTTCCTGACATATAGGCTCCAATCAATTTGGCTCTCGACAAATCAGCTCCCGTCATTACGACTCACGACAATAGGCTCCCGTAATTTTGGCACCCGACAAAACAGCCCCTGTCATTACGACAAAACAGCTCCCGTCATTACAATTTCTGACAAATAGGCTCCTGTCATTTTGGCTCCCGACAAAAGGCCCCTGTCAATACGGTTTCCGTAGAGACTTCCTCACTGAATATGACACCTGCCAGTGGGACCCCGTCATCAATACTCTTTAGAGTTGGCCTGCCTAACACCCTTAAATAGTACAACGTAAGAATCTCTTGTTTGGCAGGTCTAATTTTTTAAAATTTAGTATAAGAAATAGTATGTTTCAAATTTAAGGGTCATCTAGCTATGATTTCCATAAATGAGTCGGTAGTTCCAAATCAGTTTGTGGGGAGAAAAGACCACGCTGTACATTCCAACCTGCAGTGTGCTTGTACGTTATCTAAACAAAATGTCGCTATCCTATAAACATCATGTATATCATACATTTAAACTTTTGTGCTCTCTTTTAAGCAACAATTATTGTATATTAAGAGAGAGAACTTTGGTAGGGCGGCATATCGGCAATGGTTAGCAGTTGAACCCACAGTTCTCCAGAGGCTGTCTTAGCATGTTAAGTCCACTAATTCAGCGTCCTGAACACATGGGTACTATTTGAATCAACTATCAAACTGCACCATAATTTTTGATTGACTAGCACTGGAGTTAAATTAACGATTTAATTAACTTAATTAAACCGTAAATGTAATCAACTTTGGCACTATTTTGAATATTGAATTTTTCCATTTACCAATTGAAGACCTTAGTGCTAAAAGTACTTAAGTCACAAAAACAACATTTTAAGATAAATTAGTTCAAAGATTAAAATTTACTACAAATCATTACGTTTTTATATTATTTGTTTGTTTGGAGGAGCAACATAAATAAATTATTCAGTTTTACTATTTGTTTATAAGATAAAGTTAAACTAGAGGAATAACGATCAATGCTTGGTTTGATTTTCACAAAAATGTGACTTAAGTACTTTTAGCACTAGGCTCTTCAATTAGTGTATTTAAATGTATGATTTTAGTTGTTATGATCCAATCACAAAACAAGGTCACGTGTCTAAAAATAATAAACTGTTGGTAACAATTAAATATTGAAAGTTTTCTTTCTTCTGAGATGCCAGCACCACTCAAAAAACAAGCTATTTCTCTATAAAACCAAAGTACCAGTACTTGACAAGACCAACAAACAAGTTATTTCTCTATAAAACCAAAGTACCAGTACTTGACAAGACCAACAGACAAGTTATTTCTCTATAAAACCAAAGTACCAGTACTTGACAAGACCAACAGACAAGCTTTTTCTCTATAAAACCAAAGTACCAGTACTTGACAAGACCAACAGACAAGCAATTTTTCTATAAAACCAAAGTACCAGTACTTGACAAGACCAACAGACAAGATATTTCTCTATAAAATGAAAATACCATTGCTTGCATTATTTATAAAAACTTAAAGAAATGGACCAATTTCATTTGGTATTATATTTATGTACATCTTTGTTAATAGTAATAATAGTAATTGCCTTTTAGCCTTGTATCAGCTTCAACCACATTTCTATCCCTTAATTACAGGTCACACTTAAAATTTTTGTTTTTTTCAAACTTTCTCTTCCTCTTGCCAATCAACTATTGCACTTGCAGGAATATAAAATATAAGACAAAATTCTAAATCATAAATTGTAATGGATCACACACATTTATTCTAGTTTACAACTGAATAACAATTACAATAAATTTAAAGGCAATATACATCAAGAACAGCAAACTATACTCATACATCCAAGTAGAAAAAACTGTAACGAGATAATTTGCAAACTTTTGCCATTCACTTGGTTTTATGACTTCAGCAACCAGCTGCTATCAATTTAATCTGAATCACTCCCACTTGTCTTTTTATGGAGACGATCAATCTTTTTCTTGTGGTGCTCAATGGCCTCCTAGTTAACAGAAAATAAAACAAATAGTTGCACGTTAAAACCGTAACTACTGTTTACATATTTTAATACTTGTTTTTGGTTTGTTGGTTCTGCTTGATCAGAGCATCTTTACTTCTGAGCAATGGGATTGATTAAATTAGATTATAATTTAATTTAAAATAATAATTTGAATAATTTTACTTTCTAAGTAAAACAACTAGAAATTCATGAAAGGTATATCTGGCAGCTTGGCAGAATCGACAACCTGTTAGAAAGTAAGTTGTAGGGTGTTGCCTAAGATTTTAAACTTCATTATTGTTCAAGATGACTTAATTAAAAACTACATTTATTTACCTTTAATTTGATACCAATTTTATTTATCAAATTTAATCGGTAGCCTAGAAAATGATTTGTGAAAAAAAGCGTTTGTTTTTATATGGCTACGATGATATGACTTTTTATCAGTGATACAATGGGTTCGTTTTATAAGTAGTGTTGTTGTGACGCGATTGACCGATCACTGCCGTTCAGCAGAAATGTGTCATCTGCTATATTTCTCCCCACTCAAAAACACGGCAGGCAAAATGGGTGGGCTTAGTAAGCTGTGGCCTCGATCAAGTTATTTTTTAAAGCTTTTGTTTTTACCCTGCATGATTTTTAAAACATTAATGACAGTTTAGTGGAAAGCAAGTTAAAAATTATCTGATGTGTGAAAGTTACTGCTAAGCCAACCTACCATGTGCTGTCTTATTTGGCGTTCATGGTGGGAAACTTCATCTTCCAACAATTCCTTCATTTTTTCAAATTGTTCTTTTTGCTAGAGACATTAAAAAAAATATAATCCATTCATTCATTGTGAACTCCTAACAGTTTGTACAACAAAGACAATATTTCTGAGGAATTAATAATCTGACTGGTGAAAGCAACTTCCAGTAGAGCAAAATAGTTTGTATGTATCATATCTTGCTGTTACAGATGTACACTTGTGGGTTTATCTACCCTTGGGACTCACTGCTATAATTTTAATGGGATAACTGTTACAGCCAAAACTTCTGAACTAACAGCTTTTCTGTGTTCTGTAACTTTATTACAACTCGTTTAACTGAGGATAATTTTTTTTATTTTCATGTGATCTTACTGGAATATATCTTTTAAACAAATCAAGATAAGTAGCAATAATTAAGCTTCTACCTGTCAACAAAGAATAAGAATGCGTTTCGGTAAATTATGGAGGTGCTATAATATGAATTTAAGTCAAAGTGGAGCATTAGAATTGCATTAAAAAAGTCAGCATGAGCCCCAAAACTTGGTTTACAAGGAGGGCTTTTCATTATCTATACTTTTAGATAAGTAAACAAGCACAAAAATAAAACTTATTACCAATTGGCGAAAATATTGCTCCTCCTTTGCAGCTTCCATTTTACCAAATGACCCACCAGCTTCCCTAAGAAGCAAAAACAAGATTATCAGTAGTCATATCACATTAATTAAAACAAACATATGGCAAAGGGTAACTATGTTGGGAGTGTTACAGATGTTAGTAGACAAATTTTTAAACCTATTATTTAGTTACAGGTAACAAAAAAAAAAACTACATTGAAAAATAACATTTTATTATTTAAATAGTTATGCAAGGGCTATAAGAAAGTTCTAGAAGATTAAAATTCTCACCTTACTGCACCGCCAGAGCCACCTCCCTGAAATTAATGCAGTTTGATTAGATTCATATTTAATTATTGTGGGAAAAAATAATTTGTTATAGTATAGTTAAAACTAATTAGAAGCTATTGCTACAAATCTATTTGATATAAAAATATAATTACATTTCGGAGAATAATTACTTACTTTTCCAGCACCATCACCTAACTGTCCACCACTTAATGACCGTGCACTGAAAAGAAAAAAGTTATTTGCAAATAAAAAAAAAACAATCTGAGTGCAATGATGGTAAAAATTGTATGGTAATAAATTAGTTTATTACACACCAAAACTATAATAAAGAATGATCAGGTTTAAGTTTACCCTGCTGAAGATTAAGTAAGGAGTATCTTCTGATTTTTTATTTCTTGTTTTTATTAAAAAAAAAACAGCAACTCATTAGCCTAAAACTTTATTTTTATTAACTAGCATGTCTGGTATAATCATGGATTACTAGTGGTTGCCAATCAGCCTAGGGGAGCTGGGCCGGAGATGTTCCCTTCTGATTATTACAATCTCTTGTCCTTGATTATTATTTATCTAAAATTAACAGATACACACTAGGGGTGAGATGTGAAACAGCAAGGTGCAAAAATGGGAGAAGCCTGTCACTTGACAGTTTTGTCTTGCATTTACCCCCAGCATATTTTTAGGCTTGATGGGGGTAACTAGATTGTGTTGATTTCTGCAAACTGTATCAATTTACATGAGCTTTGCTGCAGACTTAAAATTTTTGACATTTTATTTAAGTCTGTATTATTGTTATAATGTAGCCACACATCCTCAACTTCTTTCTAAATTCTATTGTGTTGACTTACTATCTGTACAGGCAAGCAGTTATGCTTCAGGCAGGTCGTCAGGGGTTTAGGGTTCATACTCATAGTATAGTACGTCTAGTAAATAGATCGTCTATATGTAGGCCATACATTATTTTTTTTTAAATGTATTTTAATAGACCGGTAATCTATCATTTTAGGTACGTAAAATCGGCAGAGGCTAGTAATGTGAAAAAAAAATTATCCTTAAATTTTAGTCATTTTACATTTTTAGGAGGATTTATGTTTTAAAATTTACAAAAATGTTTCAAAGTTTTCATTTATGTACCTGTTTTTAAACAACTGTACTAAAACTTTTCAGTAGTAAAGACTAGCAATGTTTTCATCAGATGCAACCAAGCTCATTTACTTTAGCAGCCATCTTAAGATTTTTTTGTTAAATTATAGTGGGAGATTCAGGGGAAGCATTTTATAGATGGCTGCTGTTTATATAGCAAATCTTGCTTGCAAACATTGCTGTTTAAAGTTAATTTCTGGCCTATATTGATATATTTAGCCATTGATTTTGGTATATTATTCAGTTTTCTATAATATTTGACACAAATATATCACAATTCATTTCTATTAAAGTCTTAACAGTGCTTGTTTTTAAATTACTAACCGCAGCAGATTTTACACACCTAAAACGATAGATTACCAATAAACCATTTGAATATACTAGTCATATAACTAGTATTTAGCGTGTTTTCCCTGTCCCATCATAACTCTGGGTAAAAAAAAGGTCAAGATTTGTATGGCCTCCCTCCCCCAATGACGTAGTAACTGAGAAATTGGATTTCTTCTGCAATCGAGCAAAAATCTTCAAACCACAGTCGGCTTTTAGTTTTGATACACTTACAACAGCATTCTTATGTAATGTTGTTAAGTACTTGTTGTTTTAAAAATATTTTAATATACCTGTCTTTCATTTTTTTCAACTCTAGTTCTAGTTTTGCCTGAAGTAAAATTTTGAGGAATATGTTTTTCCTATAATCCCCACTAGACAAGAGTCAGACCTAGGTTACCTGCCTGTTGCTATACACTCACTAGCTAGATCTGGGTGCTGACTGTAATTTTAAGTATTCAGGTTCTGCTTACCCTTATTTATAGTTTATATGCTGAAAATCAGAATTCATACACAATACACACATAAAAACATTGATATGATAACTTCAGTTCCCTTATAACAAAATGGCTTAAAGATGGACTTCACCTGCCCAATAATGCAGTTATATGCACATTACAGTGTTCAAGTAATTTACTTTAGATTTCTGACTATGTAGTTCTTTCATTAACTGTATTTATTTAAAACATTGCTTTAGAAATATTTTCATATTTGCGCAGCACACAGTTTTTTTGGGGTTATGGGAGGAAGCTAACACAAAAATATACTTCTGTATTATTTTTATCAAAGTGACTACTCGGAAGAAGATTTTTCTCCCCAACGTCTCCACTTAGTCGGCAAAAGATAGCTCTGCGCATGCGCAGTGACCTATGGCTAGAATTAGGATTTAGGATTAGGGCTAGGGTTCTGCGGTTGTAAACACATGCATGAGAAGTACCATCGAAAACATCGCCACGATGGCAAGTCGTAGTTTCTCTCCCTTGCATGTACGCATCTTATTCCGGCTAGCATCTGCCTGTTTTTATTCATTTCAACAGCATATACAAGTTCTATATATCATTCTAGCTAAACTCTGCAAATATGAACAAAATACAACTGCAAGTAAAATAACTATGCCTATGTTCAATTTATTCAGGTATACCATGACTATGACTTGTCACAATCAATGTGACAATTGGCCAAGGCAAAAACAAGGGGATTCCACCCCTCACAAAAAAATTCGCTAAAAAAAAACTATTTGAGCCAAACAGAAAATCTTTTTTGGTTTGTTTTCATATAGATCTAGTTGAGGGTAAAATCACGATATAGCGTCGGTTATTATTCCGGAACTGTACAGCAGTAAAAAACAGTAAAACCATGGCGTAGTCTGTCGAGCCGTTCCGGAAACCACCAGAAATACTGTAAACCATCATTTATTTGCCGCCATATTATTTTTAATACATGTTTAAAAATGTGCAAGGATTGATTTTAGTTGCAATTTAAATACTGTTTTGCTAATTATTTTGTATTTCTAATTATTTTAAGTGTTTTGTTAATTATTGCTACTACTAAACATTATTCTAGTTATTCTTACTACTTTTAACTTTAGTTAATCTAATCGTCTTATTTACTAACAGAACTAGAGCTGGTTGTCGCAAATCTTCTGCAGGTTTTTTCTGTTTCTTAAAAAAAACATTAATTACTACACTCGACTTTATTAATAATATTTAGATTTACTAATTGTTGCTAATTTTTTGTCAGTTGAACATTAAATTAAGTTAAAACAATTTAATGCACTTGACTTTATTTTTCTTTCACTGCTCAAATAAACTATGGTTTACACTACAGTAACGAATGTTACCGAAACTCAACGAACATTACATTACCCAATAATTTCCGACGCTATATCGTGATTTTACCTAGTTGAGCTCTACAAGAATATTAATTTTTATATGATGATTACGGATTAGTGTTTTTTTCAATACTTCAAGTCCCTACTCACCACTCTGACTCTACTCTTGGGACTCTAAACAGTTTATTAGTCAAGTCTGTTATTATCTTAGTGAAAGCATTTGTAACCTATTCAGTTTCTCAAAAAGGTAATCTATCGTTTTAGCGTAATCAATTCGGCCGTCACTAGTAATGTAGGGATAAGGTAACTAATAAATATGGCTTAAATATGAATATATTTTTGCATATTTTACTAAAATACTAAAGATAATTGAATATTAAACCATATTTAAGGTTTAAATCAATAAAAATGTCATGAAATTAAGGTTTAACAACGATGTTCCAGATACTAAATTTGCTATTAAAAACAGCGGCCATCTTAAGAAAATATTATTTTGAGTCATTTCCCTTTAATTTCTATTTGTATGGAAATGTATTGATGTTTACTATTAAATACGTTAGTCTTGTGTTTAAATTCAAAGCATGCATTTTTTTAAAATTCTGCCCTTTAAACAATTTAATTGACTGACAATAAACATCAGTTCTAGAGTTATTATTATGAGATGCAATTTTTATACATTAAGATACTCCCTATTTTTATAGAGCTACCACTACATATCTAATGTTTATTTAAATATTAGTTTGAGTTAATTGATAATTCATATTGTTTGTGTTATTGTTTTTTTTGTTACTTTCATTTAATATTTTCATGCTTTTTTCCTTTAATTAGTGATTTAATCATAAATGACGTGCCGTTTTTTTACCTCTCTTCACCTTAACCCCCCCCCCCCCCCCCAAATACCCAAAGTGAGTTATATGGTGTTGTCCATAAACGATGTCTCATATGCTATGCTAATGTGACGTCAACTTACGCAGGGTGGTCGGGGGGGGGGGGGGGGGGGGGATGCGTGACGTCTATTTTGGAATCTTCTATAAAGCTGTGCTCAATGAAAATGAGGAACATAAAGCGTTCGTTTTCATGCATACATTTGTTCATAACGAATGATCATAACTATTGCATGCCTTTTGTACTAAGCAGAGGCGTAGCAAGGGGGTGCGGACCGCACCGGGTGACACCATTTAGGGGGGTGACACCAAGGCAAAAAATAGCAAAATATATAGAGAAAAACTTGGGGGGGGGGTGCAAATCGAAAATTTGAACTTTTGTCCCCGGGAAGGGTCGCTACGCCTCTGGGGGGGGGGGGGGGGGGGGGGGGTGACACCATTAAGTGCAGCACAGGGTGACACCCGACCTCGCTACGCCACTGGTACTAAGCGGTGTTATACAACCTCAGCACATCATCCCCGCCAAAAAGGACCTGCCACTAAATGCCTACCGACGAAAATAGGCCGCACTATATTGACTCCAAATGAAATAACTTCTGACAACAAGGCTCAAACCAAGTAGCTCCTGGCAACAATATTCGACAAGAGTCCAAGACAATTATTGACTACAGGTAAAATGGGACAAATCGAAAATTGAAAGTTTGTCGCCTCTGCGGGTGACACCATTAAGTGCCGCACCGGGTGACACTCGACCTCGCTACGCCACTGAGCTAATGTAAAGCCACAGCTCAGTTTAGGCTTGAATTTAACATAAAATAGTGTTAGCAGTGGACAGTCTCTAAGAATGTGCATTAGGAGTACGGCCGTCGGCAAAACGCCAGAGTCCGACGATATCTGAACATCAATTTTGTCTTTTATGAAGTGCGGAGCACCTTTAAGACCTGAGCTTGGCCCCTGTTGACACCACTAGCGCCGCTTATGTCCACATATTTATCACACGTTTTGCGTGGAGTATAATGGACAGACGTTTATAGGTGGGACCGGGAGCCTAAATGCATTTACCGAAACCGCTGTGTCACGGGCATTTTAAAGGCCGAACGTCTCAGGGCTGCATGTTGCAGTAATTAAAAGCACGTGAATTTGTATAGAAGAGGGAGAACATCATGCCACTGTAATAAATTAAACACCAATATAATTCACCGAACTAAAATGATTTAGATCTATTCGTCAGGCTAAATGTTGCTAAAGTCTCATCGCCATAGTAATTTAGTGCCTGTTTTGATTTTTTTTTAAATTACGCGTTATCTCTTTCTTAAACATTAGCCTAATGACAAATGACGTCACGCGCGCCGCGAACTTTATGACGTTGTGCTTAGTGGGGGGATGAAACGGCGTGGTTGAGAAAAATGACGTATTTCTTTTTTTTTTAACAGACGAATAAGTGATAGATTCTAATTTACCTACGAACTTTAGGTTAATCTAGTTTTTTTTCTAGAGGGAGATATCACTATATTGTGTTGGGGGGTTTATATATAATCTCAATATATTCTGATCTACTACTTTTCATACGGCAACTATTATACTCGTGAGGAGGACGGGAATCACTTTATGTTCCGCATACACTAATTAACAATGTCAACAACTTCGTTTATTAAATAACATGAACTTTATTAACACACACTTATAGATCATTTGCACAATATCAAATAATACGTCCGTCTTCTACTATATCTAACCCCCAACCAACTTCACTGCTGCGTCTTACGTCATCGGTACATTGTCGCACCATGCTCACGTCACACTCACGCCACAAATATTTTATCAAACACGCGCACAATACTCTCGCACCTAATCGTCTACCGTCAAGTTCGCACCGTCCTTAGTAACTTCTACTCGTCTAGTCTAATTCTATATATCTACGCTATGACATATATAGTGGGTGGTTTTTTTTTTTGTAATAATGGATGGTGTGGAGGGGTAAACATTGACTACTGAAGAAATCAAAAACTGATAACAGCAGAAGGCAAAGAAAAAAACATGTGGTATTCAAATGTAACTAATTAAAATTTGAACCTATTTTAAAAAAACACAATAATCTTAATTCAGAAAAAGTGTAGGCCTAAGACTAATGTCTACAGACAAAATAAACAACTAGGCTTAATTAAATGGATCGCCCATAAATGACGTAATACTTTTCCCGACGATTTCCCTCTCACCCAATAGTTACTAAAAGCAAGATGATGATTTAATATCATATCGCAGTTCTACTATACCCGAACCCTTAATAACAATTTCTAACGAAAACGAATATATTCTTCATCATTTTTGAAAAAAATATTTTACACCGTCCCATATTTTGAGTCCAACGTCATTTATGAGGAATATGGACGACCTAATAGTTGACAAGTTAATTAGTACAAAAGGGTTAAATAAATGTTGGGCCTCCCAAAATGTGTTCAGATCTTGGGTGCACATACATACATACATAGCCTTCATTTCACTTGAAATTAAAGATAAGACAAGACAGGTATGTATATTAAACAACAAAGTCAACACAATATACATACGAATAGACATTTTTATCAAGGGAAACTACTCTAAATTTTATTTGGAAAGATGGCCGCTGTTTTTTTTCTACTAATATTTATCTCAAACACCTAGTTTAAAGTTAGTTTCATGTTATTTAAATTGTTTTGGTCACTGATTGTTATTTTAAATCAATTATCTGTGATATTTTGTACAATTTGACTTAAATAAATAAACTTATTTAAACAAATATATTCATCAGTTACCTCTCCCGCACATTACTACTGCAGCCGAATTGATTACGCTAAAACGATAGATTACCCTCAAAAATATGCTAGATCTAGATCTATATCTAAATAGGAATCTACATATATTTACCTCATCAAACGTAACGTTGAAGTACGCAATACTGTACTGAGCCGCAAAGCCATGTTTAATCAGAACGATGTTGATGAAAACAAGAATCTGAAGGTCAATTTTTTAGTGTGGCAGTATCGATACACCTTTTAGAATGTATTTTGAATATTCGATTACCTACTCGTTTAGCACGTACATTTGGTACATACATATTGGAAGTTGCTGTCACTAGTGGGCTTGTTATTATTCCTCAGAAATATTGTCTTTGTTGTACAACATGTCTAAGGAAAAAAACTCGCAACGAGCTAATTGCATTTGTTAAATGAAAACATTTTTCCCATGGAACGTAGATCTATATTCTTGTTGCAATTTTTTAAAAGACATGCTGCAAGTGTAAACGTGAGGTAAGCCAAATTGCTAATAATAATTTTTAATTAATAATAATTTATGTAAGTCTCATTAAATTTTTAATTAATTAATAATTATTAAAACCATTTCCTAATTAGTAATTTAACCAATTCCATTGCAAAGCACATCCATCGTGAGACAACAAATCACACAAAAATATGTTTTCATGTCGGGCCTCATGTAACAGTGTTTTAAAAACGTCTTTTTACCCCCATTAACAACCAAAAAAAGGCATGCAAAGTATAAAGTATTAAACCGTTATTGGGGGGGGGGGGGAGTGCTAACCAGTGTTTCTTCCAGACTTTTTTCTCCGGGGGTGCACTTGAAATTTTCGGGGGGGGGGGGCGGAAACTGTCAAAAGTATATATTTTCTATATAAATGCCATTTCGTCCGGGGGGGGGGGGGGTCATCCATAAATGACGTCACACTCGTAGGGGGGAGGGGGGGGTCCGTAATTTTGTGACGATGTGTGATGAGGGGGAGGGGGGGGGGGGTCAGATGTTGCGACGTCACATTTTTGCATTATAAAAAAGCAATGTCAGAAAACGAATTTTAGACGTTATTTCGCGTTTTAGATAACTGTTTTAATAAATTGTAATAGTTTAGACAAGATTTTGGAAAAATATCGATGTTTTTAAAAAATTCAACTGCAATTTTGAGGGGGGTTGTAGGTTGAGGTGTGACGTCATTTTAGAGGGGGGGGTCTGGCTTTTTGTGACGACGTGTGACGGAGGGGAGGGGGGGGGAGGTAAAAATCGTCAAAAAAAGCGTGACGTCATTTATGGATGACCCCCCGGGGGGAGGGGGTGCCTACCCCCCCCCCCCCCTCGAAGAGATGCCTGGAAGAAACTCTGGTGCTAACACAGTATAATTCTCTGTGCTCGTAACACAATATTATTTTCTGTGCTTGTTGAATGTTTTTTAATGATTAATAATAGTATTTTTTTAGATTGATAAATCGCAAGGCCTCCTCGGGTTCATGGCTTCTATTTCTGTTAACTAAATCTTTTCCAAAGAGCTGATATTTTTTAATCAGAGTTCGTCCATAAATGACGTCACACTCCAGAATGTGTGACAATACGCTTTGCAATAATGTTAGAAACCGAACCTCTTCTTCACGTAGAATCTAGTTAATTTCCTTAAAAACTGCAAATGAAAACCAATCGAGGTCTACTCAACGCTGACCATGCTCAGTAAATATTTTAGAAGAAAAAAAACTTCTGTTTCTATTTTTTAAATTCCAGTTTTGAGAGTTGTGGTAGGCCGATGTGTGACGTCATTTTAGGTGTTGGGTCCTGGTTTTTTTTAGTGAAGATAGTGACGATATGGAGGGAGGAGGGGTAAAAATCATGAAATATCTTGATGTAACTTATTTTACAGATGACCCCAACGTGTAAGTATAAATCCACTGCTTTATTTACACGCTGCAATGTTGTTGTTGTTTTTTTTTTAAATCACGAGCACTGCGGGGTCGACTTACGTTTTACGTGCAGGATGCGAGTTTTATGTTTGTTTCAAATTATAAGCACTTGGGTGTTAAATTCAACATGTGGACGTCCACATGCATCCAACCCCCACATGTGGACGTCATAAATGGTTTCTTTTTTTTATGTCCGTGTCATGATTTAGTATGCTTTATTGTAATACTAATTAAGAGAAGAAATTTTTTTTATTTGCTTAGTAAAAAACTATTAAAATGAGGTTTATGGCTAGAACTGCAAATATTTATGTATGAAATTTCATCAACATACGTCATAACTGAAACGGTACTCAAGTTATCGTGTTCATGTTCACAGACATACGACAGATACGGACAAAATTGCAAAACTAAGTTTTCTGACTCCGAGAGGAGTCTTCTTCTTCTTCTTCTTCGTTCTTAATTGTGAATATGGTGGAGGATTCAGACAACAAGTCCAACTTCGTGGACAAACCGGACTGTGGTCTCCAGTTTGTCAGGTGCCCCATATAATTTTTCCCTGATTACATTACTTCCTCTATGGTCTGTAGGCCTATGCGAGAAAGTTTTTTTTTTTTTTTAAAGCAAAATTGTGAATTTATTATGACGGCGGTGGACGTGCTCCGGGGGTGCGTGCAGATGCCTGTAAATAAAAAACAACAACTTTGATTCTATTTTTTTTTATGTCCCCATGGCGAGGGTGGTGTTGAGGGGTGGCCAAAGTCGATAAGGCGTTCTAAATTTCAAATCTTAGTGTGGATTAAGGCTAGGCCCTAATGTAATTTACTTTTTCGTATGGTCTACTGCTGGCTGGCGGAGAGAGGGAGTGACGTGAGGGAAATCGATTATGACCAGAAACAAAAGTACAAAATACCGAAAATAACCATGTTATGTTATTTCTTTTTAAATTTCGATCTTTTTAAGCCGCGGCTTTTAATAAATTAATAATAATAAGACATTTTAAAAACAAGACATATAGTAAAATATAGTTGCCTATCGCTTCATTTTAAAAAGAAAATAGAGAGTACATAAAAAAAATAGATATAGATCTAGATTGTACTGGTTAAAGTTAAATGTGTTAAGTTTTAAACCTAACACATTTCATTATTCATTTAATATACCTGACTGTTACTAGATCTAGATATAGATAAGATATATCTAGTAGTAGACTCTAGACATCTCTAGTTATTAGTTAATTATTAATATAACAATAATAATAAAATAACTCAATATTCCAATAACTAAGTAAGTAATAAATATTAAATAAGACTAAGTTACTACTTACTAGAATAGATCTAGATCTAGATCTACTAGACGTCTAACTAGTAACTAAACTAGACTAGTTATAAGTATACGTATAGTATAGAATAATAGATAGTCTATATGATAATAATATATATTTTTAGATCTAGATCAAATAAAGGTAATCTATCGTTTTAGCGTAAATCAATTCGGCTGCAGTAGAAATGTGCGGGAGAGGTAACTGATGAATATATTTGTTTAAATAAGTATAATTTAAGTCAAATGTTACAAAACATAACAGATAATTGATTTAATATAACAATCACTGACCAAAACAATCTAAAATATCATGAAACTAACTTTAAACAAGGTGTTTGAGATAAATATTAGCAGATAAAAACAGCGGCCATCTTTCTAAATAAAATTTAGAGTAGTTTCCCTTGATACACATGTCTATTCGTATGTATATTGTGTTGATTTTGTTGTTGAATATACATAGCTGTCTTGTTTAATAAAAGTGGGACAGAGGGCCGTCTTCTTATCTTTAATTTCAATTGAAATTAAGGCTATGTATGTATGTACATCCAAGATCTCAAAGACTTTTGGGAGGTCCAACATTTATTAAACCCTTTTGTACTGATTAACTTGTCAATTATTAGGTCGTCCATATTCTTCATAAATGACGTTGGACTCAAAATATGGGACGGTGTAAAATTATTTTTTCAAAAATGATGAAGAATATATTCGTGTTCGTTAGAAATTGTGATTAAGGGTTCGGGTATAGTAGAACTGCGATATGATATTAAATCATCATCTTGCTTTTAGTAACTATTGGGTGAGAGGGAAATCGTCGGGAAAAGTATGACGTCATTTATGGGCGATCCATTTAATTAAGCCTAGTTGTTTTTTTTTTGTCTGTAGACATTAGTCTTAGGCCTACACCTTTTCTGAATTAAGATTATTGTGTTTTTTAAAATAGGTTCAAATTTTAATTAGTTACATTTGAATACCACATGGTTTTTTTTTTTTTTTGGGGGTTTTGTTTCCTTCTGCTATCATCAGTTTTTTTTATTTCTTCAGTAGTCAATGTTTACCCCTCCCCACCACACATTATTACAACAACAAAAAACCACCCACTATATGTCATAGCGTAGATATATAGAATTAGACTAGACGAGTAGAGGTTACCATAGGACGGTACGAACTTGACAGTAGACGATTTGGTGCGAGAGTATTGTGCGCGTGTTCAATAAAATTTGTGTGGCGTGAGTGTGACGTGAGCATGGTGCGACAATGTACCGATGACGTAAGACCCAGCAGTGAAGTTAGTTGGGGGTTAGATATAGTAGAAGACGGACGTATTTTTTGATATTGTACAAATGATCTATAAGTGTGTGTTAATAAAGTTCATGTTATTTCATAAACGAAGTTGTTGACATTGTTAATTAGTGTCTGCGGAACATAAGAGTGATTCCCGTCCTCCTCACGAGTATAATGGTTGCCGTATGAATAGTAGTAGATCAGAATATATTGAGATTATATATAAATCCCCCCCCCCCCCCCATCACAATATAGTGATATCTCCCTCTAGAAAAAAAACTAGATGAACCTATAGTTCGTAGGAAAATTAGAATCTATCACTTAAAAAAAAAGAAATACGTCATTTTTCTAAACCACGCCGTTTCATCCCCCAATAAGCACAACGTCACAAAGTTCGCGGCGCGTGTGACGTCATTTGTCATTAGGCTAATGTTTAAGAAAGAGATACCGCGTAATTAAAAAAAAATCAAAACAGGCACTAAATGACTATGACGATGAGACTAGCGACATTTAGCCTGACGAATAGATCTAAATGACTTTAGTTCGGTGAATTATATTGGTGTTTAATTTATTACAGTGGCATGATGTTCTCCCTCTACTATACAAATTCACGTGCTTTTAATTTCTGCAACATGCTGCCCTGAGATGTTCGGCTCTAAAATGCCCGTGACACAGCGGCTTCGGTAAATGCATTTAGGCTCCCGGTCCCACCTATAAACGTCTGTCCATTAAGCTCCACGCAAAACGTGTGATTAATATGTGGACATAAGCGGCGCTAGTGGTGGTGTCAACAGGGGCCAAGCTCAGGTCTTAAGCTAAAGGTGCTCCGCACTTCATAAAAGACAAAATTGATGTTCAGATATCGTCGGACTCTGGCGTTTTGCCGACGGCCGTACTCCTAATGCACAGTCTTAGAGGCTGTCCACTGCTAACACTATTTTATGTTAAATTTAAGCCAATACTGAGCTGTGGCTTTACATTAGCTCAGTGGCGTAGCGAGGTCGAGTGTCACCTGGTGCGGCACTTAATGGTGTCTTGGACTCTTGTCGAATATTGTTGACAGGAGCTACTTGGTTTGAGCCTTATTGTCAGAAGTTATTTCATTTGGAGTCAATATAGTGCGGCTTATTTTCGTCGGTAGGCATTTAGTGGCAGGCCCTTTTTGGCGGGGATGATGTGCTCAGGTTGTTAAACACCGCTTAGGACAACAGGCATGCAATAGTTATGATCATTCGTTATGAACAAATGTATGCATGAAAACGAACGCTTTATGTTCCTCAATTTCATTGAGCACAGCTTTAAAGAAGATTCCAAAATAGACGTCAAGCATCCCCCCCCCGGACCACCCTGCGTAAGTTGACGGCACATTAGCATAGCATATGTGACATCGTTTATGGATAACACCATATAACTCATTTTGGGTATTTGGTATCAACATTTTGACAACAAAGGTTATTCAAAATGTATATAGGACTTGACATCTACCATAAATGACATCGCACACTTAAGGGGTGGAGTAACTGGTTTTGAGACGACGTTTTACGCGGGAAATGGGAGGGGTAAGAAACGTGAAACGTTATGTATTTCGCCAAATACAAAAATGCTGAATATATCGTTTTCATTAGAATTATGGCTTGACTTTTTAACAGGCAGGGCAAAAAGGTAATTTTCGACATTACGACTATTTCGTAACGGCGAAAATGAGGGGGGGGGGGGGGGGGGGTTAAGGTGAAGAAAGGTCAAAAAACGGGACGTCATTTATGATTAAATCACTAATTAAAGGAGAAAACCATGAAAATATTACATGAAAATAGCAAACAAACAATAACACAAACAATAAGAATTAACTCAAACTAATATTTAAATAAACATTAGATATGTAGTGGTAGCTCTATAAAAATAGGGAGTATCTTAATGTGTAAAAATTGCATCTCATAATAATAATTCTAGAACTGATGTTTATTGTCAGTCAATTAAATTGTTTAAAGGGCAGAATTTAAAAAAAAAACGCATGCTTTGTATTTAAACACAAGACTAACGTATTTAATAGCAAACATCAATACATTTCCATACAAATAGAAATTAAAGGGAAATGACTCAAAATAATATTTTCTTAAGATGGCCGCTGTTTTTAATAGCAAATTTAGTATCTGGAACATCGATGTTAAACCTTAATTTCATGACATTTTTATTGATTTAAACCTTAAATGTGGTTTAATATTCAATTATCTTTAGTATTTTAGTAAAATATGCAAAAATATATTCACATCTAAGCCATATTTGATAGTTACCTTATCCCTACATTACTAGTGACGGCCGAATTGATTACGCTAAAGCGATAGATTACCCAAATAAATACTAATAAAATAATATTACTAAATATTATATATATAATCTACTGATTATACTACTATTAGATCTAAATACTAGATCTACTATCTAGTAATAATAATATTGTAATTCTTATAAGATTTTAGATCTAGCAGAGGCGTAGCGACCCTTCTTGGCGCCCGGGGACAAAGTTTTCGATTTGCACCCCCCCCCCCTTCAACCTTTCAATTTATTTTTCCAACATGTCCCCCCCCCCCCCCTCACTACGCTACTGAGATCTAGACTATTAGTATACTACTAGGCATGCTGCCCAGCTTCGCTTAGGCTTTCGAAAACATTGAGAATTTGCATGCTTAATTAATTCGCCCGAGGGTCGGTCTACGACCTCAAGAGTTATGAAGAGGTTCCTCCGTGGACATTTTTTTTCGATTTATAGCTCATATAAGGTACCGGTCAGTCGAGGTCAGTTTTGACCCCCTCATCGTAGACTTTTCGGCCAACCGGCCCCCGTGTTCTGTCGCCCCAAGGCAAGATCCTGCCAAATTTGAAGCGCCTGCGGCGCCGGGAAGTGCCCTATCGGACACCCGACAATCTAGATCTAGATTCCTAAAAGAATTTTTTTTTTAAGTTTAGCCCGAGCATAATAAAACAAAAATATATGAACCAAGTTGACTTGGTGTGTCTCGAACCCGCACAACCTGCGTGGTTTATAGTACACTAACATCTCCGCTATTTAGGCACCTTATAAATAACGGAGAATGAAACACGTATTTTAAAATCTTAACTTACGCGAATATGCCTATTCTTTCAAATTAAATTTTTTATCCCAAATTAGCCAGTTCCAAACAAAGATTTTGTATAAAATAAATAAGTCTTGAAATAGTTTAGTCCTAATATAGAAATTTATTTTTGGAATTGATTTTAGAGAAGTTAGAGTCTAAATCTAGATCTTAGCGTCTACGTCTAGATCTAGTTATTGCGTAGATTTAGTCTAGATCTAGAATCTCTAGATCTAGAATCCAAATACGTAAAATAAATTTTATGAGTTTAGGCCGGAAAAATTGTATTGTATACATTTCATAGTGTACGTAGATCTAAATCAAATTTGAATGAAATAGTTCATTTCTTTTTATTCAAAACACGGCAGATGACGTCATTAGTTAATGTATAAGCAATAGTGACGTCACAGTTTTATGCGTTCTTTTTCACATTTATTAATGCTTTTCCGGTTGCATAAATAATACTGTTTCTCTACATTCGAATACGCCTTTAATTTTTATTTTTCTTCTTTAACTAAAATTGTGGTTATACATTTAAAACATCTAACATATTATTTTCAACAAAAGTCCGTATAAAGTTCTCCATATATCGCTGCCGTTTCTGACGTGATGTCCGGCGAAAATTTTTTGCGGACAGACAGAGAGAGAGAGAGAGAGAAGAGCGCACATGGCGTTTTATATATTAGGATATTGAACTATAATTAATAATATATAATAGGCCTATAGCAGCAGTATAACTATTAGTAGACTCATATGACATGTCACTATATATATATATATGAATAAATTAGGGCCTATGTGTTTTAGAATTATAATAAATTTTGTTGTCATTTGTTTTTCAGAAACCCATGAGTAACTGTTTCCAGACTCCATTAATTGGAAATGAAAAGAGTAGTGACTTTGAAAATGTATATGAACCATCTGAGGATTCATTTCTTCTGCTCGATGTTCTAGAAAAAGAGCATAGTTTCTTACAAAATCTTAAGTAAGTGTAAACTAGTGGATATTAATGATATTAAAACAAGTGCATCATCCTAATATACAATAGAGTGTAAAAATCTTTTTTTGGCAGTAATATACTAATATGCAAGACGTAATGGAATGATTCAATACAAGATGGTGATGGCTCCAAGAGTTTACTCATATGTCTAAATTCACTACAATGTTTTGTACTGTTATGTCAGATGTCAGACACTCAAAGGCTGCACCCTAGTCTAGCGATTTAAATCTTTTAGCATTTCAATTTTTTTATAATAGAAATAATTATTAAAATGGATTGTGTTCCAGCCTGTTACTTTTGTGTAGGTCTAGTACATGTCTATTTCAGCTCTTTTAAAAAAAGATTCCTCTTTAGACCTGTCGATCTATTGGGCAAATGAAGTGGAGTTCATATGTTTCTTGACCTCTGCATATAAAGGGATAATGTGGTCAGCACTATGCCCATCGCCTTTACTTTCCCTAACGTGAGTTAGGTACCCATCAGAGTTGGGTGGACTCAGGTACGTTCCACTAACTTGAACACAGATTCGAACTCGAAATTATTGGGTTAGCATTAATGGGTTAGATCCGCAGCTAGGCCACGCATTCCCATTTCAGCCCGTTTAGTTCATGCTTATTTCAGCCTTTTTATATATCTATTTCAGCCCTTTAATCTGTTTAGAAGTTGGATGTGGCTCTGGTATTTGCATTACTTTCCTCTCCCAAATCCTACAAAAGCCATCCATTTTCTTGTAAGTAATTAGGCCCAATTTTTTTTTAATTAAAAAAAAATGCTTTAGAAAATGTAAACAAAGTTTTAACATTCAATTTTGGGTGGGGGTTCTTTCTTTTGTATTACAGATTGTTTTAAAAATGTTTAATGAACCAAGTTTTCTTACAGATGTACGGACATTAATTCCAAGGCTGCAAATATGGCAAGGTTAACTGGTGAAAAGAATAAACAAAGCATTAATCCTGTTGTGTGTGATCTGGTATGTTTATAATTGTTTATTGTTTTATTGAAATTCAAAATAAGATAATTATGACAAATGGGGAGAAAGTTACGGGAAGTGATCAGACAAATCAGCTGTAATTGAGTTGCTGCACACACTTCACCTGGGCTTTGTTCTGACTACTTGTCAGGAGGATTTTTATAGGGGAGGTCATTCTTCTAATTGTCATTATTAGGATAGATAAAAAATTAATTAATAAAGTAATTTTATTAACATTAAAAATTATTAGTAAACATAAATTGTTCAGATATAATAGTAAAAATACAACTATTGTAATCAAAATGTATTTAAAAGATTAGTTTTTTTTTACTAAAGTAAAAGCTCATAAAAATAAGATGATGTATTGACAGTCACAGCACAAATTTATTATCAAGTTCAAATGTCAAATGTGATTATTTGGTATTTTATCTTAGTGCTGATTAGAATTGCACTTTAGCAACTAAACTAAACAAAAGTTATGCATTTTGGATAAAGTGTACATTTGTTTGCCTTCTACAGCCACATTAGACAAACATTAAATTCATTAATTGAACCAAAACATTCCTATATATTAAAAGAAAAATTTGTTTAAAATTTCACATTTTATAATAATACATTTTTCTCATCTTCTCCAGACAAATGCATTAGAAGATCGCATCAAAGGAAGCGTTGATATTTTGTTGTTTAATCCACCCTATGTTGTAACACCTTCTGAAGAAGTAGGTAAAATATTGCGCATTTAATTTTGTAAAAGAATCATTATTCCTGAACAAGCTGTTTGGAAAAAAAAAACAGTAAGATTTTGAATTATGTGTCAGAAAAAAGTTTGTCAGTCTAAAGCCAGTAAGGGCCTAGAGTTCAAACACCAGCAAACCCCTACTGTACATTATGGTTTACCAGCCTTGGATTATGTTGTAGGTGGAGTCATAAACAAACCAAAAAAGTACATAAGTACATACTGGCATTCTGGGTGTGGGTCTGGTTTTATGGGTGACCAGAAAATGCACAATAGAAAAATGTGTAATGAAAAAATGTGCATATAGAAACATGCGCATGCAGAAAAATGCGCACACAGAAAATCACATACAGATACCTTGGCAGATACCTTATGACAAAGTGTTTGTGTTTATGCTTGTTTGCATGTTTGAGTTTGTAAATATCTGTGTATGCATAGACATATCATTCTCATTTCTGTGTATTTTAATTAAAAAAAACAAATGCCAACACTCTTTCTAAAATGAATAGAAACAAATTGCTAAGATTTTCAATATCATACAAAGTGTCTGCTGTAAATATACCAACGTTCTTTAAGTGGGCTTAATAAGTTTGGCTTTTTTGTGCTTTTTTCCTTATCATAGAATGATGGCTGTAATTGTGGCAATGGTTTAAAGATTTGTATTACCAATGAATGATGACTGTAATAGTGGCACTGGTTTAAAGATTTGTATTACCAATGAATGATGACTGTAATAGTGGCACTGGTTTAAAGATTTGTATTATCATTGAATGATGGCTGTAACTGTGGCACTGGTTTAAAGATTTGTATTATCATTGAATGATGACTGTAAAAGTGGCACTGGTTTAAAGATTTGTATTATCATTGAATGATGACTGTAATAGTGGCACTGGTTTAAAGATTTGTATTATCATTGAATGATGACTGTAATAGTGGCACTGGTTTAAAGATTTGTATTATCAATGAATGATGACTGTAATAGTGGCGCTGGATAAAGATTTGTATTATCAATGAATGGTTTAAAGATTTGTATTCTAAATACTCTAGGTTTCAAGTAACGGGATATCTGCTGCATGGGCAGGAGGTGTTAGGGGAAGGGAAGTAATTGACAGATTTCTGCCAAAAGTTAACTTACTTCTGTCACCCAGTGGGGTTTTCTACATGGTTGTTGTCAAAGAAAATGATCCAGGTAAAAATATGATGTCTGATTATGTGTTTAGTTTAAAGTGAGGTTTTTATGTTAAGCTTATTTTGTCTTTTCTCTGTTTTTCGACAGCCGACATAGAGCAAGCCATGTTACAATTTGGGTTTGTGACTCAGTGTGTTGGAACTAGACGGGCTGGCCCTGAACATTTATCCATTCTCAAATTTACCAGGTTGAAAAGTCTAGGACATTATTGTGACAGCAGCAAACAGTTATCAAAGGACTTAGAGAAATTATAATAAAACAATTTTTTTAAATAAGTTTCTGTACTTTGTTTAACATCACTCTGTGTTGGAATTTCATGTGATAATCATGACTGAACTCATTAACCTCTGCACCTACTATATCGAGGAATGTGGCAGTTTTTTATTAAAAGAAAACATTGTAAATCAAGTGTGCATAAATATATTAGTATTAGGCTACCAAAAATATTCCCAAATACATAATACCTGAAACCTATTCACTCATTTTATCTGTGGAGTTGTTTTAAAAATTCTTAGATTGTTAGGAAAAACAGCATGTTTATGTATTGTATAAATACAGTGCTAAATTAGTATACTCTCTATCAAGGGCTTAACTACCATGCCGCCATACCAGACAATGGGGGGGGGGGGGGGGAGGGTGTTAAGGTCCAAAATCTAACCACAAAGAAAAAATGAATTTAAAAAAAAACAACCCCAAATCTATAGAAGTGATGTTTTACAGTAACTAAGGGGTCATCCATAAACGACGTCAAAATTTTTAAAATGATTTCCCCCTCCCCTCCGTCACACATCGTCACAAAAAACAGACCGCCCCTATAATGACGTCACACCTCAGCCTACACCCCCCCCCCCCCTCAAAATTGCAGTTGAATATTTCTTAAAACATCGATATTTTTCCAAAATCTTGTCTGAACTCTGTCAACATAGAGTATTTTAATCAATTCCTCTTACAATTTATTAAAACAGTTCTCTAAAACGCGAAATAACGGCTGAAACTCGTTTTCTAACACTGCTTTTATATAATGTAAAGGTGTGACGTCAAACAATATGGCCCCCCCCCCTCATCACACATCGTCACAAAATTACGGACCCCCCCCCCCCCTTATGAATGTAACGTCATTTATGGACACCCCTAACACATGTTATGTAGACAAATATTTTTTAAAATCTACAGTAGCTGTAGTGTGAAAGTAAGAAAAAAAAATTCATAAAAAACGTTTTAATAACAAGCTTTTATGTAATGATGCATTAAAAAGTAGAAAATAAATTATAGACTACTATTTAAATAACTATAAAGAAAAGCGTGGGTCACTTTAGTATCTATTGGATACCTTTACTAATGTTAAGGAAGACACCCACGCTTTTCTTTATAGTTATTTAAATAGTAGTCTATAATTTATTTTCTACTTTTTAATGCATCATTACATAAACGCTTGTTATTAAAACGTTTTTTATGAATTTTTTTTTCAGTACTTTAGGCCTACATGTTTTATTTACAATAGAGTTACATGACTAAAAACCATTGCGCGCCTACTGAACATCACGTTCAGTAGGCGCGCAATGGTTTTTGAACGCAGCCATTGCGTGATGGCGCAGCTATTGAAGGTGATGACGCGTGTGGTGTGGTTGGCTAGACATGCCTACTAATTCGGTGACGTCACACAATCTGGCCCCCCCCCCCTCATCACACATCGTCACAAAATTACGGACCCCCCCCCCCCTTATGAATGTAACGTCATTTATGGACACCCCTAACACATGTTATGTAGACAAATATTTTTAAAAATCTACAGTAGCTGTAGTGTGAAAGTAAGAAAAAAAAATTCATAAAAAACGTTTTAATAACAAGCTTTTATGTAATGATGCATTAAAAAGTAGAAAATAAATTATAGACTACTATTTTAATAACTATAAAGAAAAGCGTGGGTCACTTTAGTATCTATTGGATACCTTTACTAATGTTAAGGAAGACACCCACGCTTTTCTTTATAGTTATTTAAATAGTAGTCTATAATTTATTTTCTACTTTTTAATGCAATATTACATAAACGCTTGTTATTAAAACGTTTTTTATGAATTTTTTTTCAGTACTTTACATGTTTTATCTACAATAGAGTTACATGACTAAAAAAAAAATTCATAAAAAACGTTTTAATAACAAGCTTTTATGTAATGATGCACTAAAAAGTAGAAAATAAATTATAGACTACTATTTAAATAACTATAAAGAAAAGCGTGGGTCACTTTAGTATCTATTGGATACCTTTACTAATGTTAAGGAAGACACCCACGCTTTTCTTTATAGTTATTTAAATAGTAGTCTATAATTTATTTTCTACTTTTTAGTGCATCATTACATAAAAGCTTGTTATTAAAACGTTTTTAATGAATTTTTTTTTCAGTACTTTACATGTTTTATTTACAATAGAGTTACATGACTAAAAACCATTGCGCGCCTACTGAACATCACGTTCAGTAGGCGCGCAATGGTTTTTGAACGCAGCCATTACGTGATGGCGCAGCTATTGAAGGTGATGACGCGTGTGGTGTGGTTGGCTAGACATGCCTACTAATTCGGTCCAAATTTTAATTAATTAATAAAAAATTAATTAGGCATCCAATTAAGTCAAATTTAGTTTCAGATTGCATTGTCTTCATGTCTTGACCCACGTGCCAACTGTGAATCGTGCCGGTCAAGTAGAAGTTTCCGAATTTTCACTCCTGCGTTTCCGTCTAGACAGACTGACGAGGAAGTGAGTTAAATAAAAGCTTGTAAAAAAAAATTCATAAAAAACGTTTTAATAACAAGCTTTTATGTAATGATGCACTAAAAAGTAGAAAATAAATTATAGACTACTATTTAAATAACTATAAAGAAAAGCGTGGGTCACTTTAGTATCTATTGGATACCTTTACTAATGTTAAGGAAGACACCCACGCTTTTCTTTATAGTTATTTAAATAGTAGTCTATAATTTATTTTCTACTTTTTAGTGCATCATTACATAAAAGCTTGTTATTAAAACGTTTTTTATGAATTTTTTTTTCAGTACTTTACATGTTTTATCTACAATAGAGTTACATGACTAAAAACCATTGCGCGCCTACTGAATATCACGTTCAGTAGGCGCGCAATGGTTTTTGAACGCAGCCATTACGTGGTCGTGATGGCGCAGCTATTGATGACGCGTGTGGTGTGGTTGGCTAGACATGCCTACTAATTCGGTCCAAATTTTAATTAATTCATAAAAAATCAATTAGGCATCCAATTAAGTCAAATTTAGTTTCAGATTGCATTGTCTTCATGTCTTGATCCACGTGCCAACTGTGAATCGTGTCGGTCAAGTAGAACTGTCCGAATTTTCACTCCTGCGTTTCCGTCTAGACTGACGTCAGACTGACGAGGAAGTGAGTTAAATAAAAGCTTGTAAAAACATTCAAACCACTTCCATGACTTATTGCTCTTCTTCAAATAGTCTAATCGGGCTGCCCATATAGCACCCTTAAATAGTTTTGTACTCAGAAATATAAAAAGAAATAGCTTCTCTTAGTTATCATTTTAGAAAGACATACTAAAGAATAACATAGCTATAAGAAGGAAATATATTAAAAGAAAGTCTGAAGGCTAGTCACAGCATTGCCGGGGGCAAATCGCAGCCGGCTAATGCGCCTGATTCAATTTACAGCAGTGTCTTCCAGGCATTTCTTCGGGGGGGGGGGGGGCTCCGCCCCGATCCCCCCCCCCCCCCGAAAAATGTTGACTGCCCCCCCCTCCCGAAAATTTCAAGTGCCCCCCCCCCCCGGAGAAAAAAGTCTGGAAGAAACACTGATTTACAGAGTGACTATAACTCTGCCCCCCGAAGAAAATCTACCGCCCCCCCAACGTGATGGATTTTATATAGTATATATAGTAAACATACACTTTTACTAGTGTCCGCTATAACACCCTATCTTATGCCTCTGTTGCATTTTTACAGCGGAATATAGTAGTATCCTTCCCCGCTATGCAGGACACCCAATTAACTGATACCAAGTACTACGATAGCCACTGTGTGCGCCAAACCTTTTTATTGATGAAAATCGCACCCTCTAAGGCGCCGCCCATAAATTTTTGTTTCAAATTTCGCTGAAATTTTCTCGGGAGTGCTCTAATCAACTCCCCAAAGTTTCATGGCGATCTGATGAAAGGTGTCGAACCACATGAACATTTATTGTTTATATACCATATAGAGACTAGCGTAGCCGCGAGGTTAGAAGAAAGTGACGAAATATATTAGGTGGGTTTCATCAATGCGTTGTAGGCTGAGATGTGACGTCATGTTTGCAGGAGGGGGTCTAGCTTTTAGTGACAATGTGTGTGTGTGTGGGGGGGGGGTGTGTAAAAATTGTCAAAAAGGCGTCCCCCTACCACTTTTATTTCAACAGGATAAAACATTGTTTTGACAGTAAATTTTACAGTTTTTCGATTTGGTGGTACCCATTAACCGCATTGCCGACCGCCCCGAGGCGTTACTATATATATATATATATATATATATATATATATATATATATATATATATATATATATATATATATATATATAAAGCCTATATATATATATATATATATATATATATATATATATAAAGCCTATATATATATATATATATATATATATATATATATATATATATATATATATATATATATATATATATATATATATATACTAGCTGCATCCCGTGCTCCGCCACGGTAAATCTTTTTAAAATATACCAACTTTGGAACAGAACAAAACAAACAAAAACACAACACAAACACAACACAAACACAAACAAAACACAACCACAACACAACCACAACACAATCACAACACAACCACAACATAACCACAACCACAACACACGGTAAATCTTTTTTAAATGTACCAAGTTGGGAACAGAACAAAACTAAATACAACACAAACGAACGCAAAGAAAAAACAAAAACGAAAAAACAAACACAACACTCAACATAAACTCAATTTAAATGTAATCATACAGGCATATTGCTCACAGTCTATCCCGTAGCGCCAAATCGCGCCCTTTCCGAGCGCCACCGGAAAATTTCGATTTACACCCTCCCACCTCCCTCAAACTTTCGATTTCCACCCTCCCCCCCCTCTTGCTACGCCTCTGTTATAAAACCCCTAGCTTTTCCGCAAATAAATTAAAGGCAGTATTTAGAATATCCGTGTTTTACCGACCATATTGCACTTTATAAATTCATGCATTTTTTTCAGTCCTTTTAAAAATTTACAATAAAGTTTCATGACTAAAACCATTGCGCACCTAATGAACGTGATGACTTAATATAGTAATGGAGAATAGTTGATTAAAAATTATAATTAGTAAACAGTACGTTCAGTGAATAAAATAAATAAAAGATAGCCTTTTATCAATCAATGCTAATAATAATATTCCAACAATAATGTACTCTTACACGTCTGCATAATTTGCATTCACATTTTGCTAATTATATTATTCCAACAATTATTCCGTCTTGCAGATTTTGCATTCACATTTTTAGCGTGAGTTCAATTTATCTTTGAATTACCTCCATTGGCAAAACTACTAAGCAGTTTAATTAGATTTTTCTACCGTACTGTTATTATGTTATTAAAATGTATCCACTTTTTCTGGGAATATTAACGAAAACGATATTTGACATTGATCCTTTTAATATGTTTTAGCAATGTGCGTGTATTTAACATTTTCTTTAAGTTATGCAAAAGAGTAAACACAGTGGCAATTATAAAATAGCTCTTTGTCGTTATATAAACAAACCATACTCTGTTTTAATTATAATAAGACACTGCGGTGCACTGAAAAGCACAGAATGGTGCGATGTTTACTTTTATGGTTACAAAATCTATAGCGATGACAGAAGGAAGGAAGGACTGACACACGCTCAGCCCGCTTATATTATAGATATATATATATTGTCAGTACTAATAGCTATTTAGCAGGAATGATTATGTAGTTTACTTATTATTTTGCAATATTCAATACCATTTGTCGTAGCAACTTGATCTAGAACTTGACTACATAATATAACTTTAAAACTGTTGTGACTTTTAGGCCAAACTTTTTTTTTCGTGCTTTTTAACAAGGAGCGCGCAATTTTTATTCTATAGGCCCACTGTTCGTGGAGATTTCCGAGAACATTTTTTTTTTAACGCTTTGCATTTTGGGATTCAACAATGACGGCTAAGTCTACTGTTTTTGTTTATGTTTTGACAAAATAAGATGTCTGGGTAACACAAGTTTTACTTTAAAAATTTGTTTGGATTTTTAATAAAGAAAATGATTCATTTGAACTATTATTATCTAGGCTAACATTATAATTTAAATTAAGACTGCTCACTTTATTTTCGTGTTTTAATTTTTTGTATTTTGAACAATTACAAATCACAAGTCATCATGACAAATTTTCTTTGACAATTTTGAAATTTTGTATTTGACGGACTTGTTGTAATATTTGTTTATGCTTTATATAAAATAATAATATAAATCTATAATAGATCTAGATTATTCTAGATCTATATACCAGTCCTGTCACAACTAGTCTATAGTCCAGTCTCACTCTCGTACTCTTGATTCAGAAGTCACTGAAGTTGATTCAGCTGACAGTCCGACAGACTACCGGCTACTCACTCAGTACTCAGAGTACTCAACTCAATGAAGTAGTTAGTTATTAGATTTAACTAGATTCTAGCTACCTAGTCTTACTAACTTCTTAAGTCTAGGGCCTAGGGAGTTATTACTAAAACTTAAGGGTAAAATCACGATATAGCGTCGGAAATTATTGGGTAATGTTCGTTGAGTTTCGGTAACATTCGTTACTGTAAACCATAGTTTATTTGACCGTTGAAAGAAAAATAAAGTCAAGTGCATTAAATTAATGTTTTAACTTAATTTAATGTTAAATTGACAAAAAATTAGCAACAATTAGTAAATCTAAATATTATTAATAAATTCGAGTGTGGTCATTAACGTTTTTTTTAAGAAACGCAGAAAAAACCGGGAGAAGATTTGCGACAACTAGATCTAGTTCTGTTAGTAAAGATAAAAGTAGTAAGAAGAGCTAGAATAACGTTTAGTAGCAGCAATAATTAGCACATACACTTAAAATATTTAGAAATACAAAATAATCAGAAAAACAGTGTTTAAAATGCAACTAAAATCAATCCTTGCACCTTTTTAAACATTGTGTATTAAAAATAATATGGCGGCAAATAAATGATGGTTTACAGTATTTCCGGTGGTTTCCGGAACGGCTCGACAGACTACGCCATGGTTTTACTGTTTTTTACTGCTGTACAGTTCCGGAATAATAACCGACGCTATATCGTGATTTTACCAACTTAAGTACGAGAAATTAACTAGATTCTAGACTTAGATCTAATCCAAAATCTAATCTAATAATTTAATTATACTTCTTAGTTAATACATACTCGACATGGGATAACCAGATCTATGACTCATGACAGGAAGAGTGTGAGGAAGTCTATGTCTATGTGACTCTATGTCTGAAAATGAAATCACTCAATCATTCTAGTACTAGTTAGAATCTAGTTCTAGTTATTTACATAATATATTAATATATTATTAGCCTAGATCTACATATTATTGATGCTTTCCCAGTTATTGGCAAGTTACTTTCCTTTAAAAAAAAAAAATTCAAATTGTATAAATTAGACCTACCATTTCTAATTGTAATTTTTTTTACGCTAGAGACCATTTCGAGCATATTGGCGGGAAAAAAAGTCAGGTTCCCCTGAAAAACATGTGAAAAACTGATATGGAAACGTGAATAATATCAGATTTAAATGGACATATTGTTTCATCTGACATTTATTCTAAATTTTTAAATTTACAGATTATAATTGGCAGTTGGATTGCATTATGAACGACAAAAAACTACTAATAAATAGGCTAAATCCTAAATATAATTACTTTAGAGCGCATAATTAATTATTTCATTTTAAAATTTTAAAATATTTGAAACGACTTAGGTTATATGGTGAAATGGAGATGTGGGATGAGATTTGAGTTATTGACCATGCATAATAGTTTTTTATGTTCAAGAGATACGTTACTATTACAGGACATTTTTTATTTTAAGGGAATAAAAAACAAAAATTGATCCACTAAAACAAAGGTCAATAGAATATTGCTTTTTTTATATTTGTTTTAACATATTTTTTGAGTATTCACATTATCAGTATGTGTAATAAAAGTACACTTTTTATCAACAGTTATCCAATGCCATTTTTATCAGACAATCGAGGATGCTTTTGCTGTGAACCATCTATGTCATCAGTATCCTACGGAAATAATGCTGCACGGTCTTCTAATGTTTCAGAGGCAGTAGATAGTTTGCAATCCCATTTTAGAAATAATCCTATTTCAGCATTAACTCCAGGCTTTCAGAAAATTCAGCTACATGACCAGTGTTCTAGTCAGCTCTTATCAGGGAATTGTATCTCTGCTGGTCATGTTTTGAATCTAGAAAATCATGAAGATATAAACATGTTTATACCAGCAAGCAGTTTTTGTGATAGTAAAGACTTAAGTAATCAAAGTAGCCCAGTTTACTTTCGCTTGTTACAAAACAGAGAGTTGAGTGGAAGAGCAGCAGTAAATATGTATGATGAAATTAAACCACTGATGTCAAATTCAACACAGTCAGAGTCAGCAGATTATAATACAAAAAATTCTCAAGCATTAGAAGGAAGTTGTGTAAATGTTTCAGATTCTATGGATTTGGACAGTGCACTAGATGAACTAGGAATGCTCAGTACTGTCACAAACAGTAGGAAGCAGTTTTTAATTGAATCTCGAGGACAAGTAGCAGTCAGAAAAAGAGAACAACGACTTCGTTCAAAAAGTGAAAGCTCTCCTAATCTCACTAATTTAGGAAGACCAAATGGTTATCGAATAGTTCAGTTAGATCCCAATTTTGTTACAAGTGTTTCCGATTTAGTGTTAGCTCCTGATCAAATTCCTAGTAATATGAGTGAAGATTCTCCACAAAAGTCACATTTTTCTCTTCTTGAGTATAGGAATCCTGAGGTTTTAGAAAATGCTGTTGTGAGACGAAGATCTGTTCCCAGAATGTCCCGCATGCGTAAAGATCGCTATCGTAGATCAAGATGCCCATATAAAATTCCTAACAGACTTTGTAACTCCATGCAGGAATCAGATTTTGGTTGTGAGTATTTTGATACCTGTGCCAGCCCTTTTGCCTCTCCAAATTCTGCCCCAGCTTCATTTGGCGATGCCCAGTCCAACAGACTAACACACGTCACACAGTCCAAATCAAATACAGCTTCTCCTGTCAAACCCAGCCAAGAGTTGCGACTCATTCGCTCTCTCTCTGCAGAAGACTTAATGCCTATTAGGCGGCGGCTTGAGCAAGAGCTTAATGATCAGGCTAAAGAGCATTCTAGAACAGAGCAATGTCTTGACTTGATGACATCGCAGATGACAAACCTTCACATGACATAAATATTTTATTTACACAATTTTTGTATACATTTTAGTAAAATAAATTGTTAGCTGCTTTTTAAGGCTAATCCACAATAATTTTAATTGTGTATAAATATAATTTTAAAAATAATTTTTTAAATGTATTTCTTTTTTATTAGTCCATATTCTAGCTATATGTATTAAATTAGTCATTTACATCAAGTCAGGTTTTAAATGCTGAACAAATCAAAACATAAGAAAGTAGCATTTTAAAATTATCAATTTAAATATTTTTTCCTCAACATTGATATTTTAAGAAATCTTTCATTACACTTCATTTGTGATATGAAATTTCCTTGCTTGATTTTACATTCAACATGAAATGAATTTATTTAAGAATAATATATTTTGTACCAAGCATAAAAGAAATATCCTTGTTGGTAGATACAGTTGAATCTTAACTTTATTAATCTAAGTAAGGTTAATTACATTGGATATTTGTTTTGTTTATAGAAGCATTTATTTAAAAAGTAATATAATTTTAAATAAATTTAATTCTAGAAAAATGGAAACAGTTTAAGTATTTTATTGTAAGTCTAATTACTTTTTGGTGATATAGCAAAATGATATAAATATTTGTATATTGTTTATCTTTCTGTTAATTTTGTGTCATGGTTACCTGTGGTAGACAGTTTTACAATGTTACAGCAAAGGATTTTTTTAAAAGTTTGGCTTGAAAACTCTGATAAGTATTTAATTTAAATAATTATAACAAATTAGTAGCACTTAGTGAGAGGGTTATACATTCCATTTAGTAGAAAGGATTGATGGTTTTTTCAGATTAATTGTAGTTACTTTTATTTTTAAATTTATGTTTGCAAGTTAATAGATTATTTGAATTCAGAGTATTAAGTTAGAGTTGACTTTTTTGTAATTGAATCATGTTTTAGTCTTGATACTGAAACAAGGTAGTAGGAAAATTTAATCATAGAACTAGACTGGGAATACATTTATATCTTGTTTCAAGGATTTTGTGAGTTCTGATGTCATCTTGCTTACAACACAGTGGCTCAGGTAGATGACCAGGTTCATATGACTAATCTGCTATTTGAGCTCTTTGTGTACTCATTTTCTTTCCTTAGTTTTCATAGCAATTGTTGAAACAAGATAATAAACAGTAACTGTTATGTAAAATCCTGCTAGCATTGTCATGTTCTTAGATGTTACATACTAACACTTGTATGAATTGTTCTTCTTGAATAAATGGCTACCAGTAGTCTTTATTTAAATTTGCGGTCATCATATCTATATATTAGTATTTCAAAAGCTAGAACAGCATTGTAGATGAATTTCTTGTACTTCTAGTCTGATTTCATTATTGACTGATTGGGCTAAATGTTTGAGCTGTTAATATTTCCGTATGGTGTTTCAACTAAATATAAGGCTTGATATTTTTTGGTGACAACAAATGAACATATCCTTTTTGTGGAGTTTTTCAAAAAGAATTTAGAATATTACAAAATGTATGTATCATTTAATGCATCTGCTTGTCTTTTTGTAAAGAATAAATCAAATGGTAGTGGATTACTGTAGCTACTTTCTAAAAACTTCCACCCTTCTAAATTATTGGGGACTAAAGTTGTTCTCTTAAATTTTGCATATATCTTGGAGTGTGGAAAAGAACAATCTGTAAATTAAGATTTATTTGTAATGAAAACAGTTTTGACTGCTGTCTAAATTTCCTCTAATCAAAATATAAGTGGTTTAATTACATTTTGAATGCAGTTGATTGTGCAGGGGGTTTAATTAAATTTAAAGATTTAGTACTCTTTTTAGATATTTTATACAATGCAGACTAAGATTATTTTTTAAAGTTAAATTTTGTATTCTTACTCAGTTTTAGTGTATTTTTATTAGAATTAAGTATGTTAAGGTCTCTTGATCAGCTGACCTATTAGAAGCTTCCATTTGATCTCATTTATGGTAACTGAGCATTAAATAGAATTGTACAATAAAAGTAGTGCCTTTTACTTCAAATTAGTGCCAAGATGAATTTCATTTTTAGCTGTCCTAAAATTTGTGTTGTCTACTTATTGTTCTTTTTTACACCATTGTATTAAATGTAATAAAAAGTAATGATGTTGAATTTACTGTTTCCCGCCACCACATAAGAACTTACTTTAAATTCATAGAAAATTAACTTCACCCATACAATTAAAAACGATTGATGAACTATTTTTTTATGTACACCATTACTAGGGAATAGTGTGTCAATCTGTAAAGCAAATTTGTTAACAGAAAATTCTTTTGAGTTTTTTTTTTTTTTTTTTTGGACTTTTACTATGTAAGTATAACCAAGCTCTGATGAACTAAAATTTGATCTGATTAAGTTGTCTTTCCATCATCTCCTTTTTTTTAAATGTTTGTATACAATGCAGCTGAAACATTTCTCTTATCTGTTTGGGACTATTTGAAGTTTTAGGCACTACTTGATTGACCAATTACTAACTTAAAATAATTAGCAGTGGCTATTTACTTAAAGCATTTTAGTCATCTCTTATGATCTATGAAGTGTTTGATTTTATTTCAGTTTTAAAAAAGAGGTTACTGTTGTTGCTTATTATAGTTAAAGTTTATACATTTAAAACTATAAAATCCAAAAACAAAATATTGTTCATTTTAGAGAGTTGAAAAGTGTAAAAAATTATTTTTAATGTTTTGTTTTTAACTTTCTCATGTTTTATAACTTACTAATGTAAGGTTTGAAAAGGTTGTTAAGGTGTGTTACTTTGTAATTTATTGTTGAATGCTAATATTTTTAAAACGTTGGTTTTGAATTTCTGTGTGGATTTAACTGTCTGTTGGTAATGTTTATTATATTCCATTTAATAATGCATTTCATCACATTTACTATGCTCTAAATTTACGTTAGACTTACTTCTGTTTGTTAATTTCAAATTGAAATAACCTAATTGTGTATTAATTCAATTGTAAAAATTTATTGTTTTGAGCCAGAGGTTAGCTTCTAAATTAAAAAAAAAATGATATTCCACCACTAAAAACACAAGATATGTTAAATCTTAAATCAGTATCTTACTTAAAAGGACAGAAACCACATTAAAATATTTATTTGTTGTTATTTAACTAACAAAATAGTGGTCATGAACAAGTTAATTTAATAAATAAAAGACATACCAATGTAGTATTTGTGTTAGTGTGTTTAACTCTTAATATGATAAATTTAATTCTATTGTAAATGAATTTTTAAAATTACATTTTTCAAATGTTTGGTGATCTACAACTTGTGCAGATTACTGGTTATGTCCCCTAAACAGTTTATTGCCAATATGTAACTAATGTAAGCATTAAAATTTATAAACATAGCTTTCTACAATTCAGTTTATTCGGGTCGGGCAAAATTACCTTTCTATATAAAGGATCATGTCCCCATAATTGTTTTTTAGAAATCAAATGGTATATTGTGAAATACAGTAAAAGGACCTAAAAAGGGATGACTAATATTAGCACACAATCAAGATTAACCAATTAAATAGAAAAGAAGCTAATTTTAAAGTAAAAAAAAAACTTTATTGGATGGTGACATTAAAGCAATGACACTATTGGCTGTCATTGTAACAGTGACGTATTTGTTTACAAATTTCTGACTTAAAAAAAATATTTTTTACAAGAAATAATTGTTTACAAACTATTTTGAAATAAATCTTTTAAAAGTACAGAAATCTGTAATAGCTATTATCAAGATGTGCCAGATTACGTGGGAACAGGGAGAATTTTGGAAACCAGTGGCAAAAGCTCCTCAGTCTTGAGGCGCCAGTTACGAATGTCTTTTGATACTTGACACCAGTTTTCACCATGGTGTGGTTCTGCAACAACACATCGTTGTTTTACATCTTCCTGATGTTTCTAGAAAGCAAAAAAAAAAGGTTTACTTGGCAAAAAAGAATTGCTTGTATCAAATATGGAGTAAGGATAAGCATTTAAAATCTGTCTCTTAAGGTTAAAATGCAACAAAATCACTGGCCTAGAAAGAACATATTACCTCATCCCCATGAGCCAACTCAAACTTGTAAAAGTAAGCCCAAGCATCTCCCAAATCTGGATCAATTTTAACTGTACGATTGAACCAATCACGTGCTTTACTGATCTTACGCTCGCACCAGAACAACCTGTGAAGATAATACAAAAAAAGTTGTTCTAGTGGGATGAAGAAGTACAAATCTTTAAGCATAGCAAACAACCTTCAGCTGATATATAGATCTGTTGAGCTGCACTGGATGAAATGAAACATGTACTGCTGTTAATAAAAAAAACTTTTTTAAATACATTTTAATTTTTTTTATTGGAATGAATAATATAAATAAGAAGCTAAAGCACATAATTCAGTAATAACCATAAAGGTGCTGCTCCCTAACATCCACCTGTAGTTTATTAAATGAACTTACTTTGAGGCTGCTAATAAAACATGAGAATTGTGTTCACACTTTTTGAGAGCATCAACACACTTTGTTTTCCTTTGTGGGCGTGGCTCCATGAAGATAGATTCTGCCCACAGTATGCCCGAATTCGGACACTCTTGAAGTGCTGATTTAAAGAACAAAAAGCACAAAATGAAGGTATAATAATGCCAAACTATATACTGGTTCATGGTCAACAGTATTCACTGTAATTATTTTTAAGCAACATTGTTTGGTTATTAAAATATATTTTAATTGTTCAAGAGTTGAAATAGGGAATTATAATAATTACATATTTAAAAAAAAACTTTGAGCCTAGCCCTACCCTACCCCAACCAATAATTACACTGATTTTGAACCATTATTAGTTTGATGAACTAATACTCCTGCCAACAGCCCATCACTAAATCAGTTGTTGCAAGATGCCTACAGCTACCTCTACAATATCATAGCATGACACAATGTACTCAGTGTTTCTTCCAGACTTTTTTCTCCGGGGGGGGGGGGGGGGGGGGGGGGGGGTAGGACACTGTTAAAAGTATATATTTTCTATATAAATTATAGAAATTTCGTTCGGAGGGGAGGTAAAATTTTTTCGGGGGGTCCCGAAGAGATGCCTGGAAGAAACTCTGAATGTACTCAATCTTATGGCACACTTTTAAAGCTTAAACACACAGTGAAATAGGATGTTACCTTTAGCCATTAAAGTGTGTGCAATATTTTTTAATCCACCCCTCAATTCCACTCTTACAGCTTCTAACCAGAGAAGGTCTGTCTGTGGATTTTTCAACCTGGCTTTTTCTAAAATTGACCTTGCCCTTGTCAGCTGTTTATTGGATTCCTCCAGTCGAGACAGTAAGAGCCATAAGGGAACAGCTTGAGGGCATTTCTTCAAACCTAAATTGTAAGCTTCCTTGGCAACTTCTTTTTTTCCTGTTTCCTCTTCTATTTGACCTTTCATCATCCACAGTTTAGCAAAGTCTGGATAATGTTTGACGGCCTCTTCTAACAAAATTTCAGAGTTTCTGATTTCTCCAAGACACCACTCCAACTTGACAGACTTCATGAACACTCTAGCAGTTGGAGCACTGGTTCGGGCTTTCTGAAGTAGACGTCGAGCCCTCTCAAACTCGTTGTTTTCACTCTCAAGCTTAACAGCAGCCAACCAGATCTCCTCACTGTTTGGATTGGCCTGAAAAGCGAGTGCGAGTATACTTCTGGCTGCAGGCACATCTCCTGCCAACCACTTTGACTTGGCACCCATCAACCACAGAACTTCTGCTTTAGGACAATGGGCAACTGCTCTCTGTAGTAATGCTTCTAGAGATTCTCTGAAAAGTGAGCGATTTAATAAAGTTATTTTTTTTAGAAACATATTCCTTTCATAAAATAGTAGTTTAAAAAAACTTGTACTCATTCAAAGACAAGATTTCTGGAGTAAAAAATTAGAGTTTCTAAAGTAATTCATCAAATACCTTGAGCCATGATTTTTCTCAAAGTAGGCAGCTCTCAACCAAATACTTTTTTTACTTGGGAACTCAGACAAAGCATAAGCATAAATAGATCTTGCACACTCGTAGGCTTGGTGGGATGCGCACTATAACAAAATGGAGCATAAATATTATACAGACTGACAGTTAAAAAATGCTTTGCTTTATTTTAACTAATAGCTATAGAAACTTCTTAGACATAGAACTATAGCATATTCACTCCAAACATTTAAAATACAACTCACTGAATCTGCATCTTCCATCCAAGTGTGTTTTCTATCTTCTTCTTCAATACCAACACTAATAACTGAACGTCTGTTAGATAATGTTTGGTATATTAATAAAATAATAAATAAAACAATTTAGGAGATTCAATTGATGCAGGCTAAATAAAAAGTAATAAGACCTAACAGAATGTCTTATCAGATAACCCGACAAGTGTGGATACTTCTATTACAATGAAAGTGTCCCTTTTGAACCTGGTGTTATCAGGCAGGTGAAGTGGAGTTTACCTGTTTCTGTGATCTCAGCATTTAAAAAGATAGTGTATACAAACTAGCATCCTACACTCCCACTTAAGCCAAACAGAAAGCTTACATGATGGCCTGACAAGTGTGGATACTCCCACTTTTCTCACAATCCTCAGCATCTCTTATCCAGTGTTCTCTGTTGATTTCAACCATGTTGGCTCGCAGTGAATTTAGTGCTAAGTAACAAACAACAGATCATATTAGTTTCATTTCATACTCAGATAGTGATTATATAAATAAATGGTGGCGCAGCACAGAAGATAAGCAAATTAAATTTTACAACAAACATGTATTAGAAAAATATAATAATTTAAGCTTAATAGACACTCAGAAACAGCCAAGTTTTAAGTTATAATGCTCTTTACATACATACAATTTTTATTATATAAAACTAGTAAAAGAGCAACACAATAATAAATGATCAAAGCCATAAAAAAACTGACCCCTTTCGATAATTTTTTCTACCATGTGTGAGTTGCCGTTAGCTTCCTCTAGTTTAGCAGCAGTGATCCAGACCTGTCTGTCTGTTGGAATACTCTCACGGGCTTTATTCAAAACTTTTCTGGCATTTTCATAGCTTTCCAATCTTGCCAGCGCCAACCAGAGCTGGATAAAATATAAAACATGAGCCTGGTGCCCCCAGAAATGTTGAGTATAGACATAAAACTTGAGTGTGTGAGTCAACTCACCTCTACACTTGTTGGACAGCATTCTACAGCTCTGCTCAGCATAATTCTGGCATCTTCTTCATCCTCAAGCTCAACAGCTTGTTTCCATAACCTCACAGAGTTGGGAATATTTTCAAGAGCTGAAAACATTTTATTTTTTCAAATTTTATCTTTAACTCAACAACAATGTTCCATAACCTAACAGGATGGGGGATATTTTCAACATCTATCATTTCATCTATTCTATCTAGGATAATAATTATTCTTTACCTTTTCTGAAGACCCTTTTTTTAGTTTTTAGCTCTGTTTCCAGATCAGCTGCTTTGCTCCAGATCCTGACAGACTGAGGCAATTGCCTGACAGCTTGTGCAACAACAGCTTTAGCTTGATCACCTGGCTGGTGAAGACAAGAGAACAAAAAACTAACACATAATTGGATAACACTCAGCCATTTAAAGCCATAACCATTTTTAAACATTGCTTTTATACAACACAAAATTATATACATCTTTAGCACAGAAAAAAAGGATTAAAATAAAGACTAAATTCAGAAACACCACAAAAAACACTAAAATAGTATTTTAACAGAAGTATAATCAGAAGTACAGCTGACACTAAAGTGTATAGTGATTGTTATAAACCTTATTGTAATCTGTAGGGAGGACAGTGAGTTTGATAAAATAACTTACCATCAAACGAGCAGCCTCTAGCCAGATATCCTCACTCTTAGGACATTCCTCGCAACCCTTCATGATCAGGTTTCTTGCTGCTTGAATTTTTCCAGTCACTTCTTCAAGACGAGCAGATGCAATCCAAGCTAAAATATGAGTGGTAATATGGTGAGTCTTGATAAAATAGAATGGTAGCCTCATAGAACTGTCAAACAAACTCGAGCAAAAAACTTTAAGTGGCTACAGGGTGTTGCACATGAATCAAATATAATACCTGGTGGATGTTTAGGGTTTGTTTCTCTTACTGACTTCAATAAAAGACGAGCTTTCTTCACATCACTGTAATAAATACATAAACAATGTGTCTATAGAGTATACAAAAATGTCAACTCAAATTTCATGTGAGTAACAATTTATTCAATGTTAAAGTTAAAAACTAGACTTACTTAATATCTCCTCCATGTGAGGGTAACATACTCTGTAAGTCTGTTAGGTAACCTTTAGGGTCAACCACTGTTTGTCCACTGACTGAATCAGACACCTGGGGTAGTTGTACAATCAATAGTAGTATTAGTAGTTACATAGTTTAAACGGCTACAGGACATTACCCCCCTGGATATTCCCCCCCCCCGGGAATTACCCCTCCCCCTCTCAAGTTAAAATCCTAACTCTAACTAGAGTTTTATACCTATATACTACTTTAATCCAAACCGTAAGAAAAAGACCAAAACCTAAGCATCCACATTAGCCTAAAACTTCACACAAAACCAAAACCAAAGCTAGACACAACCCTAACACTAGCTCTAACAGGGGGGGGGGGGGGGGGGGTAATGTCCTACTGGGCGGGGGGGGGGGGGAGGGTAATTACTCTGGGGGGTAATGTCGGGGGGGGGGTAATTGACAGGGGGGAATGCCCTGTTCCCGTTTAAACAGTGCTCATATTTTTAAAGTTCATGCACAATAGTTGAATTACCTGTGTTAGCTTTATATCCATAATTGTATTTCTGGCTTTACACAATAACTAAATTACCTGTGTTAGCTTTATATCCATAAGTGTATTTCTGGCTTGACCAATTTTTTTCATGTCAATGTCAGCACTTGGAGTAGCAGAGCCTAGTGGAGTGATAGCTCCAAATGGTGTTGTTATTCCTCCATATTTCTACACAAGATGTAATATACACAGCATTTAAGTGCAAGTTTTACAGTTGGCAAAAATAAGACAAAGTGCATGAAAATATATAAAAATTAATATACTTTTGTAAGAATAAATAAAAGAAATGAAACAAACTGACCTGGTCCTGTTCTGATATTGAAGAATTCATGCTGTTTTGTGATGCTGCTCTAGCTAAAACACTGTCAGGTACTGGTGTGAATCTGTACATACAGGACAAGGAATTTTGTATTTTTATGAATTTGGAATAAAAATATAGTACTAATTGGTTTTAATTATAAATTAATGTAAATAAGAAGCACACATTTTTTAAAGTCAGTAAAGCATGTTTACCTACAATTTTTTTTTCAAAATCCAACTTACTTCTCTGTCCTTCCAATTCTTTGTTTCCTGTTTCTAGCATCTCCAACTTCTGGTAGGTTGTTCCACTCATCAACTGATACACCAGCCAAATCTCTCTGTTAATTAAAGTAACATCATGTATCCAACCTTTTACATTTTTATTTGGTAACATGTCTCTGGCCCATTATCAGTTTAAAGTGAATGATCAGATGACACCCTAACTAATATTGATGTTGATGAACTACCAGATTTTCTGTGATTAAAGTTAATAAACTATTTAAAATTTGATATCTAATTTTTAGAAAATTAATTTATTATTGCTTTCTATGTGTCCACGTTTGTTTTTGCTGTACCAGAAACATATATTTCTGAAAGCACATTAATTATGTGTGCTGTGGAATTTTTAAAAAAATTAATTTAGTTAAAATGTATTAGTTTTGAAAATTAGGGTGGCTTCCCTTGGTTCAGTAAAATTTTAAAATTAAAATATAGGCTATGTAGCCTTAACTTTCTACAGTAAACCTTACATAGGAGTGAAAAAGTACTATATTATTAACTTAGCAATGTTTTTTTTAATATATCATTTACATTTTTCGTTTTAAAAAGTTACCTTTAGATCAGAGAACTGCTGCTGAATTTTAGGACGCTCTTGACGGAACTTTTCAATGTCCAATTTCAGCTTTTCTTCTCTTCTCTCTTTCCGTTTTTCATCCATTCTTTTATCAACAGCCTCGTATATAGCATCAGCCTCTTCATCATCTTTGTCATAAGGATCTTTGCTACACAAACTTCCACCATAACCTGAGAACTATAGAATATTTTGTGATTTTAAAAACTGCTTTAAATCAGTAATTATAACTCCAACTAATCCATTACTATCAAGTGCAACTATCACTAAGCAAGCTTTGTGGGATCAAAGACAAAACCTTAATGTGACCATTTCTGTACTGCATGTCAAAGAGATTACATGCTTAAGAAATAAAAGCATAATTATAATTCAACAAATATTAGAAATTCAGATAACCAGTATACCTCATCATAGTTAGCATCATTCAAATCTTCATCATCTTCCTCTTTATCTTGTTTGTTCTTTTTATTTGGTGGTGCATGTCTGTCTTCACTAAAATGTTTGAAAATATTTAGTTATCTATTAGTTTATTTATATACATTTCAACATTTTACCTTAAGTTATAGCCTTTAATGATTAATATTTGGAACTAATGAAAAATATTTGATACCATCATAACTATGTGACAAAAAATGAACCAATCAGTTTGCTCAATTTCAAACTTACGGTATATCATCAGCATCTCTGGCAGGACCAATATCTGAACGGGTGGTAAATCCAGTGGCACTGAAAAAAAGTTATAAATAATTAAGTTAAGTATGGAATTCTAATAGATATTTAAAAAAAACCACTGGTAATGCACAAGCTTAGGGTGGTTAAAAATTCTAATAGTCATAATGCTCCTTAAATGTCTTTTAATGTATAAGATGTTCTTTTTATCCAATATCTGTTAATTCACTTTTGTATTATTTTCCAGTATTGATAATAGTAACATTTTAAAAAAATATTTAGCATTTTTCTAAATAGCAGCAGCACTATCCTGTAGTAAAGTGTAAACAAATTTACTTGGTAACAATACGCTAAAAAACAGGATAAAACTGTGCAGTTTAAATACTGTTTTGCTAATTATTTTGTATTTCTAATTATTTTAAGTGTATGTGCTAATTATTGCTGCTGCTAAACATTGTTCTAGTTCTTCTTACTACTTTAAGTTTAGAAAATCTAATCGTCTTATATTACTAACAGAACTAGATCTAGAGCCAGTTGTCACAAATCTTGTGCAGGTTTTTTTCTGTGTTTCTTAAAAAAAACATTAATTACTACACTCGACTTTATTAATAATATTTAAATTTACTAATTGTTGCTATTTTTTTGTCAATTAAACATTAAATTAAGTTAAAACATTAATTTAATGCACTTGACTCTATTTTTATTTCAACGATCAAATAAACTATTGTTTACAGTAACAAATGTTACCGAAACTCAACAAACATTACCCAATAATTTCCGACGCTATATCATGATTTTACCCAGCAGACATGTCAATAAAAATTCTTAAGGGGAAACTACTCTACTCTAACTAATATTTAACTTTAAGGATGTCTTCACAGCTTGTTTTTACTCAAAGTTAGTTTGGACCCTGATTGTGATTGGGTATTTAATTATCTGTTTAATTTTGTTGCTTTTGGTAAAATATGCCACAAAGATGTACAAATTAAAGTAGGCCGTTCGAATTCACAGCTTCCGGGTTTGTTGTTTTGAAGCCATCTCACGGCTCATGCGCTTACCAAAAATGGCGACCAGTTTCGCTTTCACTAATGGGTAGAGGGATAAAACTAATGATTACGAAGCCATCGTTAATTTTAGACATCGGAACTATCCGTTTCTATTTAAGTCTGTTGTTTAAGAATTGTCGGATCTACTTTTGGCCTAATTTCTTTGTTTGTATTTAACGAGGCCGTCGAGAGAAAGTCACGCTTATTTAGCTTGCGTTTCAAGTCGAATTAACTAAAGCAGGTGCGCTCGACAATAACTTTTTTATTTTTTACAATTTTTATAACATCTTTACTATCAAATAAAAATTGAATTGTTTAATGAAATTAGGGTGAAAACAATACATTTGAGGGTGTAAGTGATCACCCCTCAATAATGCCATTTTATTATATTCTTGTTTGGTGAAAACGAGGCGCGGGAAAATGTGTGCCGCGCAAGAATCCAATCATTTGGCTAGATTTATGACTGTTTTTTATGTCATACCTAAAAATAGAATGTTTACGCTTTCTTCGTTGATGATCGTTTTTATTATTTTTTAAATTGAAAGTATGAATTATTAGTTAGATTGCGGATTTTGTAACTTGGTATACTTACCTTTTATCAATTTAAAAAACATAGCATGCTAATTGTGAACAAATATAGTCATAAAACACAGAAATATAAAGTTATAATTGCGATGTGCCACACCCGGGCCACACCCCCTCAAGAAAGCATGTGTTTATTAAGCTGTTTATCTCACTTTACAACAGTAATTAAAATTAATTTTCAAATTTTTATCACTTATTGGGTAAGATTAAGCACATGTTTACCAAAAATAAAAATAAAACAAAAGCAAATTCTGTTTTAATGAAGGTCACGGGTGAAGTTTTTTTTTCCTTCTGTCACGTTCAGTGGAGGGTGCCACAGGCTGACCTGACTTTGGAATTTTTTTCAGTAATAATGACTTTGCACAGAAAGTTAAAATATGCTAAATTAGCTTAGTTTACTAGTGTTCTAGCTATTATTGATACATTTTTAATAAAAAAATCATTCTGTAATTCTCATCAAACAGCCTAAATTAAAGCCATGTTCAATATTCAATAGAAGAGTTTGATTTTATTTTTAGGATTCTACCTCTTCTCTGCTCATTACTTCGTCGGCCGAATTCACATAGAAACTACCTGAAACGATAGACTACCCAACAAAACTACTTGAACATAACAAACAATACTTTCTTAAAACTAATTTACCCTCTTCCAAGACCAGGGACGTAACCAAGAGGGGCCGGTAGACCGATAAAGGTCTTTTTTCTTTTGTTTACAAACGATTGAACTGACATTTTGGTTCGTTCTGTGGTACCGGAAGTTATTTTTATAAATGGTGAATAAAAATAAGGATTTAGACTTATAAAAAATATGCATTGTCGTTAGTTAACGATTAAAATATTTAATAATTAATTTTAAAAAATATTAATGTTCTATAATATTAATACTTCTAACCAAGCAAATAATTGCTTGACAACTCTCCAGTGTTAGTGGCCGTATGCTCTTATGTTACATAATATAAGTTAGCCCTGCGCCCTGCGACCCTAGAAACTAATTCTCCCATTATTGGTGTAGCAGTACTCTTTACTTGCCTTTATCAGGTTGTTGACGCATTTTGTGTACGGAATTTTTAATTTTTAATTAAGGACTGCACCTTTTTTAACCTACATTATTTTTAATCTCGGTGTATTAGACTAGTAAAGATGCTTATGGAGAAAGAGGTGTTGTGCCTATATTTGGTAAGTAAAGACGACTAGTCTGTGCAGTCAGTGGCGTAGCGAGGTCGGGTGTCACCCGGTGCGGCACTTAATGGTGTCACCCCCCAGAGGCGTAGCGACCCTTCCCGGGGACAAACTTTCAATTTTCGATTTGCACCCCCCCCCCCTCAAACTTTCGATTTGCACCCCCACCCTCAAACTTTCGATTTGCACCTCTTAAAACACTATCTAACACTCGAATTAATCACTTAGTTAAGTGGAATTATCATTTTCTCTATATATTTTACTATTTTTTGCCTTTGTGTCACCCCCCTAAATGGTGTCACACGGTCCGCACCCCCACCCCCCCTCCTCGCTACGCCTCTGTGTGCAGTGGACCATAAAAGCCTACTCTCTTTAGTGATCAACAGTAAACTGTGTCATGATTAAGAAGCACTTTTTAATTGTACAAAGGGAGATAACAGCACGGGATCTATCTTTTGATAAATAATAAAAAGCTTATAATAATAATATGTTGTTGTTTTTTTTAAATCATTCAAGACAATTCGTTATGGCAGCCCATTCATTGTAATGGGGTGTTCGTTCTACGAATCTCGAGTTTCCCATAGACTTAAATTTAATTCCTTCCAGAAATTAAAAAGTAAACCAGATTAACTGCCCTTTGAATGTTTAGTTTTTATTTCAGAATCTGTTTTATGAAATGCAAGCTTCATACTTCTGGCTATAGGCCTACATTCATGGATAATTTGATTCCTATTTTTCTGGATCAATGTCCACTTTCTGTTTCTGTCTTCCAGCGACAGGAAAAATTCCGGGATTTTCCGTTGACGGCGTCCGCCTAACTGCCAGATTATACAGACCGCCTCTGTGAAAAAACATTTAAATCCGGCGTAGCTCCTTGACGCTTTGCTTTTGATGTGTGACCACGCGCGGCGATAACAAGTTGAAAGTAATCGATAAATTGTTGTACGCATCGGATGCTTTGAAGTGAAGCACAAACACCCTCCGAATTGGACCTTAGCCTCGTTGTAAATCATACACCTCGTTTTACTGCTAGAGTCGATCTCTTCTTTAGAGCAGGGCTCGGCTTTGTGGTTTATTTACTCTCTTCTTGCTGAACTAGAACTTGAGAGTTTTCAGAAGTTTTGATCTTGTGGACGGAAGAAAAACACGTGTTCTTGATAAACACCATAAAAATTATAATATTTGCCACGAGTCATTCAATTATTTCATGACATTTTAAAATAATAGATGTCAAGATAGTTAAACGCTTTATTAATATTGTTGATAGGTGTTTTTTTTTTAACTTTTAAATTAGTCTATAGTTTCTAAATGTACTGCTGATCTGTATTTATAAATAAGGTTTAAATAAAAAAGGTTGATGATCATAGTTAGAATGTGTGTCATGACTTGTCATGCAAGTTTAACTTAGACTTGACCTGCGTACCAAATTTAATCTTAAAAAAAAAAAAGGTTTGATGGACTATTGACACTATTGGTTTATATTTAGCAAGGGATTAGTCATAGATTCAAACATTTTTCCTTCATTTCTCAAGAAATGTTTATATTTGTTTTTGTTGATCCTCCGCTCTCTAATAGGTTTATAGTTTCTATCATACGATGTTTCATCACTCTGTTATACAATGTTTTAATAGTCTGTTATATGGGGATTTATAGTCTGTTACATGGGGTTCAACCAGACTGTTACATGATTCTTTTGCCAGTCTGTCAATTGATGCTTTGCCAACCTTTAACATGATGTTTTGCTATACTGTTTTATGATGTTTTGTTTTAACATGGTGGAAGGTCTCACAACATCGAAAGTGTTCGATATTTTCCGTTGCCATTGAATTGAGCATTTTATCGGGCGATTACTGCATATAGCTTTGTTTTAAATCCTTGATTTCTGTTATTTAACCTTCTAAATTAAAACTCTGTAATTCTTTTAAAAAAAAGATTAGACACGAACCGTCAGATCTAGGGGGGCATCACTCGAGACTACCTCCCACCTGTGTGGGGTTGATGTGAGGGCGGCCGTGTGGGGGTCAAGTACCGGAGGTCAGAGATCAAAGCTATGTGACGCAGCAGACGTCAGTTTTATTGGTTGTCGACTGAACGAGCAGAAGGGATCAAAATGGCGTCGGTCGGTAGTCTGTCACTAGTCAACACTTCAATGACTGGGCTACTTTGATATTTAGACCTTGGCCTTGGTGGTAGAAAATCGCCCGGAAACCTCTTCACCTTTAGTATCTGTTTCTAAACTCTTTTATCTGAAGATGACGTGGGTAATTACTTACATAAAAATGTTATGTAACTAAAAGAGATTAAAACGCGAGTCACTGTAGATGATTTTTCTGTCGCTTTCGGTGAAGTCATTTGAAGTTGGTTTTTTTAGTGGTGCTTGAAAGTAGGGTTTAATTACTGTCGTATTTCCCCCACTCTATTGTCTCACCACCTCCCCATTCAATTATATTATCTCTCCACCTCCCCACTCAATTGTATTATCTCTCCACCTCTCCACTCAATTGTATTATCTCTCCACCTCCCCACTCAATTATATTATCTCACCATCTCCCCACACAATTGTATTATCTCTCCACCTCCCCACTCAATTGTATTATCTCTCCACCTCTCCACTCAATTGTATTATCTCTCCACCTCCCCACTCAATTATATTATCTCACCATCTCCCCACACAATTGTATTATCTCTCCACCTCCCCACTCAATTGTATTATCTCTCCACCTCCCCACTCAATTGTATTATCTCTCCACCTCCCCACTCAATTGTATTATCTCTCCAACTCCCCACTCAATTGTATTATCTCTCCACCTCTCCACTCAATTGTATTATCTCTCCACCTCTCCACTCAATTGTATTATCTCTCCAACTCCCCACTCAATTGTATTATCTCTCCACCTCCCCACTCAATTGTATTATCTCTCCACCTCTCCACTCAATTGTATTATCTCTCCACCTCCCCACTCAATTGTATTATCTCTCCACTCCCCCACACAATTGTATTATCTCTCCACCTCTCCACTCAATTGTATTATCTCTCCACCTCCTCACTCAATTGTATTATCTCTCCACTTCCCCACTTAATTGTATTATCTACCCTACTCTCTAGTAAATGGTGTCATCTTCCTAAACTGTAAATGTTTTGTAAAAACAAAATTATTTCAAAACTATGCTAGACAGATATCAACATCAGACAGATATCAACATCTGACAGATATCAACATCAGACAGATATCAACACCAGACCGATATCAACATCAGATATCAATAGTCGTTTGATATCAACACCACTTCGATATTATCCTAACAACATCATTGTGTCATCAGACTAATATCAACACACAGTATACATAAAATACCACACTAGATCACCACTTGACTTGACTGGGACCAATATTTCAGCGCTTACGTATCTGTGTAGACATAATAATAATACTGAATGTTTGTACGAACATTGGCGAGCGTATCATGTCAAGTTATATGCCTATATAACTAAAAATATTTTTACGCTTTATTTCAGCTGTAAAACACATCTGAACAAGGTCTAAGTACAAATGTTCTGTGAGTGTATCAATAACTTGAAAACGTAATTATGTAAGTAGTTGAAGTAGATCTAAGTCGAAGTGCAGTTGTAGGAAGTCTGTACAATTTGGATGCACGTCTCTCTCTCGCTTACCCAGTGGTTGAGATAGGGCCAGGGGAATAAAGATAAATAGTAAAAATGATTTGATAAGAGAAGTTACAACAAAGAACGAGGGGGTGGTAGAGTTAAACAAAGGAGAAAGTAAAGTGATACTTGTCTATCTGTTCATGCAAGTACGGTCTCACATGGGCGTCTCTTGATGGTGCAAGTACGGTCTCACATGGGCGTCTCTTGATGGGGGCCTCACATGGGCGTCTCTTGATGGTGCTAGTAGGGTCTCACATGGGCGTCTCTTGATGGGGGCCTCACATGGGCGTCTCTTGATGGTGCTAGTAGGGTCTCACATGGGCGTCTCTTGATGGTGCTAGTAGGGCCTCACATGGGCGTCTCTTGATGGTGCTAGTAGGGTCTCACATGGGCGTCTCTTGATGGTGCTAGTAGGGCCTCACATGGGCGTCTCTTGATGGTGCTAGTAGGGTCTCACATGGGCGTCTCTTGATGGTGCTAGTAGGGTCTCACATGGGCGTCTCTTGATAGGGGCCTCACATGGGCGTCTCTTGATAGGGGCCTCACATGGGCGTCTCTTGATAGGGGCCTCACATGGGCGTCTCTTGATGGTGCTAGTAGGGCCTCACATGGGCGTCTCTTGATGGTGCTAGTAGGGCCTCACATGGGCGTCTCTTGATGGGGGCCTCACATGGGCGTCTCTTGATGGTGCTAGTAGGGCCTCACATGGGCGTCTCTTGATAGGGGCCTCACATGGGCGTCTCTTGATGGTGCTAGTAGGGTCTCACATGGGCGTCTCTTGATGGTGCTAGTAGGGCCTCACATGGGCGTCTCTTGATAGGGGCCTCACATGGGCGTCTCTTGATAGGGGCCTCACATGGGCGTCTCTTGATAGGGGCCTCACATGGGCGTCTCTTGATAGGGGCCTCACATGGGCGTCTCTTGATGGTGCTAGTAGGGCCTCACATGGGCGTCTCTTGATGGTGCTAGTAGGGCCTCACATGGGCGTCTCTTGATGGTGCTAGTAGGGCCTCACATGGGCGCCTCTTGATGGGGGCCTCACATGGGCGTCTCTTGATGGTGCTAGTAGGGTCTCACATGGGCGTTTCTTGATGGGGGCATCACATGGGCGTCTCTTGATGGGGGCCTCACATGGACGTCTCTTGATGATGCTAGTAGGGTCTCACATGGGCGTCTCTTGATGGAGGCATCACATGGGCGTCTCTTGATGGGGGCCTCACATGGGCGTCTCTTGGTGGGGGCCTCACATGGGCGTCTGTTGATGGTGCTAGTAGGGTCTCACATGGGCGTTTCTTGATGGGGGCATCACATGGGCGTCTCTTGCAGTGTTTCTTCCAGACTTTTTTCTCCGGGGGGGCACTTGAAATTTTCGGGGGGGGGGGGGGCGGTAGACTTTCTTCGGGGGGCGGACACTGTAAAAAGTATATATTTTCTATATAAATTATATAAATTTCATTTCGTTCGGGGGGGGGGGGGGCGGTAAAAAATGCCTGGAAGAAACTCTGGTCTTGGTGGTGCAAGTAGGGCCTCACATGGACGTCTCTTGGTGGTGCAAGTAGGGCCTCACATGGGCGTCTCTTGGTGGTGCAAGTAGGGCCTCACATGGACGTCTCTTGGTGGTGCAAGTAGGGCCTCACATGGGCGTCTCTTGGTGGTGCAAGTAGGGCCTCACATGGACGTCTCTTGATGGGAGCCTCACATGGGCGTCTCTTGATGGGGGCATCACATGGGCGTCTCTTGATGGTGCTAGTAGGGCCTCACATGGACGTCTCTTGATGGGAGCCTCACATGGGCGTCTCTTGATGGTGCTAGTAGGGCCTCACATGGACGTCTCTTGATGGAGGCATCACATGGGCGTCTCTTGGTGGTGCAAGTAGGGCCTCACATGGACGTCTCTTGATGGAGGCATCACATGGGCGTCTCTTGGTGGTGCAAGTAGGGCCTCACATGGACGTCTCTTGATGGGGGCCTCACATGGGCGTCTCTTGATGGTGCTAGTAGGGTCTCACATGGACGTCTCTTGATGGGGGCCTCACATGGGCGTCTCTTGGTGGTGCAAGTAGGGCCTCACATGGACGTCTCTTGATGGGGGCCTCACATGGGCGTCTCTTGGTGGTGCAAGTAGGGCCTCACATGGACGTCTCTTGATGGGGGCCTCACATGGGCGTCTCTTGATGGTGCTAGTAGGGTCTCACATGGACGTCTCTTGATGGGGGCCTCACATGGGCGTCTCTTGGTGGTGCAAGTAGGGCCTCACATGGACGTCTCTTGATGGGGGCCTCACATGGGCGTCTCTTGGTGGTGCAAGTAGGGCCTCACATGGACGTCTCTTGATGGGGGCCTCACATGGGCGTCTCTTGGTGGTGCAAGTAGGGCAGCACTAGGGGCCTCTGGATAGGGCGTCGCTGTGTGCTGCTGTCCCGCCCCTACAAAAAGAGAAATTTAAAAAATAAAAACTTTCAATAGTAAATGAAAATACAACTGGATGTGGGTATATGAATTAAATAAATGGATAGGACATCAAACCTATACTTATTAATAAACACATTAATTCGTGTGTTTGATTAGAAGGTTGGAAAGCTGTTTACATTTATAAATACTGAATGCATTTATTCTGCCTAATTACTTGTAATGAATTACATTTGAAAAAGCTAAGAAATGTGTGAACGAGTCCTATCAAAGAATGTGTGCTGTAAGTAAATGTTTATTTAAAGAAGATCGAGCAGCCAGATATTGTTTTCAAGTCGGCCAGAAATGGAAGTGTCGCCAAGCACAGCTGGGCGCGTATCTCGCCTATTATGTCCCTTTGATAAGAAACTTTAAACAACAGGAGAGACCACTCGCCATTTGCTGTGGTAGACACGTGGTATCTGACTCGCGACACGGCGTAATGATCTGGCCAAGTTAGACAAGAAACTGTTTAACAGTCCATTACTACAAACAATAAAAACGGCCTTTGGGTTACAGTATACTGGGGGGAGATAAGCCAGGCAGGGACTATCAGATACTTGGTCTGGAGGCGGCGGTGGATTGTTTCCCCTGGGCGCTGGTTTTAGTGGTTAGGAGCGGGGGGCGTCTTGGTGGATGATTGCCTGCAAACAGATATCGTTTGATTGGGTAACGTGGTGTTCACACGGTGTCCATTCCATTGGTGTCTGGTGGTTCAGCTGATGCGCTTGGTGGAAATATGGTGGCACTAGTGACAAGTTCAGTGGGAGACTTGTTGTTTGGGTAGTGACAAGTTCAGTGGGAGACTTGTTGTTTGGGTAGTGACAAGTTCAGTGGGAGACTTGTTGTTTGGGTAGTGACAAGTTCAGTGGGAGACTTGTTGTGTGGGTAGTGACAAGTTCAGTGGGAGACTTGTTGTTTGGGTAGTGGCAAGTTCAGTGGGAGACTTGTTGTTTGGGTAGTGACAAGTTCAGTGGGAGACTTGTTGTTTGGGTAGTGACAAGTTCAGTGTGAGACTTGTTGTTTGGGTAGTGACAAGTTCAGTGTGAGACTTGTTGTTTGGGTAGTGACAAGTTCAGTGTGAGACTTGTTGTTTGGGTAGTGACAAGTTCAGTGGGAGACTTGTTGTTTGGGTAGTGACAAGTTCAGTGGGAGACTTGTTGTTTGGGTAGTGACAAGTTCAGTGTGAGACTTGTTGTTTGGGTAGTGACAAGTTCAGTGTGAGACTTGTTGTTTGGGTAGTGACAAGTTCAGTGTGAGACTTGTTGTTTGGGTAGTGACAAGTTCAGTGGGAGACTTGTTGTTTGGGTAGTGACAAGTTCAGTGGGAGACTTGTTGTTTGGGTAGTGACAAGTTCAGTGTGAGACTTGTTGTTTGGGTAGTGACAAGTTCAGTGTGAGACTTGTTGTTTGGGTAGTGACAAGTTCAGTGGGAGACTTGTTGTTTGGTAAGCGACAAGTTCAGTGTGAGACTTGTTGTTTGGGTAGTGACAAGTTCAGTGTGAGACTTGTTGTTTAGTAAGTGACAAGTTCAGTGGGAAACTTGTTGTTTGGGTAGCGACAAGTTCAGTGTGAGACTTGTTGTTTGGGTAGCGACAAGTTCAGTGGGAGACTTGTTGTTTGGGTAGTGACAAGTTCAGTGTGAGACTTGTTGTTTGGGTAGTGACAAGTTCAGTGGGAGACTTGTTGTTTGGGTAGTGACAAGTTCAGTGTGAGACTTGTTGTTTGGGTAGTGACAAGTTCAGTGTGAGACTTGTTGTTTGGTAAGTGACAAATTCAGCGAGAGACTTGTTGTTTGGTAAGTGACAAGTTCAGTGGGAAACTTGTTGTTTGGGTAGCGACAAGTTCAGTGTGAGACTTGTTGTTTGGAAAGTGACAAGTTCAGTGTGAGACTTGTTGTTTGGTAAGTGACAAGTTCAGTGTGAGACTTGTTGTTTGGGTAGCGACAAGTTCAGTGTGAGACTTGTTGTTTGGGTAGCGACAAGTTCAGTGTGAGACTTGTTGTTTGGGTAGCGACAAGTTCAGTGTGAGACTTGTTGTTTGGGTAGCGACAAGTTCAGTGTGAGACTTGTTGTTTGGGTAGCGACAAGTTCAGTGTGAGACTTGTTGTTTGGGTAGCGACAAGTTCAGTGTGAGACTTGTTGTTTGGGTAGCGACAAGTTCAGTGTGAGACTTGTTGTTTGGGTAGCGACAAGTTCAGTGGGAGACTTGTTGTTTGGGTAGCGACAAGTTCAGTGTGAGACTTGTTGTTTGGGTAGCGACAAGTTCAGTGTGAGACTTGTTGTTTGGGTAGCGACAAGTTCAGTGTGAGACTTGTTGTTTGGGTAGCGACAAGTTCAGTGTGAGACTTGTTGTTTGGGTAGCGACAAGTTCAGTGTGAGACTTGTTGTTTGGGTAGTGACAAGTTCAGTGTGAGACTTGTTGTTTGGGTAGTGACAAGTTCAGTGTGAGACTTGTTGTTTGGGTAGCGACAAGTTCAGTGTGAGACTTGTTGTTTGGGTAGCGACAAGTTCAGTGGGAGACTTGTTGTTTGGGTAGCGACAAGTTCAGTGTGAGACTTGTTGTTTGGGTAGCGACAAGTTCAGTGTGAGACTTGTTTGTTAAATGATAGTTCAATGGGAGTCTTGAAGTTCTGTGTCCTACAAGTTCCACGTTCTACAAGTTCTATGTTCTACAAGTTCTATGTTCTACAAGTTCTATGTTCTACAAGTTCTGTGTTCTACAAGTTCTGTGTCCTACAAGTTCCACGTTCTACAAGTTCTATGTTCTACAAGTTCTATGTTCTACAAGTTCTATGTTCTACAAGTTCTATGTTCTACAAGTTCTATGTTCTACAAGTTCTATGTTCTACAAGTTCTGTATTCTACAAGTTCTGTGTTCTACAAGTTCTGGTTTCTACAAGTTCTATGTTCTACAAGTTCTATGTTCTACAAGTTCTATGTTCTACAAGTTTTATGTTCTACAAGTTCTGTGTTCTACAAGTTCTGTGTTCTACAAGTTCTGGTTTCTACAAGTTCTATGTTCTACAAGTTCTGTATTCTACAAGTTCTGTGTTCTACAAGTTCTGGTTTCTACAAGTTCTATATTCTACAAGTTCTATGTTCTACAAGTTCTATGTTCTACAAGTTGTGTTCTACAAGTTCTATGTTCTACAAGTTCTGTGTTCTACAAGTTCTGTGTTCTACAAGTTCTATGTTCTACAAGTTCTATGTTCTACAAGTTCTGTGTTCTACAAGTTCTGTGTTCTACAAGTTCTATGTTCTACAAGTTCTATGTTCTACAAGTTTTATGTTCTACAAGTTCTGTGTTCTACAAGTTCTGGTTTCTACAAGTTCTATGTTCTACAAGTTCTATGTTCTACAAGTTGTGTTCTACAAGTTCTATGTTCTACAAGTTCTGTGTTCTTCAAGTTATGTGTTCTACAAGTTCTATGTTCTACAAGTTCTATGTTCTACAAGTTCTGTGTTCTACAAGTTCTGGTTTCTACAAGTTCTATGTTCTACAAGTTCTGTATTCTACAAGTTCTGTGTTCTACAAGTTCTGGTTTCTACAAGTTCTATGTTCTACAAGTTCTATGTTCTACAAGTTCTATGTTCTACAAGTTGTGTTCTACAAGTTCTATGTTCTACAAGTTCTGTGTTCTACAAGTTCTGTGTTCTACAAGTTCTATGTTCTACAAGTTCTATGTTCTACAAGTTCTGTGTTCTACAAGTTCTGTGTTCTACAAGTTCTATGTTCTACAAGTTCTATGTTCTACAAGTTTTATGTTCTACAAGTTCTGTGTTCTACAAGTTCTGGTTTCTACAAGTTCTATGTTCTACAAGTTCTATGTTCTACAAGTTGTGTTCTACAAGTTCTATGTTCTACAAGTTCTGTGTTCTTCAAGTTATGTGTTCTACAAGTTCTATGTTCTACAAGTTCTATGTTCTACAAGTTCTATGTTCTACAAGTTCTATGTTCTACAAGTTCTATGTTCTACAAGTTCTATGTTCTACAAGTTCTATGTTCTACAAGTTCTCGGTCCGATGTGTCTCTTGAGACTAGCAGGTTGTTGTGAGCTGGTTTTTGTTTGTGGGAATGTTTTTTGACACTCAACTAATTAGTAGATTAACTAGGTAATTAGATAAGTAGTTAATTAAATATCGTCTTAAGCAGCCTGAAAGAAGATTTTGGCAGATTTAGAAAATTTCTATGAACAAGTCGTATGCCGTGTTGTGTCAAGCTAATGAATAGTATCTATTAGAAAAGAAAATGAAAAAATTCAGTTAGAAGCAAAGTAAAAGTCGATGCCAAATTCCAACGGTTCTCAGTCTGTGGGATGAGGAGTTTATTTATAGCCGCTGAGGTTTGAGTGGAGTTGAATGTTAAAACTTTTTGCGCAGTAAGGCAATAACAACATGGAGGAAACCAAAATCAGAATCGGTTAGGATGAAATTTAAGAAGTCAGTGGAGGGTTGGTCGAAGTGTGGTGCTGTCAATGATTCTAATAATTAATCAGTAGGCTGTAGAATTAATTGTCTAGCTGTAGAATTGATTCGCTGGCTGTAACATTAATTCGCTGGCTGTAACATTAATACGCTAGTTGTAGAATTAATTGGCTGGCTGTATAAATAAAAAGCTGGGTTTATAATTAATGCAGTGTCTAAAATGAATTCGCTGTCTGTAGAATTAAATCGCGGTAGAACTAATTCGCTGGCTGTAGAATTAATTCGCTGTAGAACTAATTCGCTGGCTGTAGAATTAATTCGCTGGCTGTAGAATTAATTCGCTGGTTGTAGAATTAATTAGCTGGTTGTAGAATTAATTCGCTGTAGAACTAATTCGCTGGCTGTAGAATTAATTCGCTGGCTGTAGAATTAATTCGCTGGATGAAAGATTAATTCGCTGGCTGTAGAATTAATTCGCTGGTTGTAGAATTAATTCGCTGGCTGTAGAATTAATTCGCTGGTTGTAGAATTAATTCGCTGGCTGTAGAACTAATTCGCTGGCTGTAGAATTAATTCGCTGGCTGTAGAATTAATTCGCTGGATGAAAGATTAATTCGCTGGCTGTAGAATTAATTCGCTGGTTGTAGAATTAATTCGCTGGCTGTAGAACTAATTCGCTGGCTGTAGAATTAATTCGCTGGATGAAAGATTAATTCGCTGGCTGTAGAATTAATTCGCTGTAGAACTAATTCGCTGGATGAAAGATTAATTCGCGGGCTATAGAATTAATTCGCTGGTTGTAGAATTAATTCGCTGGCTGTAGAACTAATTCGCTGGCTGTAGAATTAATTCGCTGGATGAAAGATTAATTCGCTGACTGTAGAATTAATTCGAAGGCTATTCGTAGAATATATTCGCCTGCTCTAAAATTAAACTGATGGCTAGCCAGTCCATAGTAAGTACAATCTGTTCGTTTGATGATACCCGTCTGTATTCAGTGCAGTGGCGTAGCGAGGTCGGGTGTCACCCGGTGCGACCCCCCCAGAGTCGTAGCGACTCTTCCCGGGGACAAACTTTCAATTTTCAATTTGCACCCCCCCCCCCTCAAGCTTTCGATTTGCACCCCCTCCCCCCAAATTTTTCTCTCTATATTTTACTATTTTTTGCCTCGGTGTCACCCCCCTAAATGGTGTCACCCGGTGCGGTCCGCACCCCCCGCCCCCCCCCCCCCCTCGCTACGCCTCTGATTCAGTGTACACATTTAAAATGTGAGTTACTGAAACTTTCAACATTTAATTTAAACCAACAAAATTCCTAAAGGTCTTGGAGTTTGTCATTTAAACATACCGATACCAGACTGGCCAAAACGCTTCATTTCGTTCTTTAGTCGGTAGACCGGGGTGAGGCTGTCAACCCAACCCCCAAATAGTGTCAGCTGGAGCTCCCGACTTGTTACATATATGTACATATATGTACGTATATGTATGTATGCAGTGGCGTCGCTAGGTCGGGTGCCACCCGGTGCGGCATCGTGTCACCCCCCCTCCCCTTTTTTCTCTGTAAAATTTGTGCAGATGGTGTCGACCCCCCCTGTAAAAGCTTTAAGGTGTTCACATTAATACTAATGATAGTCGGTTGTTAATACAGCTGGGTGTCGCATTGTTTTCTCTAGTTTACATGTTTACGTCATGGTGTTTGCCCCCCCCCCCCCCCCGGTAATTCAGCTGGGTGTCGCATTGTTTTCTCTAGTTTACATGTTTACGTCATGGCGTCTGCCCCCCCCCCCCCCCCCGGTAATTCAGCTGGGTGTAGCGTTGTTTTCTCTAGTTTACATGTTTACGTCATGGTGTTTGCCCCCCCCCCCCCGGTAATACAGCTGGGTGTCGCATTGTTTTCTCTAGTTCACATGTTTACGTCATGGCGTCTGCCCCCCCCCCCCCCCGGTAATTCAGCTGGGTGTCGCATTGTTTTCTCTAGTTTACATGTTTACGTCATGGCGTCTGCCCCCCCCCCCCCTCTTTTATCGGGATTATCAATATGTACCCCCTCCCCCCAAATTTTTCTCTCTATATTTTACTATTTTTTGCCTCGGTGTCACCCCCCTAAATGGTGTCACCCGGTGCGGTCCGCACCCCCCGCCCCCCCCCCTCGCTACGCCTCTGATTCAGTGTATACATTTAAAATGTGAGTTACTGAAACTTTCAACATTTAATTTAAACCAACAAAATTCCTAAAGGTCTTGGAGTTTGTCATTTAAACATACCGATACCAGACTGGCCAAAACGCTTCATTTCGTTCTTTAGTCGGTAGACCGGGGTGAGGCTGTCAACCCAACCCCCAAATAGTGTCAGCTGGAGCTCCCGACTTGTTACATATATGTACATATATGTACGTATATGTATGTATGCAGTGGCGTCGCTAGGTCAGGTGCCACCCGGTGCGGCATCGTGTCACCCCCCCTCCCCTTTTTTCTCTGTAAAATTTGTGCAGATGGTGTCGACCCCCCCTGTAAAAGCTTTAAGGTGTTCACATTAATACTAATGATAGTCGGTTGTTAATACAGCTGGGTGTCGCATTGTTTTCTCTAGTTTACATGTTTACGTCATGGCGTCTGCCCCCCCCCGGTAATACAGCTGGGTGTAGCGTTGTTTTCTCTAGTTTACATGTTTACGTCATGGTGTTTGCCCCCCCCCCCCCCGGTAATACAGCTGGGTGTAGCATTGTTTTCTCTAGTTTACATGTTTACGTCATGGCGTCTGCCCCCCCCCCCGGTAATACAGCTGGGTGTAGCATTGTTTTCTCTAGTTTACATGTTTACGTCATGGCGTCTGCCCCCCCCCCCCCCGGTAATACAGCTGGGTGTAGCGTTGTTTTCTCTAGTTTACATGTTTACGTCATGGTGTTTGCCCCCCCCCCCCCCCGGTAATACAGCTGGGTGTCGCATTGTTTTCTCTAGTTCACATGTTTACGTCATGGCGTCTGCCCCCCCCCCCCGGTAATACAGCTGGGTGTAGCGTTGTTTTCTCTAGTTTACATGTTTACGTCATGGTGTTTGCCCCCCCCCCCGGTAATACAGCTGGGTGTCGCATTGTTTTCTCTAGTTTACATGTTTACGTCATGGCGTCTGCCCCCCCCCTCTTTTATCGGGATTATCAATATGTACTTAAATACTTTTTAACTCATTGAACTGGCATATACATATTTATTATATACTAGAATACCCGTCATCCGTTGGATAACTGTGGGTTTCGGGGGTCATCCATCAAAAAACATCACGTCTGTCACTCAGAGGCATAGCGAGCCTTCCCGGCGCCCGGGGACAAACTTTTCGATTTTAACCCCCCCCCCCCCCCCCGAAGATTTCGATTTTCAACCCCCCCCCCCTCAAACTTTTGATGTGCACCCACCCCCTCAAACTTTCGATTTGAACCCCCCTCAACCTTTCAATTTATTTTTCCAAACCATTTTGGCGCCCCAACATATGTCCCCCCGCCCCCCCCCCCCCTCCACCTCCCCCCGCCTCCCCTCCCCCCCCCCCCCCCGCCCCCCCCCTCCTCGCTACGCTACTGCAGTGTCACTTATCGTCACAAAAACAGACCCCACATTCAAAAATATGTTTCTTATCTTTTAAAAACACCGAAAACACCGATTTCGGACTATCCCTTTATATACTGACGTCACATGTGACCTACTCAACTCTACTTCACCTGCCCAGTGTCCCGCCAAGTTTCAGACAACATGTTTTTATCGTTTAAAAAACGATTCCAGCCGAGCATGTCTCTGACCACACTATCCTTTCATATGCTTAGGACAAAGAAACAGATGAACTCTACTTCACCTGCCCTGTATCCTGCCAAGTTCAGATAGGCAACTTTATCATTCACATCTAAAAAAAAAAAAAATTGAAAAAAAATATCATTGACATATTGGTCTAGAACCTGTACCACCCGCATGAGAGCGGACTACGCTACAAACTTAGCTATTTACTCGTAACGTCACACATGAATTTTTATACTATACTTTTGAGTCTCCGCGCATAGATCTAGATCTAAGTCTAGCAGTAGAATCTAGTAACTTTCAAATTAAATTTTATCTTAAATTAGCCAAACAAAGATTTATATAAAATAATTAAGGCCTGAAATAGATTCTAGATGTATTAAGGCCTGAAATAGATTCTAGATGTAGAATTTACATTAAGTCTAGATCTAGAATTTACATTGAGTCTAGTGACCTAAATCTAGGCTAGATCTAGATCTAGGCTAGATTCATAACTTTCCTTCGATAGCTGATCTTTAGATCTAGAGAAATTTATCGTAAAACTAAATGAAAAAGACAGTTGAAAATTGATATGTGTTGGAACGTAATAAATACAGCAAACGGACGTATTGTTTAAGTTATAGCCGGCAGAAAATTAGCTTTGTAACGCGTTAAACTTTTGAATGGGCCACAAAGTCTATGATGGAGTCCGCCATTTTTATTGTACCAAAAACTTAACACATCAAGGGACGTCACTATCCCCACAAAGTTTATTCAAAGTATTAACATTTTTAAAAAAATACGGTTAATTTAACTATGAATAAATCAATTAATTAATTAACGTCTTTAAATAAATTTGTGATTAACAGTCTGTCTGCATTAAAAAATTATTCTCTACCTACATACTATTTTACAGCTATCCAGATTGAGTCGAACATATCACAATAGTCGATCAGGCAAACAAACAAACAAACAAAAAAAAAAACAAAAAAATAAATATTCAAACATGTAAACAAACTTGACTTTTAGTAGTATATAGATGTCTTGTAATTTTTTTGTCTTGGTGTCACCCCCTTAATGGTGTCGCCCGGTGCGGTCCGCCCCCCCCCCCCGCCTCGCGACGCCTCTGTATGTATGTATGTATTTATGTAAAATAAAAAGCTAGAACCAGAAAGAGACTTCTTGGTTTTCCTGCTTTGTAGAATTTTTTAAGAAAAAAATGTAAAAGTGGAATCTATATATTAAGGCTTTTTAGAGAGAACAAAATTTCAATACTTGTTAATACTTTTATTTATTCATGGTCACATATATATTTTTGTTAATCACACATGATATAAATACATGCAATACAGTAGTAATTATTTGTTATATGTTACAATGAGGAATGTAATGTATGCATAATTTGAAGAAAATACATTGATACCATTTGTTATTTTGTAAAAAGACTATGTACAAATACATGAAAATAACACGAAGAATGTGGTTAATGTCAGATATAAAGAGTACATAAAAGATGACAGTAAATATCAGTACATGAATATGATTACAGTTTCTGTTCGACAAATGATTAAGGCGCTTATGTCTCACAGATAAGGCAGAACTTGTGTCAAGTTTTATTATGCCATACATAACACACATACAGTCTTGTATAGTGGCAGTCATATGGGCAGGCACTGGGAGTATGTGATCAGATAAATATGTACATAATGTACACCAAAAAATCAACAATGTACACAAAAACACCATGACTAGCACAAAGCACCGGGTCTATAGACTGTCCACGAATTCCTTGTTTTTGTGCAAGTAGCATGCTTGATGTCTATTAATAGAACTTTTCTCTGTTGTGTCACGTGGTGTGAACACAACTGTGTCACGTGGTGTGAACACAACTGTCCAGGTCAACTGATCAGCAGCTTGATCCACTATAGAACCTGACGTCATTGAACAGTGACGTCACAGAACCGTGACGCGGCAGAAATCTCAGCCGTGTGAGGCCAGTCAAAAGCCGTTAAAATCCTGAGCCAAAGTGATGGCTTCTCGTCTTGCTGTCAAATCAATCGATGACGTCACTGGCTGTGGTCTGGGACTTCTAGCTTCATGCTGGAATAGAAATATGGCTGATTTATGCGTGGGCTCATTGATAGGTGGGTGGATTCATTGGTGGGTGGATTCATTGATGGGTGGATTCATTGATGGGTGGATTCATTGATGGGTGGATTCATTGATGGGTGGATTCATTGATGGGTGGATTCATTGATGGGTGGATTCATTGATGGGTGGATTACTTGGTGGGGGGTTGATTGGTAGATGGATTGATTGGTGGATGGAATAATTGTATGCGGGTCAAATGTTTGGGGGATTTATTGTTTTATGTATGAATTAATATGTGGATTGATGATTCTGGTACGAAATAGCTCAACGCGAATCTACCCGGGTGTTTGTTGCGTGTTCATTTAGTCAAGTTGTTATGAGTTATGGTTCGTGGAGGGAGGGGGGGGGCACGCGGTGGCAAGTATCCAGAACTGGAGGAGGTGTGGTGGGTAATGTCGTTAAAGATTTGTCTTATTGTCAGTGTTTCTTTCAGACATTTTTCACCGAGAGGATGGTGTGGGGGGGGGGGATTTGACATTTACAGGGGAGGAGGGGGTGCAGAGAGTGTTTTTTTTCTATTTAGTTCGGGGAGTGGGGGGTGCTTAAACAAAACAGCCAGCTCATCTGATGATCAGTTGTATTACATATTCAACGTCAGGACTTCAAGTTAATTCATGCTTGAATTGGATTTTCCTTTAAAATAGTTACGAAAGAAAGACAACTTTGTATATCCCAGCAAATTTACCAGTAAAATCTCGTTTTCCGCTGTACAACCCAAGCTACTTGAAACTACTTGTCAGACTTCCCCAACAAATTAGGTTAGTCTAATGTCCACGACTAGACATGTTGTTTTTTTTCATTCATGTTTTTTTTTTTAAGAAAACCAACGAGATGATGTTTTCCATTCAGTTTAAAACGATGGCTTTTTCTATTTTTTTGAAATTAGAATACTTTTTTCACATTCAGTTTGAAACGATGGCTTTTAAAAAAAAATTAAATTTGAATTCAATGTTTGTTTTTTATTTTGTTTTCATAGCCAGGACGGAGAGCAGAGTTTCTTCCAGACTTTTTTCTCTGGGGGGGGGGGGGGGGGGAACCTGAAATTTTTTGGGGGGGGGGGGCGGTAGACTTTCTTCGGGGGGGCGGACACTGTTAACAGTATATATTTCTATATAAATGATATAAATTTCATTTCGTTCGGGGGGGGGGGGGGGCATGCTTGGAAGAAACTCTGACGGAGAGTGTATGATTGCCAAGTCCCTAAGTCCCGAATGGACAACCCATCTAGGAGAGACATTTTAAAATCAAAGCACTGGTGCCTTGCTGTCTGTTTGGGTGGACCAAAACTATAGAGGCAAATCTAGGAAGAAAAGCAAATTCAAGTCGGAGTCTACCGGTCGTTAGGGGCTTAACATGTTGGCATGTAATTCTTGTAGAAAATGTAATCAATAGTTGTAAGCTTATTAGCCAGCCTAACTTTCAGGATATTGGCTATGCTGAACTACCAGTTTCCTGAGCAGTTACTTATTGCCGGTGTACATAGTTACAGCTGTTGGTGCCAGTATGCCCGAATGTCACTGTGCCTAATGTCATGCTGTCACCAAGCCTTATGTCGTGATGTCACCGATTGTCACCTCAGTACATATAGGTTAAACCTACTGTCCTGAACGACTATTTCCTTTTCCTTTTTATTTTTTTTAAATGACGGGAATTTTGAAAGAAAATAAGGCTCTACTTGTGCTAAAACTTTCAAGGAAAAGACAGTTAAGAAAACACTTGAAAGACACTTGGGTTGGCCGCACATGTTGGGCTAATTAGACCAATTATGGTAGCTATTATCTCCACCAATTAGGCAAATTGTGGTAGCTATTGTCTTAAACAATTAGGCCAATTGTGGTAGCTATTGTCTTAAACAATTAGGCCAATTGTGGTAGCTATTGTCTTAAACAATTAGGCCAATTGTGGTAGCTATTGTTTTAAACAATTAGGCCAATTGTGGTAGCTATTGTCAATTAGGCCAATTGTGGTAGCTATTGTCTTAAACAATTAGGCCAATTGTGGTAGCTATTGTTTTAAACAATTAGGCCAATTGTGGTAGCTATTGTCTTAAACAATTAGGCCAATTGTGGTAGCTATTGTCAATTAGGCCAATTGTGGTAGCTATTGTCTTAAACAATTAGGCCAATTGTGGTAGCTATTGTTTTAAACAATTAGGCCAATTGTGGTAGCTATTGTCTTAAACAATTAGGCCAATTGTGGTAGCTATTGTCAATTAGGCCAATTGTGGTAGCTATTGTCTGAAACAATTAGGCCAATTGTGGTAGCTATTGTCTTAAACAATTAGGCCAACTTGCCAGCTATTAGCTTGTACTAAGTACCTCTGATAAAACGGATTCCCCTCCCCCCACCCTCCCACCCCATGTAATGAAGGCAAGCATCAAAACAAAGGCGGCTACTAACAATGGAGATATCTGATCTATAGTTACCTCTGGTGTGTCTCCTGAGGCCAGCTGCTATTTGTACGTAAGATAGAGCTGCTATTTGTACGTGAGATCGAGCTGCTATTTGTACGTAAGATCATGTCGACACTAAACAAGCCCAGAGCCGAGCCAGGGGCGTTGTGCTCTGTGGGAGGGAACGGGCTTTGTGGGGTGCCATATTTCTCCGACACATCAGGGGCGCCATATTTCTCCGACACATCAGGGGCGCCATATTTCTCCAACACATCAGGGGCGCCAGTGTCAGGCTGTCGGTGCAGCAAGCTCCGTCTGTCAGTTGACTGATGCTGTTGTGTCATCTTGTGTCCAGCTAGGTCCTGACCGTGGGTCACCTTGTGTCCAGCCAAGTCTTGACTGTGGGTCACTTTGTGTCCAGCTAAGTCCTGACTGTGGGTCATCTTGTGTCCAGCCAAGTCTTGACTGTGGGTCACTTTGTGTCCAGCCAAGTCTTGACTGTGGGTCACTTTGTGTCCAGCCAAGTCTTGACTGTGGGTCACCTTGTGTCCAGCTAAGGTCCTGGATTGACAAAAGCCTTTGCCGCAAATGTCGCATTTGAAGGGTTTTTCTTTGGAGTGAATGTACCTTTATAAACAAATAAAATATTACACTGTAATTTCCATTACTGTATTAGTTGAGTTCCATAACGTTATTCATTTTTTGAAGCTGCAGTTAAGATTGGCTTTTTATTTTTAAATAAAGAGTATTTTATCTTATTTAGTGGAAGTACATAAAGCCCCATGCAAGTCAAATTTCCGAAATGTGTATCAGCTACACAAAATGTGTACATTTATTCAATAAAAGAAATGTGTTTTCGACAACTACCCATCGGCCCTACATGTAGTGACACGTCTATTAATTAATTTTAATTATAATTAGCGCGTGATGTTCTAGAGCCATGGGTTGAAAACAGGAGCAGACGTTAACAAAATGTTCAATCCGTAGCACGATGTTAACAACATGTGATTGTTCAATGCGGAGCACGACGTTAACAACATGTGATTGTTCAATGCGTAGCGCGACGTTAACAACATGTAATTGTTCAATGCGTAGCACGCTCAGATATTTGATCTCTTCTAGCAAAGATGGAAGATTTAGAGCACTTTGCAAAGATCGGCAATTTTAGCGCACAAAGACAGAGAGTTTGGACATATCTCACAAAGTGTGTGTGGACACCTCACAAAGACCGAGACACACCTCACAAAAACCGAGACACCTTACAAAGTGTGTGTGGACACACCTGACAAAGAAATAAAGCTTTGGGTTACCTGTGGTCCCTAAGGTGGTCTTGTCGTCTGAATGCCTTGCTACAGATCTCACAGGGGTAGGGACGCTCATCTGTGTGGGTCCTCTCGTGGATGAGCAGGTTGTACGACTTGCTGAAGTGGCGGCCGCAGTATTTGCAGATAAACTCTTTCTTGCTTCTGTGGGGGAAAATATAGGTTCATGGCGGTCTCTGCGGTTATACAGGTTCATATGTGTTGTGTTTAATTATCCCTGTGTTGTGTTTATTTAGACATCCATATGTTTATTTATATATCCATTTGGATTCTGTTTATTGATATACGTGTGGGTTTCTTGTTAAACTCTTAGAGCATCAAACAAATGGCATAACTATTTAGAACAAAGGAAAGTCTCGTAACACCCCTTTCTCCCCCCCCCCCCCTCCCACCACCCCCACAAACACACACGCTCCTCACTGGTATTACTAAGTCAGTAATTAGTACTGGGGCAGATCTTTGAGGTAAATTTAATTAAACAAATTAGGAATTAATGAATTTCTATCAGCTCATTGAGTTAAGTGAGTCTTCAAGTTTTTGACAGAAGTAATTATCAAACTTAAGCCGGGCGTTTATATTGAGCTCAATGAGTTTCTTCACTGCGGGAATTTGCGAGAAAACACGTTTATGTTCAACTCAATGACTTTCACTGACTAGCTTGAAGCCGCTGATAAGACCATTGTTTGATGTCGTTATTTAGACCGTTACATAGACTAAATGGCTGCTCTAATCCTGTGAAATTTTTTTTACCTCCGTGGTCTTCTTAGTTTGATTTTGTCCCCTGAGCAAATGGTGTGTCTAAGCGGGGTGGCCAAGAAGGTCGAGTTGGCCATCAGACGATAGTTTTCCTGCAGCAGACGGATGTTTTCCTCCAGCCCCATCACGTGACTCGTGACCTGGGCCTGGCTCGAGCTTGACGAGACAGAGTCCGGTGACTGGCAACCCTCAAGGTCACTCGTGGCTGACTCGGCCAGACGCGAGAAGTCGAATCGTCGCTTGGCTTTGGGCTCTGGTGTACTCTCTGAAAGTAAAGATTGGGTTCAAGTTAAGTGTACTCTCTGAAAGTAAAGATAGGGTTCAAGGTCAGTGTACTCTCTGAAAGTAAAGATTGGGTTCAAGGTCAGTGTACTCTCTGAAAGTAAAGATTGGGTTCAAGGTCAGTGTACTCTCTGAAAGTAAAGATTGTGTTCAAGGTCAGTGTACTCTCTGAAAGTAAAGATTGGGTTCAAGGTCAGTGCACTATCTGAAAGTAAAGATTGGGTTCAAGGTCAGTGTACTCTCTGAAAGTAAAGATTGGGTTCAAGGTCAGTGCACTCTCTGAAAGTAAAGATTGGGTTCAAGGTCAGTGTACTCTCTGTAAGTAAAGATTAGCTTTAGGCTCAAGGTACTTTATGAAAGTAAAGATTAGCTTTAGGTTCAAGGTACTCTGTGAGAAAGAATTGCGAGTGGAGATTAAGATTTGAAGGGAAGAAACTTGTATTCTGAATATTGATTGTTCCGTTCTTTTCTAACCCGGAAAACCGCGGTGCTGCGCGCAAATCGCGTTAGAGAGTTTATGTCACAGAAACACGGCCGTTGGGCACACGTCATGTTTACATTATGTTGTCTACATTCATACATTTTAAAAATGTTGATATTTTCGAAAAAAACAATGCTGTAATAGCAAATTCGACCAGCAATCAGCAGGCATTTATCCATGCGGCGTTAATTATTGTTCACAGATGAATCTTTTGTTTAAAAACGTCTTATATTTCGGTAAAATATCTATGAAATAATTTGTTATATGTTACTAGAATCTAGGTCTAAATAAAATGTACGCAGATCCAGTAGAATTTAAACTAAGAAAAGTAAATACCGGAACTCTCAATAAAAACCTGCTGCGTTTTATTTGTGCAAAAGAAAATATTTTTTTTCTGATTTTGTTCTTAATACTCATTTGGCATTACATGTATAGCCATTTATACATAACTATATATATATATATATATATATATATATATATATATATATATATATATATATATAGTTATATATAGTTATATATAGTTATATATGTCATAGAGAGAAGAGGCGCGGGTCAGAAAGCAAAGAAAGCGGTTATGTGAAAACGTCGGGTCTGGAGACCAGAGCCAGTTTCCCAACAGCGCCACGTAAACCACTGCCTTACAACTTTGCTGTAACCATTATTATACCAAGGTCAACGACATTCGAAAAAAAAAATATTTAAATGCACCTAGAAATGTGCAGCAGACATCTGTATCTAAATCCTATCAGAAGCATTTTTGTATCCTTAGACCCCGACGTCTGGAGTTTTTTGGCTGGGTGCTGTATCGTTTACCACTTGTTTACGAGAGTCAGTCCAACTTTTCTTTTAATCTATCAAGTTAAAAAAAAACTGGGGAAAAATCTAATCTTTTTATTCTGTTTGCTATCAAGGCAATTTTTCCCAGTCTCTGAATGTGCAGACTGCATGTCTGAAAACTTAGCAACTCGCCCGTGAGAAGGCGGCAAGTGAAAGCGCGCTAGGCCGGAGTGTTGCAATTGTTAGATGATGGAAAGTTAAGGCCAACGTCTCACACTATCGCCTCCCAGATATATGTTTTGATAAGTCCTTGGTGGGACTTACTGGGAACAGACGAGATTTTTTTTGTATCACATTTGTTAGCTGTCATATTTGAATTTCACTCGCCCGGTTTTATTTTATCTCTCCCGGTCTCCAAGAAAGTTTGTACGTCTGGATAGCAGCTCGTGGGATTTACTGGCTGGAATTGTGTGTGTGTGTGGAATTATTTGGGTCTCGTGTGAAATAGATGTCTGATTGGACTTGATAAGGCTGGCCGCTCAAGGATGGGAAGATGGTGACCCATGACCCGCGACCCGTGACCCGGAGACCGTCCTTGCAGATTGTCTTGGCGCAGTCCAGACCCTGGATGGGGATTTGTTTACTTAACGTAAACACTCGCCTGGATATGGCATAAACAACTCATTGTGTATTCACAGATTAGCACACACCGGGCTTTGTCTAGTCCTCGGAAAGAACAATTTAGATAGCGAGATTCCGATTGTTACAGCAGTAGTTAGCGGAGAATGTGAGAACTATTTTTTTAAGGGTGGGATACTCCGCTTACATCATGATAGCATGAACATTTACATGTTGAGATCATCCCGAAACAAACAAAAGCAGAAATATCTAAACAAAATATAAAGTGTTAAAACTTGTCACTTTGCTATGGGGGTGGTGAGGGGGGGGGGAGTGTTGAGCGAAAGTCTGACGTCATGAGCCGTAGACGGCCGCCATTTATTTTCCCGCCGGCTGATCTCGCAACTTAACGCGAGAGTTCAGCTCCATGTGTAACGTGCTGGTTCAGTGGAGATATCATATCCAGCGTACACCAGCGTACATTAGCATACATTAGCATACATAAGCATGGATAAGAGTGACGTCACGGCTGGCCACACGGGAGCGTCTGCTCGCCAGGTGACAGTCGCTGTGACGTATCTGGCAGCGCTGTAACCAGGGGATGACATAATGCTTCGTGTCACGCACGAGATGGAAGCCCTGGTCGTATGACGTCAAAGAAAGCTGTTGCGTCATATGCGAATATCCCGGGTAGGTTGGTGTTGTGTGATATGTATCACGTACAGTCCGTCAGTCTAAACTTCCAGTTGTAATCAGTGAACGATCCTAGAGCTCTACTCAGGTAGTTTTACAGACATACGTATCAATTTAACATCAAGTCACTATTACCCTTAGTATTGTTATCATTGACATCATCTATATTATTACTAGGATACCGGTGAACCAAGTGACGTCATCGGTCATGAAGGATCCAGGTGACGTCACCTGAAGGTGTAGGTGAGAAAATGCTTACCTGCGCTGCTGTCACTGGAAGTAAACGTCTTGGTCAGACCGGAAGTGGACTCTGGGAGGCTGGAGCCCACCCGGCACCACACAGGGGAGGCCGCAGGGTGGCGCCACTGGGCCGGGGGTGGTGTCTGGTCATCCATGACCCGAGGGTAGGGGAGCAGGGCGTGGGGCCCCCAGGGTGGGGCCAGCCCCAGGCCAGGGTGTGTGAACAGGGACGGGAAGATGTAGGACAGGCCACTGTTACGTGTGAAGGGACTTAAGTAGTCTTCACCTGTATGGGGAGACATGCTTTTATTATTCACAAGCTAGCAACTTTTGTTATCATACACGTTAGTTCATACTACCACATACAAGTTGTGTCATACTATCCACTCCCCCCCCCCTTTCCGATGAAATTGTAAAATTATATATATATATATATATATATATATATATATATATATATATATATATATATATATATATATATATATATATATATATATGCATTATCCGGAAATATTAAGTGCGACCCCCCACCACCCGAAGTTTCAAGTGCTTCCCCCCCCTTCCGGAGAAAGATGTCTGAAAAAGCCCTGAACACGACAACAATATGATACGACAACAACATGATACAACACTACATGAACTAAGCAAACCGGACAAAAGAACAGATAACACCCAAGAACAAATTGATACAACTAAATTAGTGTTTCTTTCAGACTTTTTTCTCCGGGGGTAGGGGAGGGGGGAACTTGAAATTTTCCGGAAGGGGGCGGACACTGGTAAAAGTATATGTTTTCTATATTAAGTAACTGACTAAAAACATGGCCCCTAAACATTACAAAACAAATTTAAAAAATGAAAAAGTTGATACAGCTAAAAAACTGTCACAGAAAGTGTACAAATCAAATAAAAAAAAGAAAACTTACCGTAAAAGGGGGAGGGGAAAAACATAGACGGCGTCGGAGGGGACGGGGCTGGTGACGGTACAACGGCCAGGGGTCGGGGAAATAGGGGTTGGGGGTGTAGGGGTGGGGTCGCCATCGTCATCTGAAATGTTGAAAAGTTTTTCAAATACATCGCAATCATTGAACAACGGAGATTGTGTGACATAAACAATGTGTAATACACTCTTCCAATATACCAGCCAGAGTTGACAGGCAGAAAGTTTGAACTTTTCTTGTTACAGCAGACGGTTACTGGCGAGGTTTTATTACTTACATTATATATGTATTGTTGGCAACGATATGTAACATAAACCAACATATTTTGGGTTATTTATGGAAACATGACGTCATTTTAAGAGGCGGGGTGGGGGGGGGGGGGGAAGGGTTCTTGTGGTTTTGTCTGACAACAGAGGGGGTCGGAGTAAAAATAGGCTAGATTAGAGTGACGTCATTCGTTGACCAGTCGTTTGACCATAGCCTGCTGCTAGCCTCTATGTCTCCGTCTACCAGACTAGGTCGCCATTTTTTAAAAAGTGGTCTAATCAATTTTTTTAAAATTAATGAAGCCAGAAGTAAGACATAGCTGGTGTTGCGGCAGCCACTACACGCAAAACAAATGACATGAACTGTCATACAGATGACAGCAGACATGAACTGTCATACAGATGACAGCAGACATGAACTGTCATACAGATGACAGCAGACATGAACTGTCAGACAGATGACAGCAGACATGAACTGTCAGACTGATGACAGCAGACATGAACTGTCATACAGATGACAGCAGACATGAACTGTCAGACAGATGACAGCAGACATGAACTGTCAGACAGATGACAGCAGACATGAACTGTCAGACTGATGACAGCAGACATGAACTGTCATACAGATGACAGCAGACATGAACTGTCATACAGATGACAGCAGACATGAACTGTCAGACAGATGACAGCAGACATGAACTGTCAGACAGATGACAGCAGACATGAACTGTCAGACTGATGACAGCAGACATGAACTGTCATACAGATGACAGCAGACATGAACTGTCATACAGATGACAGCAGACATGAACTGTCAGACAGATGACAGCAGACATGAACTGTCAGACAGATGACAGCAGACATGAACTGTCATACAGATGACAGCAGACATGAACTGTCATACAGATGACAGCAGACATGAACTGTCAGACTGATGACAGCAGACATGAACTGTCATACAGATGACAGCAGACATGAACTGTCATACAGATGACAGCAGACATGAACTGTCAGACTGATGACAGCAGACATGAACTGTCATACAGATGACAGCAGACATGAACTGTCATACAGATGACAGCAGACATGAACTGTCAGACAGATGACAGCAGACATGAACTGTCAGACAGATGACAGCAGACATGAACTGTCATACAGATGACAGCAGACATGAACTGTCAGACAGATGACAGCAGACATGAACTGTCATACAGATGACAGCAGACATGAACTGTCATACAGATGACAGCAGACATGAACTGTCATACAGATGACAGCAGACATGAACTGTCAGACAGATGACAGCAGACATGAACTGTCAGACAGATGACAGCAGACATGAACTGTCAGACAGATGACAGCAGACATGAACTGTCACACAACAGTGCTAAGTGGATGTAGACCTATATACATGAATTTCACGCTAGATCTAGATCCTAGCTTTGTAAATATTTATGTATTTCTTCTATATTTTACTTTATTAAGATTTATTTTAAAGAATCTGCTTGAGACTAATCTCAAAAAAGGCACCTGTCTAATATCTACTAACTGTCAACGTTTAAATAAAGCGGGAGTGATCTCCCCTGAACTTTCTCGAATATTCTTATATAACACTATGGGGGATGGCTCCTCGGTATATAGACATGATTTTTAATCCATTTTCAATTAATTAAACTATTTAAAATAGAATAAATTCTCGTATAAATAAGAATTGCGCACCAAGTGAACAGCAATTCATGGTTTTTTTTTTGTTTTTTTGTTTTTTGAGAAAATAAGAAATAGCGTAACGTTCTACTTTCGGTCAACGGAAATTACTCAAAATTTGACAGAAGGTAGAGAATTAGATCTTTTACTAAAGTGTGAAATTTTGTCTATCTATCTGAAACAGTACTTATATGCTTTTGCAAAATCAAAAGTAGAATATATTCCTCTTCCGGTAACCGGAAATCGCTAAAACGTCGATGCAGATTTACCAACTTGATATAATACTATAATTCATCAACCTAACTGTAACGGTACTCAAGTAATCGTGTTCACACACATACACAGACATACGGACAAAATGTCCGACTCAGGGAGGTGTAAAACATCACCCCCTCTATACTTTGTAGACGAGAAAGTAAAATTTTTAAAATAAATTATTATTGACAAGATGTTCATGAAATGTCTGTCCACGTGTTCATGTCATGTTTGTTCTGAAAGCGGAATGTAATGTTAACATGATATGTGAGGCTAGTGTTAACATGATATGCAGTGGCGTAGGCAGGGGGGGGGTCATAACCCCCCCCCCCCCATAGACCCCTCGGTATATATATATATATATATATATATATATATATATATATATATATATATAAAGTATGAGGGGGGGGGGGGTGCAAATCGAAAGTTTGAGGGGGGGGGTGCAAATCGAAAGTTTGAGGGGGGAGGGTGCAAATCGAAAGTTTGTCCCTGGGTAAAAATTGGAACCTTCCCCCCTCTCCCCCTTGAGACGATCCTGGCTACGCCACTGATGATATGTGAGGCTAGTGTTAACAATAATTTAAGTATATATACATTTAAAGCTGTTGATTCTAATGTTTTGAAAAATGTTTTCAGACAAGTTAAAGCTGCTAGCATACATCTAATAATGTGTCAACTTTTAAATTTAAATGTGAGTTTGGTTATAATCGTTCAGATATTTTTAAAGATAACACTGTGAGACACATTACAGAGTGATGATTTTATAAGAAGATGGGGGTGGGTCTATTTGGGAAAGTGATACCAAGTTTTGAGTAGAATGCGAGTTTTAAAAATCCTGTTTTTTTTTAAATATTTGGACACAAATATCATCCGGTTGATGAAGATTGAAATTGTTTAGTGAAGTTAATTTTTAAAAAAAACCTAGGTAATTCACGGGAAAATGGGAAAAAAACTCATGACGTCATATGTCTTCTCATGGCTGCACGTGCATAAAGCTGAGCTACAAAGTTGAGCACGGCCACGCTCGACTGAATCAGAATGTCATGAAGATAAAATGTACTCACCTAGAAGTCACAGAAATGTTATCCAGTAACAGAACACAAATGACAAAAACAACTTGTCATGTAAACTTGATGTAGCAAATGACAAAAACAGCGTGTCCTTTACAACTTGATGTAGCAAATGACAAAAACAGCGAGCTCTGTAAACTTGTTGTAGCAAATGACAAAAACAGCGAGCTCTGTAAAGTTGATGTAGTAAATGACTATAACAGCGTGTCCTTTACAACTTGTAGCAAATGACAAAAACAGCGAGCTCTGTAAACTTGTTGTAGCAAATGACAAAAACAGCGAGCCCTGTAAACGCAGCAAGTGTGTAGTGGCGAGACCAACGAGTGACACTAGTTGCTCATCATTTCCTTAACGACTTCCCTGTGTCTGATGGGCGGCCTCGCGTTTACAAGTGGTCGGAGCAGACGACCAACAAGTTGACGGTCCGGGGCTGATACAAACACGCAAACACACGAACACACAAACAGGCTGTCTCTAGAACTGGCTAGTGTCTTGTCTGGTGTATGAAGTCACAGAATTAAGCACCAAAGTCTGACTTACTTGTGGCCTGACTTCCACATAGATGACTTCCATTTTCTGACGGCTGCTTTTAAAGAGCAGGACCCAGGCTGCCGGCCCGTCCCCCTCCCCCACCACACCCCTGTGAATATATGGATCTTTGAAGTCATGTACCGACCAATCGTACCAGCGGTGGGACTTAAACTTGGGAATGTTTGGGTGAGAAGTGGGAGGGGCATCCAGGTGGGCGGGACATCGAGCCAGATCTACCTCTCCTGGCGCAGATCGGCTTCACACAACAGATAACTCCGGCCTGCTGGAGTGGCGGGTTGTGGCCCCTGGTGACCCCGGGTCAGTGACGTGTCCAGTGGGAACTAGGTTCGACAACCACCGGGAAAAACTTGCCGCTCGTACCGGCAGACGTGTGACGTAACAGTCGACCACGAGCAGACGATGGTGGCAGGTCAGCTTGGGGAAATGATAAAAAAAATTAACCATTTGCTTACCAGACGATAGCCTGGTTTTATTAGTCCCCCCCCCACCTCTCATTAATTAACCACGCACACTGTCTCACACCGATTGAGAATTACGTAACGATTGTAATTTCTCATAGATAAACTCTTCGGGTAATTAAGCTTGACCTAATTAAAGTTGACAGCTTAGTAGAATTGTGATTTAGTTAAGAAAGGGTGAGTGGGTTAGTGTGGTGGGTTCATCTATTTAGGTGCTGTGTCAGTCCCGTGGGTGAGGCGGTGGGTCACGTGGTCTGATTGGTGTGTCGGATCAGTTGGACTCAGGGCCCGATTATATCAAATAATTTTTAATCAGCTAATTAGTCCAATATGATGCCAGCGACAATGACATGCATGAGAAAAACGTTTAAAAAGATTTTTAGTACGTAGGTCTGGTGGATGTAGGGGCCAAACATCGTTACCTGGGCTCCATATAGTTGTGAGCTTTTACAGTGTGATGTACATCTGGCTGTGTGTAAGGTGCTACTGTGTGATATAATGTTTTGCTGTGAGGTGCTTATGTGTACTATATATTTGACTGGGAGGTGTTACTGTATATTTGGCTGTGAGGTGCTGAAGTATGCTGTTGCTGTTTCGTGCTGCTGTGTAAAGTCTCAAAATGGTGGGGGCGGGTGGGGGGGGGGGGGTGTAGAAAAATATAAAAAGCTCATTCTGATCAGCATTTCTAAATTATACACATTCTATATTTTAAAAAAATAAACGGCTACTTGGCTTTACAGACTATTTTAAATGTTTTCTGCAATTGAAAGACAACAAAATTAAAAAAAAAAACCTGTTTAATAGTGTTATAAGGGCTGATTATTTTGTGGCGGAGTGTCTTATTTCTGCGGATGTTTGGGTGAATAACACAACTTGCTGACATAGTCTTGCCTTGAACCCAACCCAATCCAATCCAACCCATCTGAAAACGATTGTAGGAAAAAAGTCACAGGAAAAAGGTCACAGGAAAAAAAGTCACAGGAAAAAAAGTCACAGGAAAAAAGTCACAGGAAAAAAAGTCACAGGAAAAAAGTCACAGGAAAAAAGTCACAAATATATATTTGCATGAAATTTGTTAATACTTTTATGTATAAAATATTTAGAGAGTGCAAAATTAATTAACTTAGTATTAATTAAATGTAATGTAATGTGTGTAGGTTGTATACGCATAGTAATTTTTTATAATTCATCTAAAAATATTTAATATGAAGTATGTTAAACATAATAGCATTTAATGGAATGCTCCAAAGTCAACGGTTTTCGTCGTGTTTTTTTTTAAATACCAACATTAAATTACCGTGAAATGGTAAGTTCATCTGACTTGCTGCCCTCAACTCATTGCAACAATAGTTATGCTTAGTTCAACCACCTTTACTGCCCACATTTATTACGCGCATTACATAATAAAACTTTAAGAACAAAACAGAAGGCCGACAAGGTTCAAAGGCTGTAATTGACACAAAACGTCAACAACACAAAATATGTTCGGACAATGCCTACTGAGGAGAGGCCGACCAGAGAATAGTCTACGGCAAAACATATGCAAAACACGATGTGCCTAAATTTCTTTTATACTTAACTTTTTTACCGCGTATTTAACTAAATACGTAACAAAAGTTGATATTGTTGTGTAAATTATCTTAGAGTATTTTTACTTACAATTGTTATAAACCATAATGCTTTTAACGTCTATAAATAATTTATGCTATAAAAAAATACAACCCACAACGATAAACATACACAATTTTACAATTCTTAACAAATAAATCAAAATATTTCTAAAAAGATTTTTGTGACTTTTTTTTCTGTGACTTTATTTCTGTTACTTTTTTTCCGATAAAATTTTTCCATTGTGACTTTTTTTCTGTGACTTTTTTTCCTAGCAAAAACTGTGACTTTTTTCTGTGTTTTTTTTTTTCCCTGTGACTTTTTTCCGTTTACCCTGAAAACGTGCAGTTATACGAGTTTGAATGGTCAGCATTTTTAGTGTAGGCTACAGTACCCACACTGTACCCACACAGCAAGCACACCGTACCCAAATCGTACCCACACTGTACCCACACTGTACCCACACAGCAAGCACACCGTACCCAAATCGTACCCACACTGTACCCACACTGTACCCACACAGCAAGCACACCGTACCCAAATCGTACCCACACTGTACCCACACTGTACCCACACAGCAAGCACACCGTACCCAAATCGTACCCACACTGTACCCACACTGTACCCACACAGCAAGCACACCGTACCCAAATCGTACCCACACTGTGCCCACACAGCACAATTTTAGAATAGTTATATACGGGTGCTGGTCTATGGGAATGTTATAGCACTTTATATGGGGAAGTTCAAGAAGGTAGGTTGTATATGTGAGATATGGACCCACTCGGGTAAGGGGGGGGAATTATATATATATATATATATATATATATATATATATATATATATATATATATATATATATATATATATATATATATATATATATATGATGCATGAATGGGGTATTAAAATGGGTGCGACCTGACCGCCGATTAACCGACGTCCCCTAACGCTAATCTCTCCCCTTCCCTCAGATCCCAACAGTCAACAGACAGAGCTTGTTGTGTCAAGTGGTCAGGTAACGGAGCAGGAGAGGATCCACTAGTGACAGCCCTGGGTCTATTCCCTTTGTTCCCGGGGGTGGAGGTGTGCGGGCCGACACCGCCTACAAGAGAGAATGTTTGGCCATTGAGCGGACATACATCACGCTACGGCCGCGGGGTGGGGCGTGGAGGGGAAGTTAATCACCGTGAGTAGTTTCCCCTTACGGCCCATAAGTACACCATCTATTTCCGCTTCTGGTCGGGGTTAAAACACCGCGTATCCGGGGGGAGGGGGGTGTATCAGTGTAGAGGGGGTAGATCAACACTGATCACAGTGTAGGTGTTTGGTGGCTTGCCGAGTTAATCCGGGCTGGTGTAGCTAGAGAATCGTCACTTGAATGAAAGGGCTCTAAATAATGTTGATCGAACTTGGACGAGTGATTTAAGCCAAGTGCTTCAACAATAAACACCGTTCAGGGTAGGATTATCGGCCTTTTCGGCTTTGATCAAATGATAATCCATAATGACGTCATGCAAGAAGAACACTCTGTTTCAGTTTTATTTCGATTAGCAAAATATATCACCCCCCCCCCTCCTACACACAAATGAAACTACAATTCATCAATTCCCCCCCTTCCAACACACAAATCAAACTATATAGTTCATCAACCCCAACACACACGCATCAAACTATAAAATTCATTACCCCCCCCCCCCCAAACACACACATAAACACACCAAATTATAAATTCTCGATAGTTCTTCTTAATCTGTTAATTTTCACCTAGATGCTATATTCTCCTATATCTTATTGAATTCTATATGAATATAACTTCTAAATTTCTAAATTGACTTTAAAATATTAGCTAACAATTTTCCAATGCTAAACCCATATTTCGTTATCGTACTATCCTTTTCCGATTTTAATCTAATCCAACTATCCACTTATCCAGTCTGATTTGAATCTCATCCATCTATCCTACTATCCCATGTAATATCAATCAATCTATCCCATATCTCTAAGCGTGAACTATTCTCCTATTACCTCATACCCCCCCCAACCCCCCCCCCCCCCCCAAATTCCTGGAACCGTCAATCGCCCCATGTTTCCTGATCCACTTGATGCGACAGTGCTCGCCAAGTGGCCCATACAAGTGGCCACCCAATAAGCTGGCCAACGTTCTTAGGGCCACTTCAAGCAAACCGAAATAGTACAAGGGTACATTTTTTTTTTACTGTTGATATGTGAATGTTGATCAACATTTATGGTGATACTTGAATGTTGATGAACATTGATGTTGATACTTTAATGTTGATCAACATTATTGTTGATACCTAAATGTTGATTAACGTTGAGGTTGATACTTTAATGTTGATGAACATTGATGTTGATACTTTAATGTTGATAAACATTGATGTTGATACTTTAATGTTGATGAACATTGATGTTGATACTTTAATGTTGATGAACATTGATGTTGATGATGTTGATCAACTTTGATGTTGATACTTGAATGTTGATGACAAAACGGCTGAAACAACGAAGCTGAATATCAATG